TCATGCCGACGAACGGCAGAAGCTGGCACCAATGCTGTTGTGATGTGCGTGTCTTGCAGGGAATCCTCGCGGAGACTGCTGTCTAGCTTTCTGGGTATTCTTGCGAGGTGGCCGGATGGTTCCACATGCCCGTAAATCGCACTTCAGTCTCCAAACCACACGCCAGGGACCCTAATTACCTTTCACCTGCATCGATGTTTTATAATTACACGACACACCTTCATCATCGAACATCGGGCCGCATTGGAGTATGATTAACTTGAAGTCCCGCGCCCATCAACACTTCAATTCAACCCTAATGAAGCCCTTGAGCCTTAGCTGGGCATGGAAGAGGCCTTCCCGAAATCATACAACCGAGCCTATATTAATTGCCTAAAATGAACGCAAAGCCTCCATCCCCCAAACCGAAAAACACAAGCCATACCCCTCTGCAGAAAACCCTGGGCCACTAGTTAACGACACTTAGGACTTAGGCTTCACCCTTGCTGTATCTTTAAAGCACAATTCCAACCTAGCCGTTAGGCACCGGAAACTGTTGAAGTAATCCTACAAGCATGGAAATCCCTGAAGTCACTCAGCCCCAGTCCTGCACAACCCTGAAGTCAAGCCTAAGCCCCATAACACTCACAAAGCTTTCTAAACCCCTCATTGTACACAATGCAACGCGCCCGAGCCTAAAAACAGGGACCGAATAATTCACCATGTGCTTCCACGGGGATTCAAAAGGGGTCTGAATAGCTGGTGGTGGTCTGCCTTAGCGTTCTTTCATATAGTCCTGTAGTTAAGTTTTGCTCACCAAAACCCTAGTCTAATGTTCAAGACCCCCGCGTGGTGGCTCAAAAGCGCAGTCCTTACAAGGTAAAGTTATAACACACCGTACCCCACTTGTTTTTTTCCAAGACTTCCCCTACTCCCCTACACCCTAAACCCTAAAACCCTCAGCCCTAAACCCCAAGCATTACAGTCGAAACCCTAAACCCAAACCCCAAAGCCTCAAAGAAAGACGCAGAGAGGATTCGAACGCCCAGTGGGATCGTCTCCTAGGGACGGGCGCGACCAAAAAGCGACTTAGCGGAGAAGACGGGGTTTAGGGATGTTTAGGGTATTTAGGGTTTAGGGTTTTTAGGATTTAGAGTCAGGGTTTAGGGTTTGAGGGTTTCCTCATGAAACAGCTTGAGGGCGGATCCGGTACAGTCGCTGCAGACCGGGTTTAGGGTTCGGGTTTAGGGTTTAAGGTTTTGGGGCATCGGTGCTGCATGTCGGCCTCGGTCAAGATGATTGTGGGTCGCAGACTGGCTAGCAACAAAAAAGGTTTGGGCTTTAGGGTTCAAGGTTTTGGGTCGGCAGGGGCTCAAACAGCACCTCATGTAGGGACCTTTATCATTAGAATAGTAGGGTTTTGGGCTCCTTTGTAGTATAGTAATTATAAGGAACCCTGAGGAATGATTTGGTAATTATTTGGGCCTGCTGTATTATCCGTAAGGATCCTCGCTTTGAGGTTTACGGGTGCCTAGAAGGGGGTTATAGAAATCCCTACTTAAGAGATCCTTATGTTCAAGCCTGGACCTTAAGCCCGAAACTCGAAAGGGGTCTGTAGGGGTTCCTTGAAGGGAGCCCCTTCAAGGGATCTATAAGGGAGCCTTTAAGGGATCTAGAAGGGAGCCTTTAAGGGATCTATAAGGGAGCCTTTGAGGGATCTATAGGGGTTACTTTAAGGGATCTATATTGGTTTGCGGGGTCTTCTTCATGGCAGCCCGCTTTCCAGGGGTTGTCCAAGGATCTTTGCCCGGGTGCGAGAGAGGTTTTCGTATCGGGGTTTTCTCTTTTGGCGGGGTTGCTTAGAGGTTCATGGGGAGTTACAAGTAGGCTCATAAGTAAGGTAACTCTAGTCATAACCGATATTAGGGGACTTATAGCCGCACCTATAACTGCCCAGGAACCTCCCAGTGAGTCTTTTGGAGTTCTTGTGTGTTTGGGCTTCAGTTCTTTGGGAGTTTCGGGCTAAGGCCTGGCTTTAGGGCTTAAGGTTCCTATCAGGGCTGCGGTTTCGGGTTTAAGGTTTAGGGGTTTAGGGTTTACCTTAACCCTGAAGAACCTACCTTTTCAGGGCTCCTTACTATGATTTCCTTATATAAGTCCTTAAAACGGTAGGATATTCAGGGTACCCTTAATATAGCTATTATATACCCATTATATAGCCCATTATAGGGTAGGGGTCCGCATTAAGGGTCGCTCCTTTTCCCCTTTGGGTTTAGGGCCAGGGACTCCTGAGCAGGATTGCAGGGCTTCGCAACAAGCGATAGCGCGAGACCCAGTCAGCTGAGGCAGAGTACCCATGAGCTGCTAGCCTAGCCGCAACGGTACCGTAACCCTAAATAGCTTACCTTTTTCAGGGTTGGTTAGTATTATTTCCTTATAGAAGTCCTCAAAAAGCTAGTCTATTCGGTGTTTAGAACCTGGAAGCAGAGCCGTCGACTGAGGCTTCGCTGTGGCGTGCGGAGCACAGATTAGCCTGCAGAGGTGTCGAGTTTACCCAGGGGCCCCAAAGCAGTTCCTTTTTGGAGTTACCCTATAGGATTCTATATATGAACACCAAAAAGGAACTACTTTGGGGCCTCTGGGTAGACTTTATTTGGTTGGGCTTTCAAAGTTCTATTGTTTTTTAGGCTTTCGTGGTTGCGCTGTCTAGGGCTTATGGGGTTGGTTGGGTCTAGGTTGTTGCGTATAGATGTAGACATACATGTGTACATACGTACATACATATATACATATGTGTATGCATATGTGTGGTTGTGTCGTTTAGGACAAGCTGTAGGGTTTGGGGTTTAGGGTTGTTTAGGGTTCAGGCGTAAATGCGCCAAGCATCGCTCAGTCGCTCAGATATCAAGCCTGGTAGTTGGCGTTCCGCACCATGTCAAGCCGAGCTCAAGGACCTCAATTCCGGATTTAGGGTTTAGGTGACTCCAGCCTCTTGCCAACAGCCGCTTTCCGATGCTAGTGGCTCTTGGTTTCTCCGGGGTTGCAAACGGTCTGTTTTATGGCGGGTGTGCGGTCAAGAGTATGAATAATAGATTTTCAGGATTTAGGATAGCAGGAAAACTGCCAAACCCTTATGGCTTCCTTCAACCTTATAGTCCCCTGAAGCCTACCCCCGCAGAGCCCTAATACTATAGAGGCTTCAGAATAACTACCTATAGGATTTTTGGGGGCCTCCTTATTCTAATCTTACAGTACAACGGGCCCGAAAATCTTGTTCTAAAGCCCTATATATTTAGCCTGACTGAGGTCTGCACCCGGCCGCTGTCGGAAGACGACCAGCGAGCAAAGCGTGTCACGGCGGCACTTGCAGAGCATGCGGATGTCATGCACTCAGTTTAGGTTTGGTGCTTTCCGGTTTGGTGGCTGGTACGGTTTCGATAGGTCCTGGTGAAGATACGTAAACATCTAACGTATTCTTAGCTTGTCTTCTCATGGGAGTTGAACTATCTGTATGATGTGCTCACTTGAGTAAAAACCCTACTTCCTAAGTCCCCCGGTCCTTTCGCTACGGCACATGACAGCGGCCTGAGCCACTGCCTTAGTAGCTGAGCAGGTAACCTTTAACCCCTTGGGGTCTATATAACCCTACCATAATTGAAAAATGTTGACCTTTTTTTGGGCTAGGGTACTTAGTCCCTACGTTGCTAACCCTAGCCCTCAGGGTCCCTTGATTTCGACTTCGGCTACTGTCAAACTGGGCAGTCCTTCAAGCATTTCGATTCATTGAGTAGTAATATAGGCGCCTTAATAAGTAGGCTGGGATGTTGGGGGTTCCTTAATAGGATCATATTATAACATACCCCAACATCCTATACTAATCATTACATCAGTATGAAGGCCCCTACAGTACCTCTCCGAAGTATTTGAAGACCGCAGACTGAGCGACAGAAAGACCAAAACCTGACAGCGGGGCACCTCGAAGCCGCGAGAACTGAATATTTCTCAGGAATTGGGGTTCAGGGTTTAGGGCTTAGGGTTAAAATGTCTCAGGGTTTGGGGTTTGTGGTGCGTGGAGGATGTGCCGCCACGTCCGGAGATGGAGACTTTAATATGCCACTTGTTTCAAGTTGGCTTTACAGAATCACCCTGCCTTCACCCTAAACCCCCAGGCGTCGTGTGCAGCCTCTGCGAGAATCCGGACAAGGATGAGCAGGCGATCTTTCTCCGCTTGAGAATAAAGATTAGCACTAATATCAATCAACGGATAACTATACTTGTTATATAGCCATAACAACCATGATGACCACAGCTACAGCAGCTCAATATTGAAGAATATTTGGCACAAGGCCTGAAAAAGGGTTTGTTCAGACTCATTTGGGTTTCAGGGCTAAGGGGTTTAGGGCTTAAGGTTATGCACCCACGTAGTCGCATGTGTTTGAGAACCTGCGAGCATCTCAATAGCTGAGGCCACGGTCCTGCGTTAAGCCACAGTATTTCATGTCATCTACGATGTGATGCTTAAGAGTAGCAAAGATAGCAAAGATAACGATGGTGGTGCAAAGTGCACTTAATACAAAAAACGGACGAGAAGTCTGCGACCTACAGGCCTACATGCGTGCGCGCGCGTGTGTGTGTGTGTGTATAATATTGCGTGTGTGTATATATATATATGTGTGTATACATATATATATATATATATATATACATAGGTACTTTCATAGAGACATACATACCTGACCTACATGATGTATATAGCAGTGTCGACATTCCTGGTGAAAGAAAGGAATCAGGCCCTGGGGTGCCGACTCATAGCACCCTTCAGCAGAACTGGGACCGACATGCCTGCTGGCAGCTCCGACATTGCAGCAGTAGCAGCCCATGATTCAAGACTTTTCGTCGAAAAGCACAGAAGGAAACTCTCTCCAACCAGCAACTCTACAAATCCCGCAGCAGCACCGAAAAACCTAAACGCTAAACCTTTTATCAAAAAAGCCCACAAAAATCATTGGTTATCCCTTGGGATGAGCTCGGCGGGCTTAGCTGCTGGAGCCATGGCCTGCGCCGCCTCCGTGTTTATCGCCACGAGCCTTGATGGCTCCTTGGTGCCCTACTGTAGAGTTTACCTTAACCCTGAATAACCTACCCGTTTAGGGTGCCTTATTATGATTTCCTTATATAAGTCCTTAAGAAAGGTAGGTTATTCCGGGTTAAGGTAGGGTTTAGACTTACGATTTACCGCCTAGGGTTTAGGGTTACGTTTAGGGTTTTGGATTCAGGTCTCGGGGTCGCGAGGCGCCAGCAGTTGTCGGATTTTTGGGTTTTAGGGGTTAGGGTTTTCGCGGGCTGTCTCCTGATTATCGAGCATCAAGCCTGCATAAAAGTAAAGGGGTACAGTAGTCAGAAAGGGATGCCTTAAACCTCAAAGCCTGCACTCGATACTGCGGTGAGCCAAGGCTTCATCGCCAAGAAGGACGGCTCTGTTGACTGGCTGCAGCTTGCCGAAGACTTTCCTCAAGTCCGGTACCCAAAGCTTTAAAACGTGGTAAAACCCAGCCCAAACCCTAAACGCTAAGGCAAAGCCGTGCGTGGTAACACTTGCAACCCGAGATGCTTAGGGTTATGGCTCTTACAGCATAAAGCGCTAAACCAAATTACAGTATAGTCTGTCCAAAACCCTATTCTAATTGCTTTCATGCACTGACATCCCTGGTTGGAGGTTCATGGGCAGTTGTAAATTTATGGTGTTGTTCGTCCCCGAATATGGGTTATAAGCCTGACTTAGAATCCCGCATATAACTACCCATGAACCTCCAAGTAGACCCTAAACCCTCTACCCCTATAGAATCCCTAGAGATCCCTTTAACGGGACCCTTAAAGGAACCCTTATAACTATTAAGGAACCTCCAAGTCCTCAAAGCCTGAGTGGCCTGAGAGCCTTTATAAAGCCCTGAACCCCAGAACCCTGAAGTTCCTGAGGCCCAAACCTCAAAACATTGCACTTTAAAAAAACCTCAAAACAATTCTTAGCTTTAAAAACTTTAAAAAAATAATTCTCAGCTTAAAGAAAAACTGCAGAGACCAACATTCTTTAGCCCTAAAAAAGAACCGCAGAGCACGAACATTCTTAGCCCTAGTAGAAGCTTCAGGGAAGCCCTCAAGAGCCAGTAGGAGGAGGGGCTCGGGGCCCTACAAAGTTTCGGTTCTGTGAAACCCATCTTAGAAAAAAGCTGGTTTCGGGTTCCAGGCTCAAGTTTTGTAGGGTTGAAGGTCCAGGTTTTGGGCTGGCATCCGAAAGTCCAATTTTCAGCCCCAAAGTCCGCAATGCGAGCACTCCATCCTTTCGAACCTCCTAATATAGGGGCCTCAAGAATTAGAAAAGGGTTTGGGGGCCCAAAATATACTGTAGTTATAGCTCCAGAATAGCATAAGGCCCCTATACCATAGATCCCTACTATAGATCCCTTATAGACGCCTTTAAGGATCCCTTTAAAGTAATTATACTGGCCCCTTTATTAACTGGACTATCGAGGAACGACTTCCAAGCTTCCCTGGAGGAGGGCGGAGAGGACGGGTTTCCTGTCAGGGGCTTCAATAATTACCAATACTATTTTTGGGGGGAGTTCCTTAGTATATTTATAGCATAATCTGGCCCAAAACCTTGTTCTAATTCTTAAGGGCCCCTACAGTAGGGGTGCATGGTTTTCAAGATGTTTGGAGGTCGTTGTCTGGCTAGACTCGAGCCCAGTAGTAAAGGGCTTGGGGCTTAGGGTACTTAGCAACTGCTGTGGGCGTGCGCGTCGCTGAAGTTTTGTGATGCCCAATCTTACAGTTGGGTGGTTGTCAAAATTATGGTCCCTTTTGGGGTCCCTTTTACAGTACGGCGCCTATTATTTAGGGTACCCAAAAAGGGACCCTAATTTTGAAAACCACCCATATTTTCATGTATTTATACATCGCTTGAAACAGGCCCGGTTCCTTTCGAGTCTCAGCAACTCTTCTCCTGTTTTCCATTTTGCAGTCCTGAAGGTACCCGCTGAACCCTCGGTGCTAAACTCTAAAAGCCTCAATCTTCGCAGCTTTGCTGGGTTGTCATTTGGGATCTCTTTTAATTTCCCCTACTATATTGTAGAGAACCATAATAAAAAAACCATTTTCAAAGGGCTTAAAGGACAACTCAGCTTACTAAACCCCAAATCTCAGGCCCCAAACCGTAGCACCCTCAAAGCCATCTCAAAGCCTAAACTCCCTATGTCCCAACCCCCCCCCCCCCCAAAAAAAAAAAAAAAAATAGAATAACAGCACAAAAAAAACCGTAACAGCCTCAACTTCAACTGGGCAGGTCCCACCAAAACCCCCCAAGCGACAACACTTAACGGAATTTGATCATTGTAGTCTGACCCTACAACCCTAAACCCTAAGGCCCTACACCCTCAACCCTAAACCCTACACCAAAAGCTTAAAACCCTAAAGCCCTAAACCTTGGTAAAAATTCCCACTGGGAGGATGGCGGTTTCGCGGAATTCATGGCGAGCGTGGACGCCTTAGCCATGGGTCGCAAGACCTTCGAAACCGTGCGGGACCGAAGGGTTTTGAGGGTTTAAGCCTTTTTAAGGGTTTAGGGTTTAGGTTTTTAGGGTTTAGGGTTTAGGGTTTTAGGGTTTAGGGCTTTAGGGTTTAAGGGTTTGAGGGTCTTGTAGATACACGCACATAGCGAAGCCGCTGTGTATTGCGTCGCGGCTGACAGGTAACTGAGTCCGTGTGTGAGAGAGAGAGGGGGTTTAAGGGTTAGGGCTTGAGAGAATGAGGTTTTGGGGTTTGGGGTTTAGGGTTCAGCAGCTCCAGTTCGAGCAGTCTCCAGTCAAGCTCGCTTCTCCTACATTACGCCTGCTAGGACCTGGAGTAGGCCCTTATTCCCTTTTTTTAGGGTTCAGGTCCCCTTATAAGCCCCTTTAAACCAAAAAGGGCACCCTTGTTGTTCCTAGGTTACTCTTGGGTCTAGCCTGACAGACCACTAGGTAGGGCTTTGGGACATTGTATATTTTCCCTTATTGGGCTTAAGAGGATCTTACTTACTAATATTTTTCAAAGGCCTTAAAAGCCCTACCTAGACCAGGACATGCCAGATGCACCCTGGCCCTACGGCGACACGCCCGTCCCCTGGCGGACGTTACCGTTTTTGGGCATCCTCCGGCAACTTTAGTGTTCCGGGTTCAGGGCTTAAGGTGGTGGGGCTCCGTGTTCAAGATGTGATGCAGGGCTTGCCATTCTAGGTCTTAGGTTTTAAAGGTGTGCGTGCAAGCAAGCCACAGAGAGTTTTGATGTCGCAAATCATCGGAACCATTAGCCCTGAAAGATTTGCAACTCCGAGCCTGGCTCATTGAAAATACTGTGATGTATTTGAGCCCCTTTTTTACCGTAACATACGATTACAAGCCAACTTTTAAATTTTAGAAAAGCCACTAGATTAATCAACTGGCAGCGACGGCCCACATGTTCCTGATCTAGCACTGCTGGAGAGCCCTGATTCACTCGCGAGCGTGGTGCATCTCGGGCTTTCGTGTGTGTGTGTGTGTGTGTGCGTGGTCATGACTAAACCCTATACAGGGAACTCCAGAAAGTTTGAATATGGTTTCATGGTAGGATACCCTATGTTTTACCATAGAAGGGTTAGGATAATCATATTCCAACTTTCTGGCTTTTACCTTAATTAGGTCCTAAACCCCAAACCCTCGCCTGGTCTGTCAGAGTGTGAGCGCCGAAGCCCTACATTACGGCTAGCTCTCTAAACCTAGAGTTGGATCTCGCCGATTGGAGTCATATGACACCGGAGGCCATCAGACAGGGGCAGATGGTTAAGGGGTCTAGGGACCACATCGGCCGCAGTACGGGTTCAAAAAAGGGATCACGGTTGCTGCTTCGGGTGTTGGAGCCACGTTTTCTTTCTGCGGAAACATAAAGCCCGAAGGCGCTATGCTTTCAGAGAAACCCAGAGAACCCAATACCTCTTAATTTAAGGAATATACCTTAAATTAGAATATTAAGGCCTCTATAGTTTAAGATATATATTCCGTAATTAAAGGGTATTGGGATCTCTGCGAACCCTACCCTGTTAAGACCGAGGTTTGGGTGCTTAGCAATGGCAAGGTGGATGTCCCAGAGCGCCTGGCATCCAAGGCAGACCGCTAAAGGGATACTGCCAAGGCTCTATATAGTCAGAGGTATTTACGGCAACATGCGACAGTGTCTTTATAACTTTATGAACGGTATCCTGCCGCGGGGTTCCTATGATAAGGATTCAGGTTCCTTCTATTGAGGGTCTAGTCTACTGGGTGTATATAGGCTTTAACTAGGCGAGTGTGGTGCTGTCTGGTCTTTAGTTGCCGGCATGCATGTCGGGGTTCTTGGAACGGGCATCCTGAGTTTCAGCGCCTGTATTGCGGATCCCTCCAAAGCATCCCCACGCCCTCACAAGAGCACACGCCCTCAACCGACATAAACCCCCCAAACCCGATGCAGAAGGCAAGCAAACACTAAACCCGCATAATGTAGGGGTGTTAATAAGAAGAACCGGGTTTTGGGCTCCTTACTATACTTACAGTATAATGTACCCAAAAACCCTATTCTAATTGCTAAGGCCCCTATATTCGTTCTGAAGCCTTAGCAAGGCAGCGGCTCGTGGAGTCCACGTGCGGATTCAGCAAGTCGGATAGTTAACGATCTGAGAGCCAATGAGTTCAACCCCTCAATCTAGGTTCACCCCCAAACCTCGCCTGCAGCGTCGAGTGCGAGAGCTAAAAAGCCCTGGCCTAGCCCTAGCCCTTGAACACTAACCACCCCCTGCACCTAGACTCCTTCAAACTAGCTCTATGCCCCTTTTGCTGATTTGTGTTGCAGCAGGTGCACCTGACTAAAGGCACGCCCGAGGAGATTCTGAAAGCCAGGCCCTTACTGCCAGCTTCTCAAAACATCGAGGGGTCTGAAGACTTTGTGGTTTTTAATTCCCATATAGTCCTTGTTTTTTCGGTAGAAGGGTACAGCAAAACCCGGTTCTTTCCATGACAACGGGCCCATGCGGCCTCTATGTTGCGTGAGGAGTTGGGTTTGAGGCTTAGCGAACCTTCTCCAATCGGTTCGGGGTACGAGCGAAGTTAGCTCGGAAATTCATAGGCAGCTTGCAATCAAGTTGAGGGTCCGAATGCCGCCAGAGCTCAACAAGCCCCCCAACAGCTCGTTTCTTCGATGCATGCCATGGTGGCAGGGCGACTGATTCTTACCTCGCTAGTGGCACACGTTGCCGCCGATGTGAGTCCGACCGGCAGCGCTGCCTGCCCCTGTATAGAGTGGGCCGGGCTCCAGCAGTACATCCAAGGCGGCACGTTGTTGTACACACCACCTGGATCCAGCACTTCACACGAGTACCCGACGAACTACGGAAACCTGGAGTGCAAGGCGCATGACACCGGTTTGGCTCCACACTGCACCGGTACAAACCCTCCTGCCTGGTGCAACAAGCCCTGGTGCTACGTGTCCAAGGACAACTGCGACCTCCAGCCTTACAAGAGTGACTAGGTGTATATACAGTACAATCAGGATCAATACTACAAGTTAAGTATGTATCGGATACAGTATGTTTCTACTGTACTTGTTTTAGTTGCTTGCTTATTTTTGAGAGGGTGGGGGACAGAGAAAGAGAGAGCGAGAGAGCGAGAGACAGAGAGAGAGAGAGCGAGCCTAAACCCTTAAACCCTAAACCGCCCAGGCGTGAAGTTTCCGGGAGCAGATGCATACTACAGCTACCGGACCTGCGGACAGTCGAACGAGTTTGCCCTTTGGAGTCAGAGCCTGGCAGAGGGCACCACGTCGGCCCCACAGGTTTCCTGGGGTCTGTTGGGCTTCAGGGTTTTAGGGTTTGGGGTTTAGGTTTTAGGGAGGGGGGTTAGGGGCTTAGGGCTTAGGGAGGGTTTTAGGGTTTAGGGGGGGTTTTAGGGTTTTGAGTTTGAGCTCTTGGGGTTCGGGGTTCAGGGTTAAGGACCCTCAGGTCACCAAGCTCCTGGATGTGGTGATGGAGTACCTCTGGAGCACCCGCGACTCCCTCGAGCAGAAGTACATCGACATGGTGGCTCGCAATGTGAGCGCCTGCAGCTACGTCAACTTCTGCCCGTGCCTCGAATGCTATCGGGACCCAGTCTGGCAGGCCTATGATGGAATAGACCCCAGCACAGTGGGAGCGTGGCTGCGGCCGAACAGCGTGACCCAAAAGGAGCAAAACCGCCAGACCTTGAACCCTAAACCTCCAAACCCTCATTTAGCAAGCCCCAGGTTGTGAGAGCGTAAACCTCCAGACCCTAAACCACGAACCCTACACCATGACCTCCAAACCCTGAACCTTATGAACATCCCTAATGAAGCCCCAAGCCCTCGACCCTGTAAAGGAGCAAAACCTCTTGTCCTGCTTGGCCGGTCTAGTTTCGGATGTGTACAGCAGCATCGCGGCAAAGGAGGGGGAGCCGGACAAGAGGGCTGGCCACCCGGTTCATGTTAAGACTTTTCTCCCTGGTACTTAGTAGGGAATGGGGGAATGGATCCCTAAAGGAAGTCCCTATATAATCCCCAACAGTAGTCTCCATAACCCATTCCCCTAATCCCTTCTAAGAACCAGACAGTTTTTCAAGGTACCACCGTTGGAATATACAGACATGCAGACACACATAATGCACAACAGAACATGCAACTTCTCACAAGTATTGTAGAATGTTCATCTGAATATAGCCAAGATAGAACATACCAGACTACATATTTCACACATATTGTAGAATGTCTGTATGAAGATAATGTACGGCAATGCATACCATACTGTAGAACTGCCAGATTAACACCAACAAAGAACAATGACTAGATGAATGATGGAACAGACAAGTGAACAAGTAGGCGTATAGACATGTGTATCTGTGTGCGTGCTTGCATTCATGTAGGTATTTACATAATTAGCCATGTCTGTATGTATGTTTGCATGCACATAGGTGCTTTGTTTTCGTTTCATGTCCTGGCAGCAAGAACTCAGGCTACCTGTACTTTGCTGACCAAATGTCCGGTAGCTACATGGGTTGGCCTACTCTCCAATGGTGCCCCACGAACTATGACCCACGCTTCCGCCCGTGGTATGCCTCTGGCTCAACAGGGCCCAAGGACGTGATTGTTGTCGTGGACGTGTCAGGCAGCATGGGTGCCGAAAACCGTTACAACCTCGCGAGGCAGGCAACAAGAGCCTTAGCGATCAAATCCAACTTTTCTACTTTTGGGTTCTCATGAGTTCGTCCTGTTCTCAAATGTTTAATTTCGAAGTAAGGAGCCGTCCTCGACACCCTTGACTGGAAGGACTACGCGACGGTGATTTTGTTTAATCATGGCATTGCCGCGCAGTACTCGTCCAACATGGTGGCTGTGAGCGACACACAGCGTGGGAACATGCAGAGATGGTTGGAGTCGCAGAATTGGCAGATGGGCAGCACCAATTTCAAGGTCGCTCTCAATGAAGCTTTCTCCACCATCCAGAGAAGTGTCGCAGCAGGCACCACATCCATGTGCCAGAAGGCGATTATTTTCTTGACGGACGGCGAGGCGGAATTTTTGGAGAGTGACTTCAGAAACATCCAAGAGCAGTCGGTGACTTACGATACGGTGCTTTTCACGTATGCCTTGGGTTCGGGTGCCGACACTACGGTGACGAAAAGGCTGGCATGTGAGAATCGGGGGATCTTCTACAATGTCCCGGATGGATCCGACCTTAGCACGATCATGTCACTGGGTTCTCGTTTTGGAAGTCACTTTCTGTTACCAGTTACCGCCATAGGGGTACACAGTATATGGTCTGCTTTCCTTCCAAGGTTCTCGTTGCAGAATACATTGAGGTTGCTTACAAGAGCCGAGGTCAAGCTACTACGAGTACTTCGCCACAGGCCAGGAGATCTGTCAGCCGTCCTTCACGAGCTATGCAGACATCGCCGGAGGGGGCCGGTTCCTTGAGGACGCAACGAATCCTAAACGAGTTTCACCTTGTCCAATATAGGATTTCGAAGTCTAAGGGTACAGGGCCCCTATTTCTACGGTCCTTTGGTCCTGGTGTATATATATATATATATATATATGTGCCAGCATCTGCGCACCCCCCCCCCCCCCCCCCACCCCCATCGTATACCACTCTGCTTCTCCCCCCCCCCCCTGTGGTACCTGTGGTTCCTCTGCTTGTCTCCTTTCTCCCCCCCCCCCTGTGGTACCTCTGGTTCCTCTGCTTGTCTCCTTTTCTGCCTGCTTCGCGCCCCCCCCCTGTGGTACCTGTGCTTCCTCTGCTTCTCTCCTTTTGCCCAAGCAAAACATCGGATACCATATGTACCCAAAGCACATGGCCCAAACCCTTCTTGCCCAAGCAAAAACATCGGATACCATATGTCATAGGGTGGCAAGGAAGGGGGAAAAATATAATATCTCATGGGGCGTGCCGGGGGGGGGGGGGATACCATTGGGGGGGGGGGGGGGGGGTCGAGAACGCGGAACGCGGACACATATATACGTATATATATATATATATATATATATATATATATATGTATATATACAGAAAGCGTCGCACTGCAGGCCCGAGTTTTGGACACCTACAGTTTGTATCTCTTGCGTATTAGCTCTATATAGAAGGCCTGTGTTTTTCTATCCAAATGTAAATAGTTGCATGACAAGTTATATAAATCAAGAAAAACACGTAGTTTAGTACGAAAAACACAGGCCTGTATTCCGACGCACTCTCTCTCTCTATATATATATGTATATGTATATGTATATATATATATATATGTATAGTTTCCGAAAATAGGAGCCTCTAATGTACTACCCTGAATAGTAGGGTCCTTATCATACGGACCCTAATTTTCGGAAACTCTAAACCCTAAACCCTTTATAGACCCCTTATAGATCTCTTTAAGGAACCCTTAAAGGATCCCTTTAAAGTATCCTTGATTTTCCGAAACTCCCATATTTGTATCCCAAATGCTGCGGGTCCCTAAGGTTGTGGCCAGCCTGTCTTCCGATCTACGACCGCTGGGGTGTCGATCCGAAGCTGCTAGGAGTTTCGGCTCTTCTTGGGAGTTTCCGACAATTGGGGGTACCTTATTATGGGGTCCTTATAATAAGGATCCTACTATTTAGGAGACCCTTTTAGGATCCTCTAGTTCGGAAACTCCCTCTTGAAGAACATAAAGGGCTGAGAGTTTAGGGTTTAGAGTTGAGGGTTTAGGTTTTAGGTTTTAGGGTCTAGGGTTTAGCCTTGAGGGTTGAGGGGTTCGGGGTTCGAGTTTAGGGTTCTTGAGAAACTGTGGGTTTCCGGTCGATTCGGGTCTTAGGGTTCTTGAGGAACTTGAGGGCTTAGGAACTCAAGGTGGATTACCGTAGGTTTCAGGGTTTAGGGTTCAAGTTCAAGTTGCGACCGGAATGCAAGCAGTGACATCTCCTCTGCAAGTATCTGTCTCTCATGGTCACTCACTCGAAGCTCGCTTTGGAAGTCCCCAGGAGTCACCTGCATGGACTTCAACATGATGGCGGATCCGGCAAGCATGCAGTCCGAGCCGTACTGGGATTACTTCAGCTGCAAGATCTCTGACATCACGAAGGCTCCAGTGCTCGTAGGAATTACTAGGATGCCCAGTAGTACCCTTATTCCCTTTTAATAGTCCTGGTTCCTTATAAAGTTACCCAATACCAACAAGGGATCCCTTTTTATTCCTAGGTCCTAGGTTACTGGGCATCCTAAATTATGCGTTTTGTTGTTTCGTTCTTTTTAAACTTGTGGGGGATGCAGAGCCCATCGTTTTAAGTTATGGTTCTAAGGGTCTAAGGGCTCTTTCTGTTCGAGAACTAGGTAGGATTGTGGGACATTTTTTATTTTCCTTATTTGGGTTCATAAGGGACCCTATGTATAAATATTTTCAGGGTGTTTAAAGGCCAACCCAGAGAAGGTTTGCCAAGCGCTTGACACGAGCGAGTGCCGTCTGCAGCGCCTCCGAGCCGCGGTTGGCGCAGACTCGGTTTGCTCCACAACCGCTTCCGTCCCAGCCGACTGCCCCTGCATGGACCCCGATTGCCAAGATGATGAGTCCTTCATTGACGAGAAGGGCTACTTCTGTGACACCTGGGTTGGCGATGATTGCAGCAAGGCCCAGGAGGCTTGGGGTTACAGCGCAGCAGGCCAGCAAGCAGCACTGACGAGGTGCCGGCGATCCTGCGGCAGATGTGCCATGCTCTCCCCTTGCTCCAGCGCGCAGCGTTGCGTAGGAACGGAGCGCTTCGCGGATGAGAGTTGCAGAGCTTGTCGGACGGACAAGGTCTCGGGCATCGATATTGAGGGAAGATCGATGGTCTGTCCTGGCACCCCCCGAAATGACGACACCGCCTCTCCTTCAGCTTCCTCGCGTCAGATTCAAAGAGTGGCTTTCGCCGTGATGGTCGCCACAACCCTCTTGAAGTGATATCGAAGCCTCAATAATTACCAAGACTATGGTGAGAGATCCTTATCATAATCATAGCCCTTTTCTAACTATCAAGGCCCCTATACTGGCTTTGCCCGAGGGTCAGCACCGCTCCTGGTCCTAGTGTAAATCCTGGATGATTTAAAGGTCTCTCTGCGGCGCGTTGGGCATATATAGTTTGGGTTTACGGTTTAGGGGTTTAGGGTTGGGGCATAAGTACGGGTTTTAAAAGTGTTGCGGCATAAATCTTCAGGACTGATTGGAGTTCTAATCGTGTTAATCACTGTGAGACCATAGCATCAACGTCAGAGGCTTGCGCAAATGCGCTTTTGTCGGGCAGCTGGTGTCAACAACACCTTGCCCGCTTTTCGAACAGTTCCATCCCTATGTCCAATGTGCTGTAGGGTGTAGCTTAGCAGCACATGTCAAAGCCGGCAGCATGATTGTCAACCTAATCCCTAAAACCTAAATGGGGCGGGTCCAAGAAGCAGTGATAATCACGGAACCTATACTTCCAACAGCCGCTGGTAGCTCAGCTTTGTAGTTAACACACACACACACACACACACGCACGAATGCGAAGTCGATGTGACTTCGAGGCATTCATTCAGTACTTTCAAGGCAATCTGATGTCGATCCGGGGAATGCAGACTGAACTAAAAAAACGAATTCAGCATGGCATAGCGGCCTGATAAATGTTAGCTAGACTAGATTACTAAATGCGCAGGGCCCAGTCCAATAATGGGGCCCCTATATTGCCAGCTTGGTGTGAAGAAGGGCAGAAGCTACGAAGTCGTGTTGGTTTGGTAGCTCAGTGCATCATGTACGACATCGGACATATGGAACCACGGCAGGCTTGAACTCATGAAGCACCGGCAGGAGGTCGAAGATCTCGTGTCGAAGACATCGCGACTTCAGTCCTTTCGCGTGACATGGAATCTAGCAGGATGAAAGCAAATCTGTCACATGCAGACCTGCTCCGGTATTCTATCATGCGGCATCCCAGGTCATGTTTGGGGCTTCCGTGTCAATGTTTCAGTCCGGTGACGAAGCCTGGATTGGCAAGCCACAGGCTTGAACATGAGTTCTGTCGTGACCTGGTCGTGATTGAAGCCTGTTCCACAACACGTGTGGAAGCAAGATGAACCTCGCGTCGCGATAGCGAGAGCTTCTGCTCAGATGCAAACGAGCGGTCTTGTTGATGGAAGGGTTGCCGGCAGTCCTCGTTGAAGTTCAACTCCATTATTTCAATAGGAATTCTTACTATACGACTCCAACAACATCCAAAGCCCTGTTTTCGCAACCAGCGAAAGCCCTGTAGTGGAAAAGGACGAACGAAGAGGGTCCGAGAAACTTGGAGGGGCCCCATGTTTAGGATCCTGATGATCAGTGAGGTATCAGAGAGCCCAAAAGCCCCTACTAAAAGTAAAGAGGGACCCCTGCCAAATACAAATCAGAACCTGAAGACATTCTTCAATTTGGGTATACTGCACCTCTAAGCTCTACGTCGCCGAAGCCGCAACAACACCCGAAGCTTCAGTACCGAAAACTTAGCCGCTGAATTCTAAACCACACAAGTCCACAGCCGTAGTTCCTGAATCACAACCTTGAATTTCTGACTACCTTAAACCACCATAAACTACTTAATTGTAAGCTCAAAAAAAGCCCTAATACGGAATTTATATGGGCTCTACAAAATAGTAGGTTTTGGTAGTTGAAGGTAATACTAAGCCCTATGCATCCTCAAGATTCGAGAACTCGAAGCTGGAGAGCTCAGGCTCTGGCGGCTGCTGGCGTCAAAGACGTGTATCCAGGATGAAGGTTTAGGGGTTTGGTGGGTTAGGGTTTAGGGTTTCAGGGTTCTTAGTGTCAGCCACTAAGAGCCCAGCTGCAAAAAAGGGCTTTAGGGTTTTGAGTATTGGTTAACTTGTTGGTGGTATATTATATACGGTTTCTATTATGCCAGTCTTGGTTTTTTTTACCATTTTTGAGGGTGTTCTTTGTGCGGGTTGTGCTCTCGGTGTTTCCTGCACCTCTAGAACCTAAACTGTAAAGCTTAAAACTCCCGAAACTTGAAAGCACTCAGTGCTTGCTTCGTCGTGACTGGGTCCCAGGAGGCAAGAAGGCTGTCAGACCAAGTTCAGTGCTCGTTCGTCGGAACCTCCTTGCTTTCCTTGCGACTCAACGTCTCTTGATGCAGCATTCAACTAGTTCTCAAGAATTAGCCTACTGTGCTTGAGAGCAGCTGGGTAGTTATATAAACAGGTATGAGGAAGGCACTTGTAGTTTTTATAAACCATCTTCCCCCAGAACTTTCGAAATCCGGTTTATATTTGCCCCATTCGCCGAACTTGTAAGAAGCTTGTATTCCACGCCGGTAGGGACACCCAAGCTGCAAGAGAGAGCCTCCAGTTTGCCAGGTATGTCGATGGCGGCGAAACGATCCGTGGCTTTGTCGCTGCGGGGGCTGTGAAGCGAGTCATCCTCACGAAGATCCCCCTGACCTTGGGCGAAGGCCCATGGAAGACCCTGGTGCGGGCTTTTGTTGGCCCTTGGGGGTTTAATTAGGGCTTTGTGTTTCGGCCTTTGAGCTTGGGGGTTTCGAACTTTGATTGATCAACTGTTGGCCTGAGCTCATGATAGCCCACCCCAAGACCGAACCCCGAGAACACTCATACGCCACGAACCTGAACTCGGCTAAGCCTTTAGGAACCCTGGCATCCCACACTCTAAACCTCGAAACTCTAATCAAACCTATACACCATGAGAGCCCCCCGTATATCCCCACGGTGGACGTCCTGGTATCCGCACGTTGCGACACCTCTCGGACATCAGAGTGGCCAATGAAGAAGTTGGAATAATTGCCAACATTATTCCGCAGGCTCCCTTTGATAGTTATAAGTTATATATCACATACCCCCAAAACCCTATTGGAATCATTACGCCCCCCCTACATCAGCTTCCGTGGTTTCGATTTGGGGTGCGCGCTCTGTCAGGCTCAGAGCTTACGCTTCCGGGTGCAGGGGTTTAGTGTTTCGGAGATTTATCAATGACGTTCGATGCAGGATGTCTTTTCTTTAGGGACCCAACCAAAGCATATAAGCATAAGCATTTTGTAGGCATAGCCCTACCTTATTGGGCTCCCCTTTTAGGGGATTTATGTGGGATATGTGCTTTTGGGGGCCCCATTTCTGAGGTGTTCTCACATGTGCCAGGGTTGAGTTGAGTGACATGAATCTTTCTGGTTTCTTACGGGTCCCAGTCAGACATTCTACCCTTCACCGAACATCCTAGACGCGTCGAGTGGTCGAGGCATCCCCCTTTTCACGGAAGAGCAAAAGTCGAAACTGAAGGACAGGACGGCCGAGAGAGGGTTTCGTTCCTTGAGGTGGAGTATAGGGGCGTCTGTTGGCATAGCATACATACGTGCGTACATACCATGCCTACATACATTTCATGCACACATATGTACATACATATGTACATGCGTGGGTTTATTCATGTATGTGTGTGTGTGTATGTATGTATATGTGTGTGTGTACATGCATGCAGACAAACCGGCAGATAGACAGCCAGACAGACATTGGGACGAGAGAGTGCTGTTGCTGAAATGGTTTTCATGAAGGCATCTAGATGGGCCCTAAGCTTGATAGACTTTCAGGACTCTGGTGTAGGCTGTCTGAGATTGAAAGGGCCCTGAGACCAATAATTGCGGTTCTTGCTCGCAGCTAGGTGGCTACCTTTGGCTGCTTGGTTAGCTTCGGTGCGAGACACGCTACTGTTGAAGTAAGATATGGAATCTGTGCACTGCCCCCACTCTGTGACAGCTTGATGATAAGAGTATAACATGTATAGAATGGGTATATACGGCTTTAATCTGACCCCTAATATGGACTGTCACGCGGTGGCGTGCCGTACCCAAGATAGGGACACCTCGGAGCCATGCGGAGGAACTGGTACTCGAGGCATTTACGGCTCAATATCCGTTCTTGTTGGGGAGTCGTAGGGTTTAGAGTTCAGGGTTGTGGGTTTAAGGTCTTGTTTAGGGTTTTAGGGTTGTGGGACGAGGCCTGCTGCTACTCCCTCAATCTTTAGGGTTCAGGGTTTCGGGTTTTAGGATCTGGCTAGCCCCAAGCCCAGTGGCAAAAAGGGGCTTGGGGTTTAGGGTTTGAGGGCCCCAAACCCCAACCTTGAAGCAGCCACCTCGGCTCGGCCTTCCGTTTGCAAGATGAGGGCCAGGCGTAGCCCCAAAAGAAATCGTGTGAGGAAGAGGGTTTAGGGTTTAGGGCTGGTTTAGGGTGATGCATGGATCGGTGAAAACGAACGGTGTTTGACACGAACAGACGTTCCGGGTTTTCGGCCGCTGTGCAGGAGGTCAGCTCGAAGACTCTGCGAGGGGGCATGGTCCAGACCACGTACACAATCTGACTGAGGGCACCCTGCATGGGTTGGAGGGTCGCCCTCTCGTTATGTCTTGAACGGTTTGCGGTGAGTGAATAGGCAGAAATCGCAGAGCTAGATATTGTCGGATTTTAAGAATAGAATTATAAGCAGTCCTGCTTCGAGTTACTTGGCATGATCGCCACAAACCCAGTGGCCGCGGAAGATCTCATTTTGGGATCTGGCACGTCGATGTGCAGGTGCAGATGCGGCCAAAAAGAAGAGCAGCCAAGGTAGGTATGACCTGCCCTAAAGCCCTAAGCCAAGATTGTCCCGAAGCTCATGAGACCTAAACTCCCTCTGATGCCGCCTGCCGTGCCGCAGTGTCTGAGCCATCTACCCACCACCACCCCGCAAGCAGCCTTTTTGGGAGCCCTTATGTTCCTTAATGGTGGGTATTTAGGGTATCATAGACTCATAGAGGGTAGTTGGGGGTGCTCGCACTTTTGTTTGCATATTTTCTTCCGGAAACTATAGTAGAAGCTCCCTCCGACGGCTAATGACTACCTATACCATTGGCGGCTCCTTAGTATGAGTATAGCAAAATGGGCCCCAAAATCCGTTTCTAATTATCAAGGCCCCTAGATTTCCTTACTCTGGATAGGATTCAGGCTTGGCGAAAGATTGGAACTTAAGGTGTTCGGTCCAAGTGTCCAACCACGAAGCTTGCAAGGCAGTGCGGGAAATGACGATAAAGGGATGTCGAGATCATGCGAAAGCAGTTGTTTGGCAAAGGTACGGGGAGGGACACTCCGGTCCTCTCGATTTCTCATCCTTTCTATTCCAAATTTGCATCCTTTGACAGCCCGCCCCCTTCCATGCCTCTCGAAGACTTTAAACCCACACCGCGAAGGCCAGAACCGATTTGCCCATGAATATTCCACTGGACCAAGAACCCCATCCCTTGTTGCTTTGGGGCCCTTTCAGCATCTCCAATCTCATTTGTGAAAACCCTCTTCCTGCTTCAGGCCATCGAAGAAAACCCCCTGTCACAATGTTTCAGTTACGGCTGATGATATAAACCCTGCATCACCCATAAGACGGAATATGCCATCAGCCCCATAGTCGAGGGTAATTGAGGTATATAACGCAGAATTTATGCCATCCACCGTAGCACAAGCCAAAACCCAAAACAAAACCCCTACACCCTAAACGCCTGGATTGTCCGAGTGTGAGCGCCGAAACTCTAAGCCCCTAAACCCTAAACCCTCAACCCTAACCTTTTCCATGGCACCCCCGCGTCCCTTCACCTTGGTCTCCAGGTGGCCCCGCTGCGCCGGGAATTTGTGAAAGATCTGGAGTTGGGTCTCAGGCGCTACAACTTCTGCAGCGTTTAGGAAAAAGGGTGGTTTAGTAAATTTAGGGCTCAGAGTCCATGAGCACAAAGGGGGTTTAGTAAATTTAGGGTTCAGGGCTTACTTGTTAAGGTTATAGGTATAGAATATAGAACTGGTTTTGGATGTTGGTTGGGGCCACCCACAGGCGCATGCGGAGCAGTCAGCCGCGCTGAGCGCCGCCGTCGATCAGCTTCTGAATGCTCAGACGCAGTCTGCAAAGGGGATGCCACCAGCGAAAAGAGCCAGCGGCGAACGGTGGAATGCCAACTGGAGGCAGCTCAGGCCACTATTGGTAAGCTCCAGAAGGCCTCTAGGCGGAAGTTGCTGCCCAGAGACGACTTCGAGATAAGCTTCGCCTCCGTCTCGAGGTTACCAGGGGGGACGGGGAAGGATCCCGGTCCGGAAATCACTGTTCCCGATCGGTGGCAGCCCCAAGAGTTCCCGCCGAAGGTGCTCACATCTCCGAAGGCGTACGGGACGTAACGCAAAGGTAGTGATGAGCTGAGGTGCCCGAAAAAACGAGATCCTGAAACCACAACCCGAAGACCCTAAACCTGTACGAACGCGAACCGAAAGACCTCGTCTGGCTGCGCCCGAGTCATGAGAGCGTAAACGCGGACAGGTTCTGAAGAGGGCCCTAGACAAAGCCGACAGCCCGCAAGACACTGAGCCACAGGTCCGGATATTCTCATGCCTGACTACCCACCCGACATCTGATGCAAGTTTTAATTACTCAGTCTCAGGAGTGTTTCGGGAGCCCTAAAATCTATAAACCCTTAACCCTACGGCCTCCTAGAACCCTTCTGGATCCCTTAGTAAGGGAACCCTAAACCCCCTAAGCCCTAAGCCCGTCATCATGAGCCCCCGGATCGTGCCAGAGCCGGTTCAAGACTCTGTCGGGCAAAGCAGCCTAGGAGGATTTCCAGCGCAGGATTTAGGGTTGCAGGTTCGAACTTTAAGGTTTAGGGTGTAGGGTTTAGCTTCTAGTGAACCCCAGAAAGTTGGATTTCCTATACCTTCGGGGAATGAGGATATAGTGATGTTTTAACTTTCCGGCTGGCTCCGCAGTGCCACACCGAATCCTTCACTAATCATTTAAACCTAATCCCCCAGACTTAGACCCGCAACCCGAAACACCCCGCAAACCGCAAGCCCAAAATCCGAAGACTGGCGCCCTAAACCCCCTAGGCCTAAGACCCCCCACATGGGTGTTTCCGAAAATAGGGGACCCGAATTAGTAGGATCCTCATTATACGGATCCCAAAATAAGGTACCCCCTAATTTCGGAAACTCCCACATCGTCAGGATCTTTTACTACTGCTTGCGCCACGCGCCGGTCCCTAGCAAGCCGGCGCCAGAGAGCGAGGCTTCCCCGAAAGCCCAGCCCGCCCCAAAGGACCGCAGAAGGGTTTAATGTAAGGGCCTTAATAATTAGAACAGGGTTTTAGGGGGTCCGTATTGTAATTACATTAAAGTATAATATATCCGCAAACCCCATTCTAATTGCTAAGGCCCCTACACTGCTGAGGCCTGAAGTTGTAATGGTTCCCGGAGGGTGAATTCAGCACTATATAGACTAAGATAGGATGTAGGATTGACGGATTACCGGAAGGAAATACCGTAATGCCTCAAGGTATAGAGGGATCGTTAAGGTGGTTTCAAAGCCTGAATCAAATTGGGCCCTCTGGGTTCCGGTTTGGAGGGTCAGACCAGAGCCTGTGGGTTTGGAGGAGAGTTGTGCGAGCTCGGGCGAGTCTTCTGAGGTCGGAAACGGGGTCATGCTGCTTAGGGCGCACCTGAACCCAAATAACCTACGTGTCTAGGATGATTCTTCTGTATAGAGAAATCCTCGGAAGGATGTAAGTAGATTTCAGGGTCCAGGTAGGGTCATGAACCCTTAACTCCTTAAACCTTAATCGCACAACCCAAATCAGATCAAGTCTAAACCTTGAACCACTAAACCCCCAAATCCTATGAACTATGAACCCTAAACCTCGAAACCAATATCAAGTCTAAACCCTGAACTCCTCTCGTCGGGCTTGTGCGAGTTGTGCGAGCGAGTGAAAGCCCCAAACCCTCTAATGACTTTAACTAAGCCCTGAACTGGGAAACTCGGAACTTCTGACTATATCCTTTCCCCCAACCTCTCACCCGCCTGAGAGTGAGAGAGAGAGAGAGAGCAAATCATTTGTGTTCATCCTTATGTGGGACGCTATGTAGTGTCTCTTGAAGTCTAATGCGGCGAAAGTTGATGAGACATGTATGAATGTGTGGCCAAGAGTTGTTCCAAGGCAACGTCCTGCGAGCTGGCACAAGACTTGTAAGGCCAGCACTGGGTTTGTAATATGCCCAGGGGGGCATGAGACCCATATTCCCAGACACATGTTATTTTCTACAACAATTTGCTCTTCAGCCGTGTCGAGGAATATATGCCTTCTAACCAATGTCCTCGAGAATGTATGTACACCCTCTTTCTCGTTATCGTAGACTATATGGCATGAGCTTCCAGGGGGTACTACATCCGCTCTCACTCCTCCGTCGCCCGATAAAGACATATAAAGACTATCGGGTGGGCTTGAAGCCCGAGGGATTTGATCCCTAAACCCTAAACCCCATGCTCGGGAGAGAGAGAGAGAGAGAGAGAGAGCGAACCTCTAAAACCCTGTAAACTCCGAGACTGGAAACCCCTCAGGGTATAGGGTTTCGCAGCTTTTCAGGAGCCTGCTCCCGCTCACGTCGCGGCGAGCAAGACAGATGAAAGGCGCCATCATGGGGGTTCGACTTTTAGAGGGTTTTAGGAATGTTTTAGGATGTTTAAGGCTGGAACATTCAGGGTTTTAGGGGCTCTTAGGGTTTAGGGTTGTTCAGGAAATTTCCAGGGTTTCAGAGGTTTTTGGGCCTTTAGGAGTTCAGGGTTCAGACGTTTTTTCAAGGGGTGTAGGCCCTAGTTTAGGCGTTAGGGCTTAAGGTTTAGGTTTTAAAGTACTATAAAACCTAATACGTATTATAGGCTAGGACCTGGAGTAGGCCCTTATTCCCTTTTTTTAGGGTTCAGGTCCCCTTATAAGCCCCTTTAAACCAAAAAGGGCACCCTTGTTGTTCCTAGGTTACTCTTGGGTCTAGTAGGGGTTGTTGGGATTCAGGGCCAAGCAGTGTTGGGTCATTCGGCGTTTTAGCGGGTTTGGGGGTTTTAGGCTTTAGGTCTTTAGGGGGCAATGATGCTTCCCAGCTGATCCGCAGAGTCTGGGTTCAAAATAAGATCTTTGGGGGCTAAGGGGTTAGGGTGTTAGAGTGCCAGGGTTTCTTAATCAGGTTCCTACATTAGAGTGTCTTAATCGTTTCGGGGTGTACGGGTAAGGCCTAATCGGAGCTCAGGGTTTGAGGGCTTTCGGTGGTTCTCTGGCGATTGCGCGAGTCCAGATGCCAAGACACGGTTTTCAGGGTTTAGGGTTTTAGGCGTATAGCTCAAAAATTATGCTGTGGTTTTTCTTATGTTGAGAGCTTTAGAGGTTCATGGAAGATTTCAGGAGTTAAGTGGTTTAGGGTTTCAAGTCTGTGCGAAGGGGTGTCGGGCTCTAGAGCCTACCGGCAGTTGCAATACGGTCGAGTCGTCTTAGGCCCGGATGCAAAAAGGGCCCAGGGGTTCAGGGTAGCATGGTCTCTCTTGAAGTGCGAGGCTCATGCCGGAAAAGGAAGCCTCGTTTCAAACCGAAACTCAACGGTAGAGCAGGGCTTTTATTCCTCATCCTAAATCTAATCTTTACCATCCCTGAGCCCTGAATCCTGAACCCCTGCGGCGTACGGACTCATGTTGCAGCCTAGGCTACTAATTATTGGCTTATGCGCACAGTATGCCGCTTATTCGCACTTGGCCTTGACAACCATCGACCGATCTGTTACCGTATAAGACGTTCTTAAGCCCTGTCTTCGAGCATCACACAAGTCCTTACAGACCATCCTGCTAGTAGAGTAGGTAACCTTTACCCTAGTTGGGGTACTCTCGCCCCTAGATAGTCCAATACACTAGTATACTCCCTAGGGTTAACCTTTAGCTTTAGCTCCCCAGGATACTGGACAAGTGATGTAGGGGCCCCTATAAACCCTAAACCCTACAGGACCCTAAACTCTTGAAAAGCCTGCCGGAGGAAACTTCCACTCCTCTGTCCGGGTGTCTGAATCTCGGGAGAGCTCTTGGGAGGTTCGAGAGTAGCGGTGCGCGGCTTCCTTTAAGGGGAGCTCTTAGGGTTCCTTTAAGGGATCTATACGGGTTCCTTTCAGGGATCTATGATGGTTCCTTTAAGGGAATTTATGGGATCTGTAAGGTTTCCATCAGGGCCTTCAAGGCTCAACAACACGTGTCTTGGGATTAAGGCTTGGGGTTTAGGGCATTTAGACTTTAGGGGTGTTGGGTGTTGGGTGTGCGGCGTTTACCGTTCAGTGGTTGGGGGTAAGGGCAGTTTGCCAAAGCCGAAAGGTCGCGAAATCTGAAGTCCCAACATGTCTCTGGCAGTCTGAGCTGCACTTTAGCAAACTCTGAACTAAAGACCAAAAACCCAAAACCCTAAACAAGTCAGTGGAGCCTTGCCTGCCTTGTCCGAGTGTGAGCGTCGAAACAACTCCGCTCACATTGTCGGACCTCGAACCACATGCCTCGCCTGGATTGTTCGAGTGTGAGCGCCTAAACAAGTCAGCTTCTGAGCCAGAGCTCTACATTCTCGAGTTTCAAAGGCATAGGATCCTGTGGCAGTGTTAAGTCCGAGGGCTAGATCAACAGGGACTGCTGAATTCGACACCTATAAGGGCCCCTTTAAGGGATTTGTAGCATTTATGATAGATGTATACATATGTGTATATGTATATATACAGTACACATATTTGTTCTATGTTTATGTACATATGCATATGGGTTGTTTGTGGAGAGGCTACAGCCCATTACCACGAGAGGCCTTCGCCGATAAACCGTTCCTAAGCTTAAACTCGGAGCCCTAAACCCTAAACCCTAAACGCTAAATCGTATCCCTAGACCAATGCCCCAGGCCTAAACTCGAACCGCTGAGGCCTCCATGCGAGAGCAGCTGAATTTGGTGCCGAAGCATCAGGCAGCCTGCCACAATGGAATATGGAGGACCTGTATCGACGTTTCGGGGTTTAGCACGTTCCTGTTGCAGAGTTGACGGTTTAGTGCTCAGCGGTACAGAAGTTACAGTCAAAGCCTGCGCTTGCCCTGCGCAGTGGTGGTAGTCGTAGTAGTGGTGCTAGGGATACCAGTGGTACTAGGGGTAATAGGCGAACAGTAGTCTACGTACTCCTAGTAGTGCTATGGTCGTATTAAGTACTACTGGTAGCACTAGTACTACTAGTTGATAGTTCAAAGTATCAGTACTACTAGTACAACAACAACAACTACTACTACTACTACTACTACTACCACTACTACTACTACTACTACTACTACTACTACTACTACTACTACTACTACTACTACTACTACTACTACTACTACTACTACTACTACTACTACTATTACGACGACCACTAAGACTACGACTACAACGACGACGACTAGTAGGCTCCATCATCCACGTTTGCCACGCAAGAGGCGCCTCAAACATGTCATCAGGGATTCGTTTCACTTGAACATGTAGAGTGTGTTGATGTGGAAAATGTGTTTTCGCTCTGGTGTTAAGCACATTTGGCAGGCTCATCTGAGACTGTGAACAAGGCGGTATGTCTCATCTGCATGTGGAGACTGCTTGATTTCGGCGTCGGTTTTTGTTCTGAAATCGGTAAAAAACATTCATTTTTTGCGGTTTGGTTTCCAGGCAAATGCAGCTTTTCACTGCGGCAGCAGCCAGGGTGTGTCCTCGAACAGATGTTTTGCGCAAGCGAATCTTCCACATCAGCCTGATTTGGGCTGTTTCACCTGCGTTCTATGTGGCAGGCGCAGGACTTACGAATACAGGTGGTTTCGAAGATCTCAAAAACTAGTCTTTGCTAATTATGAGTTACTGATGATAGTATGGAAGATACTGATGATGAGTACTGATGTTAACTGTTAGTATGAGTTCATCATCATCATCATCATCATCGCCATCACCATATCGTTGTGTACTATGTTGTGCAAAAAGGCACAACTGCTGTAAATACCAGGAGGGCATGATCGCACTAGGTCACTAGGCATCACTGCTTATGACGGTGCGTCTTATTGCCAGAAAGCCAAACATCCTTCTGCAGTATGCCGTATAAGTTGTCAAAACCCTGTAAACACCGGTGGTTCGGGCATGCTCGCACAAGGCATGAACGCGTGTGACAGCATGCCAATCCACATGGAAGCTTACATGCCACTGGCCGATGTAAACATGCCGTCATTACACCCCGTCCCACCCCACCCCACCCCAGAGTGCCGCACGCGTGGGTGATGGAGCCTACTTCTACTACTGCTGTTAGTACACAGAAAATCTTGACGCCCGTAACAAGAAGCCGTGGGCTTTGAATCCAAGCCTTCGACATTTGCAACTCCCAAGCAGCAACCTCCGCGCCTTGAGAGGCTTTGGGTTTAGGGGTGTGAATGACTAATTAATGAAAGTATTCCTCCTTCACGGCCTGAAACCTGGAGGGGGACGGTCTGGGTTTAGGCCTTGACGGGTCTTTAGGACTTCAGGCGTTGGCAATCAGGGGGCCGAATACATTAAACCGGAGCATACCCAGAACCTGCACTTTTTTGGGATAGCCTGTGTGATACAGTAAGGAAGTAAGTTACACAAACAGGTACTCGTACCAGTGACTTACCAGTGCCCCAAAACCCATCCATGCGCTACGATCTAAGACCGGAGGTGCCCTTTGCTGTGCTGAGCAACCCTAAACCCTAAACCCCTAAACCCTAAACCCTAAGTGTGAGCGCCGAAACCCTAAACCCCTAAACCCTAAACCCTAAACCCCTAAACCCTAAACCCTAAACCCTAAACCCAACCCCTGTGCCTCGCCTGGATTGTCCGAGTGTGAGCGCCCAAACCCCCAAACCCTAGGAGGGAAAAGACCTGAGGTGCCCATTGCCGTGCTGAGCTTGAACCTCCTGTCGCCTTGCTACGTTCGCCCGGGGCCCCACGGTAATATGATTCCCCAGACGCTTAGAATTTTGGGCGTACCTGACTATAATTATAGTATAATGGGCCCCAAAACCCTATTCTAATTATTAAGGCCCCTATGTTAAATAGGGCAGGGTTCAGCGGTTGATGGGTGGAGGACTCGGTCTTGGCGCTTTGTGCTCTTAATGTAGGGGCCCTAATTATGAGAAAAGGGTTTTGGGTTCCTTTTAGGATAGTTATAATAAGGAACTCTGAGGAATAATATTGGTAATTATTTGCGCTTCTATGCTACAATCCCCCTATGTCAACTTTTGTTTTGCTAAAAAGCTCTTTATGAAAGTCTTCCTTATCACTTTGTCATGCATCCTGGCCGTATCCCTGCACCCTCCACCTCATCCTAAATCCCACAACCGGCGACTGTGACGCTTGCATGCGAATACATGGACGAATTAGGTGAGACTTGTCGCTTAATAATACGTATCTCAACAGGGCAGTCGCAGAAGCTGGCCTGTCAGGCTGATGCCAATCCCGCTTGTGCAGACAAAACTGTATGGGACGGGAGTCGTTTGGCCTACATGATGACAGGGAGCCACACGGAATAAGTAGTAACAGTATGCCTTAGCGTTCCCATATATCATATAATCATACTATGTTATGCCCCCAAACCCCAATACTGTTCGAGTTCTCAAGGGCCCAATCTTGCATCAAAATGGGAGGGTCTGGAAACGCAGCATATGTGCCGTAACAATTCGAATGCTGGGTCTAGTTGTCCAGGCCCCCTGCAGTATGTCCGCTCGACTGCTTACTGCGACTAATATCCTTCTCGGAGATGGACACTCTAAACCCCAAACATCGAACCCTAAACCCTGAACCGTGAGGGAAAAATCCGAAGCCCTAAACCCTAAACCTTGAGCCCTGACCTTAAAGAAGAGCTCCTGCTGCTTCATCTCTCAGGGACTGAGAGTCCATGCACATAGTGGTGGTGGCCACAGAAACATCAATAGTGGCGGCGATCTTGGTCGCGATCGTAACGGAAGGTGGTATGGGTACTCGTAGCAGCAAGTAGTACATGTAAACGTTCTTTGTAGTTTAGCATTTCGATGTTTTGTCCATGCGCTTCATGGTCATCTTTCTGCAAAGGTTTGATCTTTAGCCGGCGCCTGTGCGCATCCACAAACCTCGCACACAAATACGATCGAATGCCATGACAGCTAAACAACCGAAAACCCTTGGCACCCGAAAACGCTGTGGAGCCATCATCTGGGAGTTTCCGAAAATGGGGGACCCTGATATAGTACCCTAAATAGTAGGATCCTTACCATAAGGACCCCAGAACAAGGTACCCCTAATTTTCGGAAACTCCCATCTTAGGGATAAATAAGTTTAGAGGCGCCCTTATCAGCCATGGGCACCTGCAGCAGCACCACCTACCGCCGGAGCGTTTCCGGAACTGCGCTGGACCCTTTGCAACTTGCGTGCTCCTTGGATGCACGGGACGCGAAGGGCTGACACCCCACTCCGAAACTGCCAATGAACACAGTACAACAGCTCCAGGTTCTAACCACCTAATGTAGCAACCTGATGAAGAAACCCTGGGTGTATAACCCCAAAATAGTAGGATTCAAAAGTAAGGAACCCTAATAAAGGCCCAAGGCTTCTTAATCAGGACCCTACGTTACGCCCTCAAAGAAAGCCCCACACTTCCGCAGGGCAAGGAGCTTTTGCTGCTTCGGCATCGTCGAATTCGCTTGGTGATCTCCACCGCACAACAACCTTCGCGATGAACCTGGGCTTAGGGTTTAGGCTCGGAGATGGGGTTCAGGGTTCCGGCTTGGTGGTGGGAGTTTCAGCATTCAGGTTTAAAGAATGAGTTTGGGGACGTAGGGTGTTTGATGGTGTGTGTGTGTGGACTCTTCAGCGCCAGGCGCTGGAGGAGTGTCCCTGGGGCAAGGGTACCAGCTGTATTATTGTACTAAACGGACGCAGCATGCCCAAGGGCACGGCGAGCCGCAGTGTATGAAGCAGTAGCCCCTCGCAACATGCGTGTTCGACCTAAATGCCATGGGTAGGCACGAGTTGAACAGCAGCATGGCCGTACTGCTTTTAGTCTCGCGCAGCCCAAAAGTCCGCACACTTACTGTCCAGCTCAGTTGCCCAAAGAGCCACAATCCGGAAGGCCGGAGACGTAGGATGGCAAGAGAGGATCTTGCGGGAGATAGTGTCTGCGGTTCATGTGATGTGTTCCTGCCTTGATTTTTCCTCTGTCTTTCGAGACGTTCAATCCATGTTATACGAGCTCGGGTAGTAGCTCTTACAGTAGGAGCCAGAGTTGATGTCACAGCGGATAGTCCGGGCTCGGGCATTAGTAGAGGGCTTAGGGTACTCTGGGCGTAAGTGTCGGGGGATCTATGTGACTCGTGCAGGAAACCGTACTTGGAGGATCATGGGACTTAGTAAATATGTCTATAAACAAGATAACTGTGCATATAGCTGCTTATAATAACTCCAATTAAGGTTCTTATAACTCTACTTACTAAGTCTCATGATCCTCCAAGTAGAACCTTAAACCCTAAACTCCTCAACCGTATACATGCTAAACTCCAGGTACATGCTCCTGCACCCCTGAACCCTAAAACACCCTAAAGCCTAACCCCGAAAATGGCAGTCACCAAAGAACAAGAACTTAGGAAGATTCCAGGATTCACGGAGTCTGTTGTTTAGTATAGGTGCCTTACTAGTTAGAACCAGGCTTCTTGTATTATAAGAAGAAGCCCCCCAAAATCTCTTTTGAACATTATTAAAGCCCCAACGTTAGGGTTCCTTTTTTGGGCTCTAGAGGGGTATCGCTTTCTGCTATTGGGAAAGACGGCCCCCACCCAGGCCGCTGAAAGCAGCTTTCAGATAGCCTCACATGGAAGCTGGAATGATTTGACATAGCAATACTAATCTTTATGTTTCCTGAAGAAGGATAAGCATGTATGGATGGATAGGTAGATAGATGGTTCACGAACAGTAGCAGTAGTGTTAGTACTAGTACTACTGCCAGCCGGAGCTTTAGTGGTACTAGCACCAATTCATCAGGAGTACTGGTTTCCTGTGTATGGAATGCGATTTCCTTCTCCAAACTAGGAGGGAGGTTGACTTGTTCCCCGGGCAGATGCACGCACCCCAGCACCCTAGCGGCGCGGCCTCGAGCGGTGAACCTTACAAGCCTTCTTGCACAGAAGCTGCTTGCAGCTACTGACTGTACCTGGGCACCCATGAACCCTTGAAAATACAACAAAACTCTGGTGAGAATCATAATTACACGCCTATCCAACCTCATAAAGGCCTTTCAGCCGCAAGCCCCACATGAAGAACATACAAGACAAGCCGTCCTATCATCCGCTGAGGACTTATCCGATGTATGTGGTTGCTTTGGAGGCCGGGGCTCAAGTCACGGTTTTGGGCGCGGGGTTACTTGATACAAGGGCCTGAATAATCTCTGGCCCCGGGTTCCTTATGATAAGTATTTGTACAGTATAATGTACACTAAAAGCTTTGTTCTTTGTATTATGTCATGCAGTAACTTCTACCCTCACCAGTAGCTTTTTGAAAACTTCTAGAAACCTTAGATGCCCAATGCCCTAAAGCCCTTAGTGGAGCTTAGTGGAGCCTTGAACTACTACGAAGACTAAGACTACTACTACTGGTACTACTACTACTACTACTACTACTACTACTACTACTACTACTACTGCTACCACTAAATGCCCTTAAGCCCCTGAACTGGAGGTGTTCATGAAGATGACGGAGGTCCGACCGCACGAGGAGCCCCTCGGCCTGTGACTTGTTCTTTCGGGGGCTTGGGGCTTAGGCGGTTTAGGGTTTAGGGGTTTAGGGTCTAGGGTGTAGAGTGGGTGTTCCTTTCCTACATCCGAAACCACCGAAGAAACCTTGCGTAAACGTCCCAAACACGGAATACATACATCCTCTAATGCGCCCAGGCTGCTGGAAAAAGGGCCTAAAGCCTAAACGTCGTGAGCGTCGAATACATGCCCTGATCACGCCCAGGCTGCTGGAAAAAGGCGTGGTCATCCAGTACAACCAGAGCATGGGAGATGTCTCTCGCCTTAGGTGTGTCTCCACGGGTTTCTTGGAGGGTTCAAAAGTCTGGGGTTTGGAGTTTTCAGGTTTTAGGGTTTAGAGTTGTAGGGTTTAGGGCTTGAGGCCGTGTAGAGCTTTGGGTTTAGGGTTTGGGGCTTAGGGTTATGATCCTGAAACCTGTAAAGTCTAGAAGTGTTTCTAAGCGTTTCTGAGTACGTATATTTACGGTTCAATGTACAGTATAATCATTGCCGATTCTCCTTCGAGTTCCCAGCTATATCTACACTGTAGTTTAGGGGTCGGGAAATTTTGTGCGTATGGCTCCCCAGTGGAATCATCGTACCGCATAACCCAAAACAGCATTGTAACGAATCAGACGCGTCTATGACTTGCACGACTTCGGAGGACTAAGTGGGCTGTTTTCGTGTCCACAAGATGTCTGTTGGGCCTACTTCTTACAAGGAGCTGTGGCTTGGCAAGCAGGTTCTAAGGGGACCTACAGGTACACTCCGTGGGGCTATACACAATCCCTCAACCCTAAACCTTAAACGTTAACCGCAAGGCTTATAATCTGGCACGTGCCTTCCTTGTTGTAAGTCCCAAGGACAGCCGATTTCTTGGGGTTTGGAGGGTCTTCGGTGTCAGGTTGAGGGTTCATATTTTGAAGGGCTGGTATGGTGTAGATTCATGCTAGGGTCCTTGTTGTACCGACCAGCTATATATGCTATGTGTATTGAGAGCGCAACATATGGGGGATCTGTCCCAGCTTCTTCGAGATTCCTGGTTCCAAACTATGTCTTACATATCCTGACCTATCTCAGGTGAAAACCCTAGCCGGAAAGATAATACTGCTATCCCCCTAAAACCGCCAAAGCCCTATTCCTATCAGAAAGGCCCTTGCTGTTCTAGCCGCGAGGTATGTTGGCTTTCCAAACTCTTCTAAACGTCGGGCTTCAGGGTTTCGGCTGCCTGGGTGGTAGGATTCTGCTGTTCGAATTCTCCGGGCCTCGGCCGGGGTTGTATAGTTATAGGTTGGGGCCAGGCTTGAAGGGTTTAGGGGATTTCTCGGGTGACTCCGTCTGGTGAGCAATATAGGGGCCTAAGTCATGAGGCCCTTGACTTGAAACCTCCGGGCACTCACACCCCCTACAGTAGAAGCCCAAAAATTGGAAACCCCATAGCCTCAATCCTATAAGAGTAATGTAGAGGGAATCCCAGCACTATTTGGCCTTAATCCGGTTTCCAACTTTGTGGGGTTTACTATAAACCCTAAAACCCTAAAACCCAGGCCCTCTGGAGGCTCCCCGAAAAGTTGATCCCGTAGAAAGGGGTTTCTCTAAAGTACCCTTTGACAGCACAGGGCCCCAATTTGTGAAATCTGCTTTTCAGATTTCCTCCTGGGGGTTTTGGTAATTCCCAGAATCGAGCCGAAAAGGTCATCTTCGTGTCGCACCAGTGGACGAGCTACACTCACCCGGATCCCCACTTCCATCAGCTGCGGGCGCTTTTTCTGGGCATTCAGTCACGGGCTTGCTGGAATTTACTTGGCATGTTGTTCTTGTCCTTAGTAGTAGAGCGGGTAACCTTCTTTCTGTCATCGCAAAGTTTTTTTTGGTGTGTTATTTTAGACAATCGGAAGAGGGAAGGGGGATTCCTTATGATGATTGTACCATAATATGCCCTAAACCCTATTCCAGTTATTAGGGCCCCTACATCACAGCCTTTCGGCGCCCCAAGCTCCTGGAGGTGTCGTTTCAGCGTTTTCTGGCAGCTCTGCGGGATACTTGTGACTGAGCAACTGATCCGACGCTCATTGCCTTCCGCATGCCCTGAAGAGCTAGCAGCTAGAGACGTCAATCATACCACCCTACTCAGAAACTTTGAAAGGCCTTTGGCCCCAGTGTCTTGAAGCTCATGAAGCTGCATTCCTTGGGCACCCCATGTTCTGAAAGTTTCTTGAGCAGCTACAGGTGGGGCTATAAGCACAATACTTTTGATTATGATTCTCTGACCTTTAACTTTGTTCGCCTGGCCATTTATGGGCGTCCGCGTGTGGAAGAGGATGTACACAGGCAAAAAAGCACAAGCAAAAGCGTCGAACCCAAACTTCAGTTTAGGCTGATTGTAGGCAGCATCAAAGGGGCGTGACAACACAAACTTAGTTTAGCTTTCTCAACGACCACAAGACCGTAGACTGCGCGAAGAGCGGAGGTGCTACAGCAGGCGCTGACAAACCTCCTGCACCTTATCCGTAAGGGATCTGGGGAATTAGGGGTTCAGGGCTTGCAGCTTCAGAACCCTTCATTTCATAGGCCTGATTAGTCCTTATTATGGGCCTTAAGGCCCCCTACCCCCCCTCCCCCTACACCCCTAAGGATCCCTATGATCATTGGCAGTAACACTCCGTTCCTTTTCCCTCAGCCTGCTGCAAGGGTTTTTAGGTTTGGTTTGTGTGCTTTGTGTTTTTGTCTAGGGTTTCTTTGAACTCAAACGAGGGCTGGAGATGATCTTCGTGTATAGAGCACACAGAATCTTGCAACTTGCTGCTGGATTTCGCCTTAGGGGTCTGTGTTGGTGCGATTTGTGTGTCCTTCTAACAGTTAGCAGTATTGAGGAACCCTACGGATTGGTATGCTAATTATTGAGGGCTCTTCATTCTGCGTTTGCTTTTTGTTGGTGTGCCGGGGGCGGGCGGGCTCTCTTTCAAAACTGAGGAATAGCAATTGGAGTGCCCAGATTATTCAGCGGATAGATACTGGGTAGACCTGGCGCCGCAGCATTGGCTTGTCAGGGATGTTGGGATCCTTTCGGGGCCAATAATTTAGTAAGGAGCCCGGGAGACTAGCCTGACATGGAGGTGCTGATCGTTGGTAGGAGCACCCCGTCATAACACGTTTGGAATGCTATGACCATGAAATCATATTCGCTGCCCCAACAAAGCTCGTCGCATCTGTATTGCACGTTTACATTTTCAGGTTCCTAGAACTTGGCAACAGGTCGGAGGGTCAGTCCTGGCAGCCAGCAAGCCCGGGTTCAAAAAAGGTTCCTAGACCAACCTGGATTTTTTGGTCAACGTCGCCCTATTGAAAGGTTAGCCTTGGTTGGGCCATGGTCCTGAACCACTAATGTTCGGTTTTGGGGCGATGCAGGCGTTAGTCAGTTCAAGACCCCCAACCTCCAGCCTAATTCGTCGAATGTCCGACCCGGTTCAAGATATGTACGAACTGTTGGGCCATGCCCTGCGCACCCAGGACGAAGATGACAACGGCCCCTCGGCTTATACTTCAGTCATGAGATGAGGCATTCACTGTGCAGCGGCAGGCAGACAGACCAGACCCGACCCGACCCGACCCCACAAGACCGAAAGAGAGCAGACAGACAGACAGACCGACCGACCGACCAACGTTTACACATGCATATACATGGACACATACATTTATGTAAAGAAAGGAATGCATAAGTACATGTTTATATATATATATACACACCCACCTACTTATATATATATATATATATATATATATATACCCAATGTACACACACCCACCCCCACACACCCACAGATCCGAAAGCTGGGATCTCCCCGAGGTCCACCCGCAGTTCATGAACTTCGTACCTGTCGGGAGCCGCCAGCGGTTGACGGCAGAAGAGCTGTTGGAGAGAAAGCTTTTTCTGTGGCATCTTGGACACGTTGTCTTGGGGCTCCGGCTGGAGGATTTATACGGTTTAGGGTAGAGTGCTGATGGTGATAATAAAGTAGTGGAGACGCCACTATTCGTGGCATTCTTCTAAGCCGACAAGCACAAAGGGTTCCAAATGTTAAGGACGAAGAGCTGTGGCTTTATTTTCAGGTTTCTGGTTTGAAGGCCAAGGGAATTCAACATGCACCGCAGCTCTGTTACTCTGCTTTTGGGCTACGGACAGGCGACGGATGTGCGACAACCCCACCTGCAGTGCAACTGAAGCGAGAAACGAAGGACATGCCATCTGTTCTGGCATCAATGAATACTGCGCAGGAGGTTCAGAGTATACGGATCTCCAACATTAATTGGCCTCTTAGTAGTAGACCCATACTATAAATCCTTGAAAGCAGGTCCGATAAATACAATGCCCTCTTCTCGCTTTCAGGAGACTTCTCATGTGGAGCTGTTGGCCAAGCCCGTACCTCTCAATAGCACAAGACCTGCTCGACTCCGTGGTGCTGACGGAAAAGTCGCAGAAGGAAACCAAGGACCATTATACGCTCCAGCTATAAAAACTGGAAATTATGATAAGGAACCTTATACATATTTCGTTGGGACTAGCTTGAGGCCTTTTGTGTAAACTGAGTTGCCATTTTTCTTGCCAAGCCTGCCCAACCGCGCCTAAACGGTGAAACCTTGAATCTACACCTTAAGATCTCCCCACACAAGCTTGGCAAGAAATATTCGTAATCCCTAAACCCAATCCCGTACAGAGCCCTTGCAGAACCTTTATGCCTCTTGCAACGCCCCACACCGAAACCCCAAAACCCTAAACCCCTAAACCCTCAACCCTAAGCCCCTAAACCCTAAACCCAACCGAGCTGTCTAAGGTACGACTTCTTCGCATGCCCACAGCTGGAGGCGAGATCGGACTCTCAAGACACTCACCTGGCTTTCCAGTACGGTGAATGATATAAGTCCTGCATTACCCGTAATAAGGAAGATGCCATAATTCCCATAGTCTAGCGTCAGTAAGGTAATGCGGTGTTTCGATCATCAGCCGTAGTGCCTTTTTTCATTTCCTGTTAGGGTCTTTCTGTTTTGGGAGTCTGCGCGAGACCTAGGCTTGGCAGTGGAAAGCCCGATCTGATCTTTCATATGCGCGTTTGAATGTTGTGAGTTAGTCTTGTAAGTGTAGGCTTCTAGTTTCTTACGAGTTGATCTTGTGCTGAAAGCTAAAGCTTTAAGCCTCATCGTTGTTTGCGAAATAAGGACATCAAACCCTCTCTGCAGAACGCAGTGGACAGCATCCCCTCCTATGTCCAGATGTCACGGTTTTTCTTTGCTCCTTGGCGCTTCAACAACTACTATCAGATTCGATTTTGCTTCATGGTGGGTTTGCACTGTTGCCGGATTGCTATTGGGGTCTGCAGGTTTCATATAGGGGTCGGAGTAACTCGAAACCATACTGTACCTGAGGGGTTCCTTAATATGGTTCTGGTATAATGTATCTCAACACCCTACTCTAATTACTGAGGCCTACACTAATTAAACAGGGCTTTCAGTGTGAAGGTGTGGCCGGGCTGCCCCGGCAGAGTTGGAAAGCTCCAGACCAGCAGCTAAAAGCCTCAACCAAAACATCTGCAGGAGATCTTGTAGTGGCTATCGTCCCCTTCGGAATGATTTTCTTATATGAAACCGAAGAGAATATCAAAAATACTGTTTGGTGTTCATTATGGATCTAAGTGGGGTATGCACAGTAGTACAGGGGTCGGAATGATTTACAGGGCAGGAGCTTTTAATGTAATGATACCAGAATAAACACCAAGACGGTCGTCTGAGTATCGAGGCCCCTACAGAAGGGGAGTAAACGACCTCCCAGAGACTCCAATATCCCTTAATTAAGGAATATTCCTTAAATCATAATAGTGATCCTACTATAACTTACGGTATATTCCTTAACTAAGGGGGATTGGAGTCTCTGGGCTTGATCTTACTGGGGCTGTTACAATGGCTACACATATTCCCGGAGGCCAACCTTCAGTTCCTCTGGGAAGCTGGGCAAGTAAGATATGCATGCTGCTTTGACACGGGCTCCTTTGCTTTAGGGTCGCTGTTGAGAAACTTGCTAGTAGTTAAACTAATAGTTCAACCCGGAAGCGAACGAGTAGTTCCTGAAGTGTGAACGCCCAAAGCCCATCGCTTCGGACAGATGCTCGCCCTGTAGCACTTAAGCTAAACACCATCGCAGTAGAGTTTGGATGTAGTCGTAGGACGCCATGCCATGCCCCCAACAAGGGGTTCCACCGAACACGGCAAGTGAAACGGGACGGACATTTACCCAACCCAGATACTTAAGCCCTGCTGGGAATCCCAACTACCTCTTTATTGTTGCCCTGGTGAGTTGCCTCAGACCCCTGTCAAGGGCTGTTGGGGTTTCTGGTAAATCCTCAACCTTGTACCCATCCCAGGTTCTGGCACCCGTCATGGAGCATGCGGAGAACGGCAAAATGCTGAGCAAGCACAGCTGGACGGATGCGCATTTAAGGTTTCGGCAGTTCCAGGGTCTGGAGATGTGTATAGGAGCTGAGGGTTTTCGGAGCTGTTGGAGCCGCAAACATCCCCAATGCCTTCCGCTCCATAGACATCCGCCTAGTAGTAGAGCAGGTAACCTTGAACTTGTTTTGGGTAGTATAGTCCCTTATATAATCCGTATATGACCAAAAAGATTAACCTTTATAATGGTTCTCCATGATACCCGACAAGTAGGTCCGAGACCCCTTTGAGCTCCCGACACACTTTCAGTAAACGTCGGATTCTTGAACGCATTAGGGGCCTTGAGAAGGAGTTCGTCATTCAGGACGAAAGCCCTAAAGTAGAATCCTGGATACGATCAGGTCCGGTTCGCAGAGACACCAACAGCAACACCCCTTACTTACAGGAAGGAATACACCTCAATCTGTTCAAGGAACCTTCGAGGCTCTGATGTATCTTCCTCCTTTAAAAGATCATTTGATGCATCTTCCTCCTCTTATGCCTTAGCGCCTTGGAGCTTGTGATTATAGTTGTACTCTATAAATAGAACCCCCAAATCCCAAAACCCTGGTCGAATGATGAAGGCACCTACACTAAACCCCCAACCCCGTAAGCTTATTCACATGTCTGACGAGTGCTTCGATGTGTTTCGGGCGTCGGCCGAAGGAGATCTCGTGGCTGGTGTCGCACAGAACGCGTTGCTCGAGAGCTGTGCCTTTGGCACCACATTTGGGTTTAGGGCTTTAGGGTTTAGGGTTTAGGGTCTTGGGATAATCAAGCCTGTGGGAGAAAAAAAAGGGTCTTGGGATGGGAGACTATACTGAACTTAGAACCCTAGCAAAAATTATAGTTTTAGCTGTTTCTTTTAGGGATTATAATAACAAAAAAAAGTATTTCTAAGTACCCCAGGAGAGCTGTGCCTTTGGCGCCACATCTGGACATATTGGGATTTAGTGCTTTTAAGGTTTAGGGTAGTGGGAGTTTCTGAAAATTAGGGGTACCTTATCTAAGGGTCCTTGTAATAAGGATCCTACTACTTAGGGTTGTAGATTAGGATCCCCTATTCGAATTTTCGGAATCTCACATTTGGATATATTGGGATTTCTGAGGGTCTAGTTGGATGTGACAGCGTCTTCCAGGGGTTCTACGAGTTCTTGGAAGGGCCATATACGGCGTATTTCGTCTCCAGTTGCAAAAAAAATCAAAAATTGGTGCCTCGCAATTCAACCAGATTCCTATTCAGATTCCGGGTTCAGGGTTTAGGGTTTAGGGTTTAGGGTTGGGAGAGAGAGAGGGAGAGAGAGAGAGAGAGAGAGAGAGAGGGTCTAGGATCTCAATGCTGGCACAGAAGAGTCCTAGGATGGAGGCTTGGGCACGAGTCCGGGCTGGGAGTTTTGAAGCCGACCACGGTCGTATCTCTATATTTGTATCCTTATAACACCCTCAACCCTAAACCCCCAAACCCCTATATAAACAGCATTTTTGTCGTTTGGTGCCGCACGGCTCGAAGCACTAGGAGGACTCCTCCAAAACATCGACGGCAGCGTCCCCTCCGAACAGTCATCACTTGTTTCAGCGATGCTATCAATCGATGTAGACTTTTAATTTTAATTTTCATGTTCGAAGCCGAGGACCCTAAACTGGAGACCCTTGCGTTCAGGCTTTGTTCGCGAGACATGCATGACATCAGGGTTTCTAGAGCTTGGGGTTTAGGATCACGAACATGGCTGGTGTTACTGTATGGCTCTTGACCAAGTCATGGTCCGTTTGCGCTCGCTACTGCGGTAAGCTGCGGCGAAGTTTCGACAAAGGGGACCCAGGGACTCCAATATCCCTTAATTAAGGAATATTCCTTAAATCATATTAGGGATCCCTACTATAGTTTAAGGTATATTCCTTAATTAAAGGATATTGGAGTCTCTGGGGAGCCGACCTCTGAGTCGTCGCTGCACGCGTTGACTCATCACTCGTCACCTGAGGACTTGCACGGATTCCCGAATGGCGCCTTAGCTGCAATACTTTTGTGCCTTGCACTGGAATAAAATTACGTTTCGGGGGAAGGGCTGTGATGATGTTGAACCTGTTGTTGGCATCGGATGTTGACTTGCACATGTCCGCTACAGAGCCTCTAGACCTTAAGCACTACCCTGCAGCTACAGTGAGTGAAGAATCTAAGCCAGTGTTTCGGGAGCCAAGCGGCCAAGCCGCAGGGCGGTTCCTGGAAGGTTCCTTTGGGTCGCGGAGTTTCAGGGGACAGTGGGGCATACGGTTGATGATATAAATCCTGCATGACCTTAATGACCCTGAACTATGGGATTTATGGTATATTCCTTATTATGGGTAATGCAGGATTTATATCATCAACCGTAGGGCTTGCCTTCTGGGGACGTGTCAGGTTCAGAGAGGATTGGGGCCTAGCAAGACAGAGTCGACGGTCACATTGACGCATCCTTGCCTTCAGGCTTGTCTTCCATCTGCTCTGTAGATAAAACGCATAGGTTAGAAGGCGGTAATGAATCCTGAACCTGCCAGCTAGGAGGTTGGTAAACCTACAGGAGGAAGTCCCTTCAGGTTCGATGTGATTCTGCTCCTGTCCTCTTCCAACATACCTTGAAGGCTTTCGCGATGAGACTTGCATAGGCCCTGGCTTCTGCTTGGAACCTACTTGCAAGCTCGGGCCAGTTCGTTACTTTACTTACTTCTCCCCTTCCCCTCCTTCCGTGACATTTGGAGTCTCAGAGCCTCTTCGAAGTTCCCTAAGAGGCCCGGCCCATCGGAGCAACCTCCCGGTCAGAATTGCTAGGAACCGCCCGAACTCTGAACTGCCCGGACCCCCTAAGCCCCAAACCCCGTCATTTCCCTTTAAAGGGAACCTATTCACAAATAATCTTAAAAGGGTTTAAAGCACAACCCAGTAAAATGCAATACCAGGAACCTCGCCCAGGCAAGTCCGAGTGTGAGTGCTGACATTGCGATAAAGACGAAGCATGGAGACCAGAAGCCCTGTGCCGTAAGCAGACTGCACGCTGGAACATCTGCCCCGCCCCCAAGATTATGGTTCACATTTCAGAGTTTTCGGTTTAGGGTTTCGTATTTAGGTTTCAGGGTTTAGGGGCATGTTGCAATAGTATCCCGGTGATGGGTTCTCCTGACCCACTTTCCTGTATAAGCCCTAACCCACAGTTGATGGGGCCTACAAACTGCGAGGTGCTGATAGCTTGAGCCCTGAATCCTAGACTGTAATCGCATCGTGATTGTTTGAAGGGGGCTTGAGTTGCAGGTCGTCGTGGAAAGCGCAGAGCATCAGCGCCCGGGCTGCGATTGAACAGAAGGGTCAAGTGGAGCTGTCTGGAAACAGTCGATGTTTAAGGGGTTTAGGGTTTAGGATTGGATGTTTTGTGCAGGGTCTGACAAGGGGTTTCTCAGTATTACGGGCACCTGAATTAAGGGTCAGTTCGGACCCTGCTGGTCTGGCCGGGTCACCTTGGACCTCGTGATTGAAACTCCCAGCTTCACATAGATACCTCAGAGGAGGACACGTTCAACCCGTCCCTGTTTAAGTGCAAATGCTAGAGCCGGAATGTTCAGAGATGCCGGTATAAGCCCTCATGTCACATTATGAGCCCCAATACATAGGACCTTGCAGGGGTGACCCTTAAACCCTAAGCCCAAACTTAGAACCCTTATATACAGTTTCCTTATGGGAACTCTGAAAGGAGCCCATATCCACACAGGAATGGCTGAGCCTTATGTCAACACTCAGGTACTCGTATATCAGCGGTTAACCCTAAATCCTGAGACACCAAACCTCACAACCCTAAACCCGAAACCCCAACAGTCCCACTATAGTAGGGTACTAAAATGTAGAATATCAGGCCTTAATAATGAGAACAGGGTTGTAACAAAGGGTTCCGGTAAGGCATACTACCAAACCTTCAGCCCTACTGTAAGGTATCTCATGGTTCCGTTCGACTCCTGGCTGCGGCCGGCTGGCGAGGGCCAGCGATCTGGCTGCAGTGAGGAAGCGACGTAGAAGAGCAGGTTTAGGATTTAGGGTTGAGAGTTTAGGATTTAGGGTTGAGACTTTAGGATTTAGGGTTGAGAGCTCAGGATTTAGGATTTAGGTCCAGGTAGCCTTTAGGGCAGGTCTTTGTGCAAGGGCTTACCGGCTGCTTTACCAGAGTTCGAATTTATGTTCTAGGGTTGATAGCCAGGCTGTTAACAGGTTTTCATAGGTTTGGATAGGGATGGATAGGGCTTGGTGGGATTATGTGGGAATTCAAGGTTCTGGATCAGGGTTTAGGAGTAAGATATTGGCTTAAGATTTGTGGCTCCAGGGTATCAGGGTGCAGGGAACTGGGTTTATGATTTAGGTTTTGCTTTATTTCATACAGGGTTCTGGGCTCGGGGTTTAGGAAGCTTTCGAAAAGGTCGTGTGGCGGCCTTAACTTGCTATGCGGTTGTTGGGGTTTGTTTTGGCTCTTGACTGTGCGAGTATCTAAGTCTGTGCCTTGAAGTTTGGGGTTCCGGCTGTTCCCCGATCATTCGTTCAGAGGCGTGAGTTTGCTTTTGCGAACTTGATCAAGCGCACGTGGAGGGTCCGGGTACAGATGCGTGCCGGCTTGCTTCTTTTCATCCGAAGAAGTTCCCGCAGGCAGCCCATTGAGTTTAGGCTGTGGTTCGCGTGTTGCTGGCTTGCCGAACTTCCCACCTACATAAACACTGACCTCTGACCGCTTAACCCTTTAACCGTAAACCCTAAATCTTCGTCGGTGCTGGACTTAGGCCGTTCCGTTTACCTTTCTTTACTGAACACTATATGGGCCTGCAAATTGCACCATATAGATCCTTCGAGGGCTCCTAGAAAGGCTGTAGTACATAATGTGCAGCAAAACCCCGTTGTTTTCATCAAGGCCCCTATATTCGTTATTCGGAACAAGGTGCCTAACTATCACCCGGCCATGCGAGAGGGAAACATTAGAAAGGACTCATACAGGGAAAACCTCGAAATCGAAGCTACTTGGGAATTCGATAAAAAACGACAATGGACCAAGTCTGTTCCACTGACGCAGGGCGTAACCATAAACGGTCGGTACAACTGGCAAAACAGGATTTCCTTGGAGTTCCTGAGCTACGGCTATTGAGCTCGATATGCTACCATACATGCATGCTCATGTTCATACTGTTCATACGTACATACATGCATGCATGCATACACATATACATCTACATCTACATCTACATATACTAATACATAATACATTATACATATACATATACATATACATATGCATACATATCAACACAAAGAAGGCCCCCCCAGCCGTATTTTAGACTTATCGGGCCCCTGTATCTGCCAATCAGTACTGATTCCGGACCCTACGCCCGAAATGCCAGCCTGGCCCCATCCTCAACAAAAACCCACACACACACACACAGACGGACACGGGTCCGAGTTTCGGGCCCACAAGTCCCGATGCAACGCAACTTCTTCAGGGTTTAGGCCTAAAAGGCAGGTCAAGGATGGTGCTGGGATGGCCGAAGCTGAAGACCGCAAGGTTTACAGTGGCCAGTGACCGCGAGCGAGTCGTTGAGCTTCTGCGGCTTGTCTGCTTCGAAGAACTGAGCTATTGCACTGCCCAAACCCACCTTTTGGCTCCGGATAGCGTCTGTAATCGGGTTTTTTCCACTACCACCCTGCAAAACATGTGGGCTCTAGCCGCCTACAATGTTGACACCTTGTAGTAGCCTTTAACGAACCTTCAATTACTGGAACCCTACTCTCTCGTTATCGCATTCAGGACGTCCCAAAAAACAGCCCTTATGGCCTTATGGAGCTTCATCCTAGAAACACCGTAGTAACTCTTATAGTAGGCCTGAAAGTATCCGCGAGGTCCGGCCTCCCTAAACCCGAGAAGTATTCGCTTCGTCGTTAGTCGCCTCATAAACCTCGCCTGCGCCTCCTGAGTGCGAGAGCTTCAAAAAAGCCCTACTTGGAGGGTCGGGGGACTTAGTAACTGGTTGCTTTAGGGACTTATAAGTACCATAACCCCAATTAGAGTCCCTTTTAGGGTACTTATAAGTCTACTTACTACCTACTTACTAAGTCCCGAGACCCTCCAAGTAGGGGCTTAGAGTTTAGGGTTTTGGGTGCCCTTGAGGAATTTCCCTGTAGGGTGCCCCCCTCCCTCAACCAACCTGGTTGTCTGGACGCTAACTGCTGAAATAAGAAAAGAAGCTTTCCCCTCATCCCTAAACCCTAAACCCCTAAACCCTGATACTTTTCACGCCGACCTCGCACCTAAGAACCTCGCCTGGCTGTGTCCGAGTTGTGAGAGCGTAAACCCTGAACCCTAAGAAGATTTCCCCTCAGCCCTAAACCCTAAACCCCTAAACCCTGAACCCTAAAAAGTTTCCCCTCAGGCGAAGTATGGTCCAAAGGAAGCTCGACTCGCTGCTGAGGCGCAAGGACGCGAGCTTCCTTCGGGGGACTCACGGCTTTGGGCGGTCTACGGTCAAGCTTGGGGCGTTTAGGGCGTTTGTATATGTATGTATGTATGTATGTATGTATGTATGTATGTATGTATATATATATATATATATAGATATACATATTTATGTATATATATATATATATATATACACATATTTATTTGTGTATGGGTTTAGGAGTAAGAGTTTTTGGAAAGTGCGGTTAATTATTCAGGTTTCAGGGCTTGGGACATAAGTTGAAGCTTGGCTGAAGGGTTTCAGGGCTTAGTGTGCTGCAGTCCCTTCTCAAAAAAAGGGGTTTACAAGACTAACTTTGCTCAGAGTGTCATGGATACGGGGGTTTGGTTCAGGGTCTGCATGTTTCTGCATCAATGAGCCCAAACTTCGAGGGGCTACGGTTGATGATATAAATCCTGCATTACCCATAATAAGGAATATCCCATAAATCCCATAGTTTAGGGCCATTAACGTCATGCAGGATTTATATCATCAACCGTAGTGATGGCCGAATGCAGGGAGGGATCCTTCATCTGACCTGAGGTATACTACGGTGCAGGGTATTGGGTCCTTCGAGCTTGCGTTCAGGTTTAGGGCCCAGGCTTTGGCAAATCCGCAAAACGTTCATGGCAATGCATACCGAGGGGGATGGTGTTCGCAGGAGTACTTGACGATAGCTCAGGGTTGATCAGGACCTGCCTTTGTTTAGTTTACAAAAGAGTGTCAGGGTGAGCATTACACCAAGCCCTATACCTCCTAAGATTCCTTGGAGGACATTCACGGGTATCGGCTCCTGCTCAACATGCAGCACGTCCATCTTCAGATGAGGCGGGAGTTGGAAACATGGCCTGCGGCAGTTAATCCCGACCCCGAAACCCTGAAAGCAAGTTCATTAAGTGCCCGCGGATGGCCCGAGTAGGGCGTTTGTGCTTCAACTTTCTCTTCGATTTCAGACTCGGTTTCGAGGTCTGCTGGTTTTTGCGCTGCTTGCGCAGGTTTGCCGAAACACTGGGGTATCTTACCCAACATGAAGCCCAGACTCTAAATCCTGAACGGCTGGACCCTCCTGCCGAGCGAAATCATTATATTATGGCAAGCACCCATACAGCCTAAGGGCCTAGTCTACTACTCCATACCTTGGCTGATGTCGTACTGCAGCCTGCTTACGTCATTATGGTAGCTACAATCAAGTTGCCAGAACCGGGCTATATAGGTACGATGATTAGTCTCCTTCTCTGATTGTGGCCAGTCAGGTTTCCATATTAAGTGCATATGGATATACTTTTTTCTGGATATGCATGGATCAATAGGTAGATAGATAGGTCTGCATACTGCATTTAGCTAAGCATGTCTTTTAAGCAGAGGTGCTTGACAAGATCCCTGGCTAGTTTTTGAGGTGTAAATTCTCAACCCACAGCTTTGTCTGACTCGCTTCTTAGACGAGTCAGCTCCCTAAACCCTAACGTGTCCCTAGACCCCCGGGTGCTGGGCCCCCAGCTGCTAAAGCCCAATACGCTCCAGCTCTAAACTCTTCCTTTTGCTCCAAGACCGCTGGTGTTCCACTTGGAGGCCCAGGGGACTTAGTAAGTAGGTTATAAGTAGGGTTATAATTGGGGTAACTCCATTTAGGGTACTTTATAGCCGTACTTATCGCCTACTTACTAAGTCCCCTGGGCCTCCAAGCAGAAGGCGTGTTCCCCAAGCCCTAAACCCTCACTGAAAAGCCGGGATCCTTCCCTGTGTATTGGATGTTGCGGACGTTCTGAATGCCCATCTGCTGTCAGGGATGCCTGCCCAAGCGTACAGGGACCCGACTTGCATAATACTATACATGTACAAAGTCTTCCAACAGCCTTTGAGCGTGGTGTTTGAACCACCTGAGTCTTCGAAACCCCAGGAAAATGAAGTCTACACCCTAAACTTCTTAAACCCTTACAACTTACGTTCTTCACCCCCGCAACCCTAACCTCTAAACACTAAACCCTAAGCCCTCAACATCGCCGTAAGCCCAGTTGTCCAAGCCGGCAGGATCGGCGAGTGTCGGAAGTGCAGCCCCAGCCCAAGCTCAGACAAGGATCGTCTGCCTTGGTTTAGGGCGAGGGTTTAGGGATGCACTTCTTCTGGGATCGTCGGGCTTATGCTAGTCAGCTCTGTCTTTTCATGTTCCCATACAGGGACACATAAGGCCATCAGGGAACAGAAGGGCCACCCATAAAGGCCGCAATTTAGATTGCAAGTGGTGATGTATCAGGAAACAGCAGGGCTTAGGCTTCTCAGGGCGTAAGCTGTTTCAGGGTTCAGATAGGGTAGTGTCGAGTGCAAGGAGAGGGCTATGCGAGTTGTAGGCAGGGTTCGGCAGGGAGGTAGCACTGTAAGCCCTGCCTTAACCCTGAATAACCTATTTAAGGACTTTTTTAATAAGGAAGCAATATCAAGGAGCCCAAAAAAGGTTGTTCAGAGTTGCGGTACAGCTGCAACGGTTGTCTTGAGCTGTAGGCAGGACTGCCGGTCCATCGGAGGCTAGCGCTTGTGTGTTCACGAGTCTTTGGCCTTCTGCCCTAACCCTAAACACGAGAAAAAATATCTTTAGTGGCTAAAAGTGCTGAACTCGTCCCGTAGCCGAATGGTCAGAAACCCCAAACCCCAGAATCGCCGAAGGAACGGTCAGATGCTTCCTGTGTCATTCCATCAGAAGAGAAACCCTACTGCATACCTTTCCTTCACAGGCAGAGACGGGAGACTGAGTCAAACCTCGTCAAAACCAGAGTAAGCCCAATTACAGTGTTTGTTCAAGCATACACCCTTCTTTTGAATGACTCTCGCTTCATGGTTACATGTATCATTTCCTACAGTTCGGAATGCAGTAGCAAACCCAAAAAGTACCTGCAGTCCATGGTTCTTGGGGTACTGCACACTATTGCACAACCGATCCCCCGCTGCGAGGAGGCGGAGGATTTAGTGGCCAGCTTCCTGGAGGACAGGGTCCAGTGGATTCAGGAACCCAGAGAGCCCTATTAATAAGACTCTTGATCGAGGCATGTGGACTCCGTAAAGTCATATGACGGCTAGCTTTGAGGTTTGATTCAGGTAGATGCTGTACTGCAGGGTTCCCCCCCAGCCCCCCCCCCCCCCCCCCCACAGAATCACAGCAAACTTTCAGGACCACCTGTGATGAGTTCAACAAGCCCGAGCCTAGTGTACAGCGTGCATAAGCTTGGGGCACATGTGTGATGGGAAACTATTGCATACCACATAACTACAGGCGTATACTACGGTAGACCATGGCGTTGCGCAGTATACTGTAGCCTGCTATGGCATAGTATGTTCTACTCCAGTATTCAGAAGTGTACTAGAGTATACTCAATACTCGGCGTGGTCTCTGGGGAGTTGAGTTTTTTGTCACTTCGTTTTGGGCATTTAGGCGTTCCGACTCTGATTTCTTTTTACTTAGGTTGCGGGGCTCAAGCCGTAAACTGTAAACCCCTTTCCCCTCAACTCCTAATTCCCAACCCCTAGGCCTTAAACCTCCAAATACCCTCAAACACAAACCCTAAGCACAGCAAGGACTCTACGTAAGTCTGGAGAGTGAAACCCTAAACCCGAAACCCTTGAGGAGAACAGATTCAAGACCGTTACCGACCGCGAACACGGATGGACCCCGGCTTGTCCTCCGGCTTCATAGGATTTTAAGGTTTAGGGTTTAGGGTGCCTGGGAGAGAGAGAGAGAGAGAGGATTTAGAGTTTAGGTTTTATTTAGGGTACCCGGCTGTCGCAATAGGCCTGGATGCACAAAGGGTTTAGGGTTTTTTCCTTCGAACTCATGCCTTAAAACGGGGCTTAGAGTTTCGTGGGCGCTGGCCGGCACCTCAGTCCGTGCTGAAAAAGGGGTAGGGTGGAGGCTTCTGGGTTTTAGAGCCCCCGAAACCTGAAGTCTTGAAGTTGCCGAAGCCAAGAGCCCCGCAAAGAGCGGAGTTTTTGCGATGGTCTGCATCTGGCAAGGGCATTGTGACATGAGCATCCGGGTTTTAGGGTTTAGAGATACCCGAAGGAGAAAGAGAGAGAGTTTAGGGTAGCAGAGTCGTGTCGGTCTTCGGAAGCATCAGTAAGGAGCCCGGCATTGGAGAAGGCGAATTTGAGCCTCGACCCTCCTTGCTACATAGGAGGGACAAAATTCCCTAAACCCTTCCCAAAACGGAACACCGAATGCGAGCTGCTCGCAAGGCTTTGCTGCTTTGCGCGGGGATTTGCCGCTGCTCAAGGCTTTGTAGGGTCTAGGTTCAGGGGGCTTATCGCACAGGGTTGTGGTTTTTCCTGGTTTATGGATGTGGGCTTGCTAGCTTGAGGAGTACAGTGATCAACATGTTGGGAGTCTGCACCCTAAACCCTGAACTTATGGATACAGACGAAAAGGCGATCAAACAAGCGCCTGTAAATCCAAAACCTTATTCAAAAGCCTGCCAAATACCCGCGGGCATGTGGTAGACAGGCTGTATGACGGTTCAAATTCCCTTGATAACTTTTGGCGCCCCCCGCCTCTTGAACTAGAATTTTTAAACCTTGTATTCCTAAACACTCGAACTTGATATTTTCTGAACACCGAAACCTAAGCCCTAAATTCGTAAAACGCCTAAAGCTTCACTTCCTCGTGTGTGGCAGTCTTGAGACCCTCTACTTGGAGGTTCATGGGTAGTTATAAGGGTTCCTTTAAGGGTCCCTTTGAAGGGATCTCTAGGGATTCTACAGGGGTGTTAAGTTTGATCTCGGTCTACTGCGACGTACAGAACTTGGAGGTTCATGGGTAGTTATAAATGGGGTTTTAAGTAGGGTAACTATACTACTATGCTCATCATATAAGCCATGTTAACGGACTTATAACCCCACTTATAACTACCCCTGAACCTCCAAGAACTGTTCAGACGGGTGAGAGAAGACAGAAAGGAAAGCAACAGGGAAGCTACCCGCCGCATGTCTTTTGATTTTCATGCTAGGAAATCACAAGGTGTTGACTCGAGTCTTGCCGGTGTGTCCATTCTGTTTGTCTTGGGGTTTGGTATGGTTTGGTGCTTCAAACCATTGCCGGCAAGGGTTGCAATGTTTGCAAACGTGAGTGAGTGCATGCGCAGTTTTGCTTTTAGCATCTTTTGATCGTTCCTCGGCATAGAAGACACAGAGGTGGCATTCTCTATTCTCACTTGCTCAAGCCTGGCCTCTTACATCTTGACAAGGTTGGCATTTTTGATTTAACTGTCAAAGAGGGGGGATGTTGCCCTTCAGCCGGCGATCGTAGCCAGCACGTGAAGCAAGATCATTTGGAATACTCTGCTCAAGCGTGGTGACGCCCCATCTGCTTTGTGTCGATGGTGTCAGATCAACTCGATGTAACAAACTGAACGTAGAAGCTGTATGATGGCGTTTCCTGGTCCTATGAACCAACCGCGACCAGCATCTTGGAACATGTGTGACTAGAACCGCATGTTCACCTCAAGCAGAGCTTTCCAGTTGTGGCTTTGTTTGGGACCCAGAAATGCCAGGCATCCGTAGATGGTCAAGCATGAGGGGATGCTGACGTCCTTAAACTACACCGGCAGCACGACCAGCAACCATAATTTCGGAGCATGATTTTGTTTCAACCACATCTTCTCATAGTCCCTATATGAACAGAGCCTGGGTTCAAAAGTCCCTATATACATAATGTGATCCCCCCAAACCCTAGTCCAATCATTCAAGCTATTCAAGCCCCACAGTACGTGCAGGAGGCCTCCCCCAAACCCTAAACCCAGAGACAGCGCATTCGGCAAGAATTGCCCGGAAGTGTCTGGCCGTCCGCCGAGATCTCTCAAGTTCCAAATCTAAGTCTTAAGAAAGGCGATAACCACGGACATGAAGCAAACTTTACTAGTAATAGTTGCAAGTGCTATTGCTGTAATCGACGCCCGCGCTTTATTGCAAAATGAACCCATGGGCTGTTGACAAAGATGTTTCTACTTTGGGTTCGGGACGACAGGGTCATTGCAGAGAGCGACCCTCGCCAGGCCATACTCCAGCAGGGCGCAAATGTGAACGAGCGCATGAAGTCGAAGGACGACGGGGCTGAAAGTGATCGCATAGTTGAAGATGAGGATGGTGAGACGCTGTTCATTGTGGGCGTGTGCGTATCAATCGAGGACATGCTTCGGAACGTTCGACTTGCGTGTGTTTGTTTTATCCTTGTCTCAAGGTTTAGGACGGGGTTGTCGGTTGGAGATAACTTCTGAAGATCTGATAAGCCCACCTCGGTGCCAAGCGTCCGCAAGCGTTTTGTGGGACATGCAGAGATGAAGTAGCCGGCCGCAAGGGCTCCAAGAAGCACTTTGTGTGCCTGTTCTTACCTTTGGTAGGGAATGGAAGAATGGTAGTAATAGTATTTATAATTATACCCCATTCCTCCATTCCCTACTAACCAAAGGTAACTGTTGCAAAGCATGGAGGGAGAGAAGCGAACGGATAGTTGGTGCTGAACACAATCAGCGTATCGTCCGAAGCCAGGGGTACCTTATTTTGGGGTCCTTATAATAAGGATCCTACTATTTAGGGGACTACATTAGGGTCCCTTATATTCCTAATACAGTAATATACTGGCTCCAATGGTCAATGGTTGCCAGCATCATTCCTTGCATTTCCTGATCTTGCTTTTCTATAACATGCCCAGCAACCAAATTCTAAATTTTCGGGCCCCTAGATTAAGACTTCTTTCGGGGCGGAATTCACAAATCGAATTGACGTATCTGAAGCAGTTACCGTAGCAATGAAGCCCAAAGCCCCCACACCTTGGAGCCTTGCCGAAACCCTCCAGGAGCTTCAGTTTCATGCAGAGCCGGGAATGAGTTTGTTTCGAGCCTCAGGTCTTGGGGTTTATTGGATTCCGCGGCTGAAGGTCCTAAGGTTTCAGGATTTGTCATTCAGGCTTTTCGGTTTCGTTTTTGTTTGTGGGCTGCGCGTTGGGATGCGTTCGGAGTGCTGGTCTCCGGCGCGCAGCATGGACAGGCAGGCGGGTGCCTCTAAGACTGTTTTGCTCTCGACTCGGACAAGCCTGGCATATCTTGGCATTCAGCGTGCAGACGTGGGAGACAGTTTTCGGATGGAAGCAGCAGGCCTTCAACTGCTGTGCCGCTGCTGTTCGGACAGTCAGGCGGCAAGTTCACAGGTCTAAAAGAGCGCGTAGCGGCATAGCGAGACCCAGCGGATGGCACGGCAGAGAGGATCCGGATAGAATGCAAAGAGGGACGATACTACAGGAGGGGCAGTACAGGCTGTAGCAAGGCCATCAGTGTCGAAGATGCGGTATCAGTACCTGTAGCAGCAGTACCAGTGGTGGTAGTCGCGCTGCTACAAGCAATACTGCTACTCCTACCACCACCACCACCACCACTACTACGACGATTACCGCTACTGCTACTGCTACTACTACTACTACTACTACTACTACTACTACTACTACTACAACCTACTACCTACTACCTACTACCTACTAACTACTACCTACTACCTACTACCTACTACCTACTACCTACTACCTACTACCTACTACTACTACTACTACTACTACCACTACTACTACTACCACCACCATCACTACTACCACAACCACTACCACCACTACCACTACTACTACTACTCCTACTACTACTACTACTACTACGACGACGACGACGACGACGACTGCTGCTGCTGCTGCTACGACTACTACTACTACTACTACTACTACTACTACTACTACTACTACTACTGCTACTACTTTTACCACTACGACGACGATGAGGACTACTGCTACTTCTACTGTGCCAAGTGGGTGAGGTGACAAAAACTGCTACTGGGTTGTTGCGCTTGTAGACTCTTATAGACCCTTTCTGGGCTTTAAGGTAAACCATGGTAAACCCTAAACCTTAAGCCCCAGGTTGCATCTTGCAGCACAGTTTGGGAACAACGAAGCACTCCAGCTGCTGATCCAGGTGCCCTCACAAGCAGTGTTCGGGTAATCCGGTGAGACTCTATGGTGTTTTCTAGGGCTTCATAAGACATACACCTTGTTGTTTGGTTCAGGGTTTTTGGTTAAGGCTTTAAACTGGGGGTTAGTTTGCAATGTCTGAGTAGCCGAGTCCCACACTGGAAGAAACAATGTCCTTGGCCTGTGTGCTTGGCCCCTACGACCTAATCTTACAGCGCCCGAGTGGAGTGAAACGGGTTGCAGCCTGATTTTTTGGCCAATACAGACAGAGGTCTGAGCTATCGCGTGCAAGGCTGTCTGGGGCCGCACTCGACCCTGCATGAGCCAAGAGCGAAGAGAGAACCAGCTCGAGTGAAACATAAGGAGAAGCCAAGAAAGAAAATCGCAGCACAAAGCAGACAAGAAACGAGCGCCGAAACCCTAAACCCTGCATCCCTAAACAGGAGAAGGCCGAGCTCAACAGCCAGGACCAGCTCCTCGTCGGCGCACAATTTGGGTTTCAGGGTTTTGAAGATTCAGAGGTTTAGAGTGTGTTTTTGGGGCGGTGTGGGGTTGAGGTTGGTTTTCGGAGGTTTAGAGCGTATTTTTTGGGGCGGTGTGGGGTTGAGGTGGGTTTTCGGAGGTTTAGAGCGTATTTTTTGGGGCGGAGGTTTAGTATTTTTTGGGGCGGTGTGGGGTTGAGGTGGGTTTTCGGAGGTTTAGAGCGTATTTTTTGGGGCGGTGTGGGGTTGAGGTGGGTTTTCGGAGGTTTAGAGCGTATTTTTTGGGGCGGTGTGGGGTTGAGGTGGGTTTTCGGAGGTTTAGAGTGTATTTTCTGGGGGCAGTGTGGGGTTGAGGTGGGCTTTCGGGTTTGAGGGTCAAGCCTGGAGGGTTTGAGTTTCTCTCGGAGTTTCGGTGCTGGAGATGCATGTGGATAGTAAAATGAAGGAAGGCTTCTGTCCGTTGATAGTATGTTGAATTGATGAAGGTTTTTGATTAAATTTTACGATCTCCAAGAGATCAGTATTATAGCTTGCTTTGCAACTTATCCTTTATAACATATTCGGGACTGGAAATAGATGGTTTTCCCAGATTAGAATCAGCGGAACATCATTCGAGTTCGAAAACCACCGGCTTCAGAAAGAAAGACTTTCTTAGTAGGTGCGTCAGTGAATCGGGTGCTTTAACCAAAGGAGGCGCTCCACCTGGGACAGCCACTGTACCATACATGGGGTTTTCCGAACATTTGGAACCCCAATATAGCACCCTAAATAATAGTAGGATCCTTATTATAAGGACCCCTAAATAAGGTACCCCTATCTTCGGAAACTCCCACATACCCAGACCAAGGCAGATGCGAATATCCTGACCACGAAGTCTCAGCCCTATAAACCGGGTGGGTTATTGGTTCACAACATCACCCAAACCTCATTCTGACTATGAAGGCGACTCTATTGTAGTTATAGAATCCTGCTTAGATTCAATGCCCGTTTAAGCTTAAGCCCCCAAAACCCTCCCTCAAACCCTAAACCCCTAAGCCCTTAATCCTACCCAGAGATCCCAATGCCTCTTAATTAAAGAGTATACCTTAACTCCTTTAATTACGGGTTATGGGTTCTCTGGGTAAGTACATGAGGTTGGGAATGTCTCCTCTGCATCGGGCGACTCTGGGTGACAATGCCGTGGGTGTTCAGCTGCTACTCCAGGCGCCTTCTGGGTGGGTTCCTTACTTGAATCGGGTTTAGGGTTTAGGGTTTTGGGCCTAGGGTTTAGGGCCTAAATTGTAGGGGGTTCGGAAAAGGGCTAGAAGGTTGGCCGGAATGCTTAGTATGGGTATTACGATCTGGTCCTTGAGTATACTAGTACCACAGAACCCTACTTGGAGGATCATGGGACTTAGTAAGTCAGGTTATAAGCACCTTAATTTGGGGTATAAGTAGTTATAAGTACAGTTACCCTAATTCAAACCCTAGTTACTAAGTCCCATGAACCTTTAAGTACTCTACTTACTAAAGTTATCAGAGGCCCCTACATGACTTATGAGGCCTTTGAAGAGGAGCGTGGCAACAACATCCGCAGGGAGTTAGGATTCAGCTCGACTCTGGGGTTGAGGGATTCGATTGCCAGGGGTCCCTCCTTGTACCCTCAAACAAGAATATAAGGTCCCTAATAAGGGGCATTTAGGGTCTAATAGAGGGTAGATGGAGGGTCTAGGTGCCTTCATGGGTTCGGGTTCAAGAAGCGGTTTTCTTTGGGCCTCTTTACTGCAGCATAATCATTTGAACCGGCGTCCCCACTACAAGCAGCAACAGGACCGTGTGCTGTCATCAAGCCTCCTCTTGCTCACGAACTCGAACTCTCGGCCGCCCTCCTGGTTACGCGACAACTTGCTTGCCCGGGACTGGGGAAGCAAGACCCCTGAACCTGAACTGCAACCAACTTAGACCGGTATGTCTCTGCGAGAAAACCAAAGCCCAAATCCCAAACCTCCAACAGGCTTTGAGCTCAGAGTGAGTGCGCCGCCAAAACCCCCCAAAATACCCACAAACCCCAATGCTTCCAACGCTTCAGAACCCACCAAAAAGTTTCTAAACAACCCTAAGCCCCCAACCCCTACATAAACCCTAAGCCCCCTAAAACCCCTAAAACCCTAAAGCCCACAGGCAGGGTCGGACCCGGCCTGCCGCGAGAAGATCGCCAAGTTCACAGCCATGGGCCCGGCGGCCGCCTGGGGCTCTCTCCGAGGCCCCTCAGCCAAAAGGGGCTCCTTTAAAGGCTTTAGGGCTCCTGAAAAAAAGGATCCCTAAAAATTTTCAGAGGTCTCCTTTAAAGGCTAGGGTTTAGGGTTTAGGGCTCCTTTAATTTAAAGGCTTTAGGGTTCCTGAAAGACAGGGATCCATAAAGAGGGCTCCTTTAAAGGGCTTTGGGTTTAGGGTGGGTAGGGCTTTGGGGCATTTTATATTTGCTCTTGGGCTTAAGAGGATCTTACCTACTAACATGTTTCAAAGGCTTTAAAAGCACCTTCTAGGGGGAATAGTAGTGTTTAGGTTTTGGGGGGTTAACAGACTAATCTTCCTTCATTGAAGGGTTCGACAAGGGGTCAGTGACATGAGTGGCTCGATTGTGGGTTATGTTATTTTCCTCTGTTTTCAATGTGCTGAGTTTGAAAGGCTTAGTGTGTTATAAGCTTCGGCTAAAGGCGCGTTTATGGTGGGTTTTACCTTTGGTAAGAGTTTATAGGCTTTCGGGTTCACGCTTTTGGGTGGAGGGCCCAAGGTTCAGGGTTCAAGTGGGCTGCTCCGTATTGGGGCTTGCGCGCCGGCCTCAGCCAAGATGATTGCAGGTCAATAGGTCATTGTCTGGCAGACTTGAGTCCAGTAAAATTAAAGATGGGTTTCAGGCGGCTTGTCGGGCTTTACAGGGTATTTAGGTTTTTTCAGTGTGCTTAAACGAACAGTTTTGCCTGAATTTAGTTTTTGTCTTCATGGTTCTCTAAACGAAGTTTCTACAAGGTTCCTACATAGGCGGGTTTCGGGTTTCATGGGGTCCCTGGTGACTGCACGAAGCTTTGAAAAGGGCTCGACGTTTTTGAATTTGAACTTGTCTGGCCAGAGTTTACGGGTCCTTATCAATCAGGCTTCGAAATTTAGGTTTCTAAGTTTGGCAACGGTTCTATTTCCATCAGGACCCTATGACACTTCTATACAGCGGCTTTAGCTTTTCTCATGCTAAAGGGTTTAGCATTTCGGGTGAATGTCCCGATGCCCATATACCTTTCAGCCAAGAAGCATGTCAAACTTATGCCATCATTTATGGGCGAAGATTAGGGCACCCATGCTGTACTTAGGAATGGGTTGCTGGGGCCTCTGGCTACGGCAGCAGTGAAACCCTACCTTCCCGCCACGTATCTAAACCCCAAACCCTAAGCCCATTTCACACCAAATCCCCAAACCCTAAACCCTTAGACCCTATAAGCCCTAAACCCCAAACCATCCCAAACCCTAAACCGTCGTAAGCTCTTGAGGCATCCATGCGATCATGGAGCACAGCCCGCTGAGGGAGTTCCGGTGGTGCCTGTGCCTCGCGTTGCATTGAGTCTGCCTTAGGGGCCTTAATAATTAGAACAAGGTTTCAGGGGTTCCTTATTACACATATTGTATAAGATACCCCCATCCTATCATAAGCATTGTATAATATACCCCCAGACCCTACATTCTAATTATAAAGGCCCCTGCAGTATCTCGGATCAACACTTGATGGCCGCACGTGCACTCATCGCAACTCAAACGTGGAAACTCAAAGGACCCTCAACCAGAAACCCTTTCCATCAATCGAGGAAAGTAACTAAGGCCCCTATATCATAGTATCCTTATAATAACCCTTATAGGACCCTTTTCAAGGCATCCTTTCAAATCAGTAAGGCTCCTACTTGGAGGTTCATGGGTAGTTATATATGTATAAGTGGGGCTAGAAGTAGGGTAACTAATTAGACTTATAACCCCTTTTAGGGACTTATAGCCCCACTTATAACTACACTACCCATGAACCTCCAAGTAGACCCTGCTCTGGGGCTTAGGGACTGTCAAAAAAGGAAGCGAGGATCCTCACACAACACAGGCTTTGTGGTGATTTCGGGGTCCGCAGTGGTTGGTCCAACTGATGTAAGCTCAATATTCTATAAATACCTGGACAGAATATCGAAGCTTCAGTGCTAGGAACATATCATATTCCATTGGGCTCCCTGATACACTAGAGTAGAATGGCTCCCACGACCCTGGTCTCACTATTTCACTGTACTATAGAACATCAGTGGCATGAAAAAAATGTTTTTTCGATGTTGATCAGTCGCAGGGGTAGACCCCTGGTGTACGAATCCCTTGCCTAGACATGGGTGGTGCCTGATAGCATGTGCTAAATATGTAGGTTCTTGCAGAGGGGGGCTTGTCGATCAGAGCCTCCAATGCGTGAAAGAGCCCATGCCTAAAGACCCTTCCTGCACCCTCAGCATCCCTAAACCTAAACCCAAAACCCTAAACCCTAATTCTGTGCTACGGAAGCATCCATGGTCGAAGGCATGTGGCGGTCCTTGGCGAAGGATCATCCGTAGGACTGACCGGGGGTCAGGGTTTGGGGTTCTGTCCGGGCCAAGCGTTCCGAACCAAACCAAAATAATAAAAGTCACAATAATAATAATAGTAGCACTAGTAATAACAATAACAAACACCTATATATTTATAATGCTTGAAGTCCCAAGCCCTGCACGCTCGACCCGAGCTTTCGATTCCGTGGTCCCCAAACCCACGATCCAAGCCAGAAGAAGCACGCAGAATACAGGCTCTGGGCGTCGTAAAATCGTAAAATCGCGCAGGCGGTGTGGTACCTTTTTTCGGGGCTTGTCCTCCAAGTACGGATCCTGCCCCTTCGGGGCTTCAAAGAAAGGGTGCTTATTGGTCAGGGCTCTATGTTGGCTCACTTCTATTCTGCCTCATCCCTTCTCGAATTTATCCGAAATTCCTCAGCCGAAACTAAAGCCCTCCACACACTAAGCCGAGGCCCTACGAATCCTGAACTCTCAGCGCCCCTACACCCTCACCCTCCTGACAGAAATGGTGACGACCTTGATTGCAGCGGGAGCGGCCTTGGATGAAACGCTGGATCTGAATCTGCCGACTTGTCCCAGCCCAAAACGATGGAAGCGGGGTCCCAAGCTTGCGGGCAATGACAACTGGAATGCTGGGATGCCTTTAAGGGCTGGTGTTTCAGACCCACTCTGAGGGTTCCATAATCTAGGGATCTTAATAAATTCGAAGAGGTTTTTTCGGGTGAGGATATGATTGGTATAGTCAGGACAGTTAAGAAGACTCTAAGGGAATACCATTGCAATTTGGCCGATTGTCAATTCTCCAAAGCCAGTTCTTGCATTCGCAAGTTTAAGTTTTTGTTTCTTGGGGCGCGCGGGAGATACTGTGAAACTCCAAATCCAGCTGGGCTGTGCCATATTCTAGAACTCATAGGGACCCTAAATAAGGACGTAATAAGGCCTTGAAGGAAATATAGTCCGCTATCCCCCTAAGGGTCCCTGAGAAGAACTTATAGAGCACTTGGAGCAAGACACCGTTACAAGGACCGCATTGTAGTTAAGCACATCCCTGTTCGATAATCGTAAGATACACCTTCGAAGCCTGTGTTACTCTTCATTTCACACCTGTATGTGCCACGGAAATGTATCAGCACCTCAGAGCACCCCTGAACCCTGACCGCCCTAGCCACTTTCGTGGGCCCACAGAGCAGTCTGACCCGGCGGTGAAGGAGTTGCAGGGAGCTGTTCATTGATCAGATTTCTAACTATACATAGAAAGAAATAAGCAAGTCAAGGTCAATAGTGGGTCAGATTGGAACTCAGGGCAGAGCCGTAAGTAATGGAGCAAAAGGAGTACTGGCCAATGGTGTCCCCCTGTCTAGTATCAGTGCAAATACACGGTTGCCCGAAACGTGATCGGTACTCCTTTGGCTGCTTTGGTCCCACTTGCTTGCCTTATCGGCTTGCTGGGATTTAGCTGGAGCCCCCGCGCTCTGCAAAATAGTAGGATGTGGCCCCATAGAACCCTTCACAGTATCTTGTTGCATCTCGTGGAAGGCTCTTCCAGGCCGTCCTCAAGCAAGCATATGGCCCTTCGATGAGCTTCATGATCGCGAATGCCGTGGGTGCTACGCCGCCACTTGATGTAAGAGGCCTTCGGCGCACCACACTGGATTTTTTGAAGGGCTCTCTATGCGGAGTATACGGAAGCTACATTGAGATTCTACACGAACAGCTTGAAAGGTCCTAACCTTCAAAAGCCCTGAAAAGCGGGTTTGGACGTGGCTTCGAAAGGGCAGTAAGGCGGCACTCAATCCCGGAAGCAGCAAACCGCCGGTCTTCGCTGAAGGAAGAAGTTAAGGGTCAAGGGTTTGGGGCGATAGATACGGGGCGCAAGCCCTAAATCTCAGTTCTACTCTTTCCAGTTCCAAAAAGAGCTACTTGAAGCTTCATGGGTAGTTAGAAGTAGGGTTATAAGTCCCCTAATATGGGTTATAACTATAGTTACCCTACTTATAACCCCACTCATACCTCCCCATGAACCTCCAAGTAGGGTGCAGAGTTTATACTTAAAGGTTCATGGGACTTAGTAACTAGGGTTATACTTAGGGCAACTGTACTTATAACTACTTATAACCCCAATTAAGGTACTTATAACCTGACTTACTAAGTCCCATGATCCTCCGAGTAAGGTTTACCTGGACACCAAGGCCCACTCTTGGTCGATTCTTTCTTGGCTAGAGCCTTCTTGGACCCCGAACGCAAGTGTTTGACAATTGTTGTCCCTTTTTGGGTACCCTAAATCTTAGGTGCCGTAGTATAATAAGGACCCCAAAGGGACCCGAATATTGACAACCACCCATGTAGATGAATAGCTGGCTTTCTGCCACATACTCTTGAGGGCGAAGTCGTGCACCCTAAACCTGCCCCGTTTCGTGCCCGAAGCTATCAAAGGTTGACTTGCAGCCTTCTCGTCGGCTCGTTTGAGGTTGGGCTGCTTGAAACTGTGAGCAACTTGTGTAGGGTTTGTTTAGGATTCAGGGGCGAGGGTTAAGTTATTATGGTAGGAGCCCCAAACCTGGAAACAAAGCCTCAATCTTTACGAGTTATTGGTAATCCCAGCACTATTTGGCTTTAATTTTTTTTCCAACTTTATGGGGCTTACTATAAGGGTTTAGGACATTCTCCGAACGGATGTGTCCTGGACAGCGAGAGCTTTTCTCAGGGTCGTTGATGAGCAGGGGGTTGACCAAGCTGTTGAGGTTTCCCAGAGAACCCAATACCCCTTAATTAAGGAATATACCTTAAACCATAATATTAAGGCCTCTGTAATTTAAGGTATATTCCTTAATTAAGGGGTATTGGGATCTCTGGGTTTAGAGCCCGGCCCCACACCATGAAATCATGTAGCCGCCAGCCCGGCCTTCTGCAGCTGCTACATCACTAGTTTGGATTTTGGGATATTTTTCATTTTCCTTATTTGGGTTTATAAGGGACCCTACATATAAACATTTTTCAGGGTGTTTAAAGGCCAACCCAGAAGAGAGGTTCAGGGGGTTTCGAGATTTGGGATTTTTTGCGAGCGCAGGCCCCCCCCCCCCCCCCATCCCAAGATTATGATGTACATTACAGGGTTTTGGGATTTCGACTTTCCAGGTTAAAGTGTTCCGCGCTTCGGGCTTCTCCGCACGCGAGTGCTCCGCTAAACCTTCAAATCTTTAGCCTAACCCCTTTTTCGGCTCTGACTCTCAGCGTTGCCTTGTGACGAAGGCGACGGCGGCGTTGCTGGCTGCCCAGGCGGACGTGGACCAGAGACGCTTTGATTTCACTGTGCGCTTCTCTGGTAAATTCCACGAAAGGCCTTCAAAGGACTATGAGGGAAATTCTCTCCACTGTACAGCTTTTGTGGTGTTGCTGACACATCGGAGCTCAAAATTTAAACGGAGTGCATCTGACTTAGGGGGTGAGGGCTCCGGTGTCCTTGTAATATGCCTACTTCAGTGAATGCCCAGGGAGTCCTAACCTCCTTAACAGGGAGCCGTAATGGGATTCAAAGTCTGTTCCTGAAGGGGTTTTGGTGTCTTTGAATGCTCCGGACCCCAGAAGCCCTATAAACCCGAAGCCCCTAAGCTCCGGGACTTCGAGATGTACGGCGGTTAGGATACTTGCAGGTTCATGGGTCCCCTAATCTGGATTCAACCTATAGAGTTACCCTCCTTATAACCCCACTTGTAGCTCCCCATGAACCTCCAAGTAGGATGCTTGGAGTGCTTTCTTGTCCCGAGGAAATGCATGCGGCGCATCCCCGATCGAGATCGCTAGGGCCGTGGGTGCGCCGGACTTTGCAACTTCGCGCTGTTGGTCTGGCCTTATAAAACCCCAGGGATCAAAATAGCCCGAAAGCCTTATATAGTATGGTCTTTGGGCCCAAAAGCCTCAATATATGAGTCCTTAGGTCCCTAGGGAGAAGCTTGAGTACTGCGGCTCAGGATTTGACAATTCCAGGCTCCAAGTTGAGGGTTGCAGGTTGCAGGCCCTTCTGTCGAGGAGTGTTCCCTGGCACGCAATCCAAGTCCATGCTGAAAATGAGATAGGTTACTAAAATAGGGGACATTATAAAAAGGGCCCCAAGATAAGGCAGCCTGCCAGAAGGGTTGGCACTTTTCTCGCCTAGGGTGCTCAGAGAGGGAGAGATCGACACGAACAGAGGATCGCAAAAGCAGAGAGAGGGAGCGAGATGCCAGTAAACCCAGAGAGAGCGCCAGGAGCCGGGCAAAACCTTCAGAAAAGCCTCCAGCTCGGTCGAGCAAAGGTCCCCTCGGAGAAGATTCCAAAAAAAGACGGACCCCTGAATATGGTTCGTAAGCCTTAAAGAGACGGACGAGGCCCAAAAAATGGCCTACCTCAACCATCTCAACCCCAACTCAGCCGGACAAGGTTCGAAAGAAGAAGCACTTGAATTGGTCCTCTAAGCCCTTTCCAGCTCAGCTGGACGAGGCCCTAAAAGAGCTTCTGCCTCAGCCGGACATGACCCTTGATGCCCTAACCCGAATCAATTTCCCAACCACCGAAGCAAAGCCCCTTCCAAGGTAATGAAAGGTTTGCGGGGGGACCTGGAGGCTGCGATTGTAAAATCTTAACTCTTACTTCTGTTAGCTAGTTAGTAAGTTAGTTAGTTAACAGTAATTTGAGGTTCAGGGTTTGGGGTTGTAGGGTTTGGGAGTTTCGGGATTGGGCTTTGGCGTGTAACGGTTTGATTGGCCCAATTGCTTTGTATTCTTGCATGCTTATGTGCGCATGTGGATGTTTCCTGAACTACCTTGAGAACTGCTTTTCGTCGGCTTCGTCGTTCGTTTATGATGTTTGGATGTTCATATTCATATTGGTCATGACATATCTAGCACGGCTGTTTCGTCCGGGGCACTTCTTGGTATATCTGTACATAGACGTATACTGTCTGTACGATGTTTGTTTGCGGATCTTGGCTGCGAAATCTTTAGGTTCTTTTTGGTCGATGTAGTGTTCAGAGTTTTCTGTTGGTTCATGTGGTAGCTAGCTTTGTCATTGCTTCGAACATGGTTTATGCTCCCGAGATTAACCTCCAACCGGCAAGGAGGTTGTTCTGCTTCTGCGCAAGCTATTATAAGTCAGCTTCGCATGTGTGGTGCCAGTTTACAGGTGTTATAAGATTTCTGGGTTGGGGATGTTTTGTTTTAAGCCTTTATTGCTGAGGGTTGCAGGGTTTATGGTCCTCTTCTTCAGGGTACCCGGCAGTCGCAATAGGCCTGGTTGCAAAAATGGTCCTTTTCTGAGTTCAAGATTTGGGAAGAGCAAAGTGTTCTTCTACCGTTCAGGCTTTAGGCCCTCGCCAGTAGGTCTCCAGCAGTTCAGGAAGAATTCCAACAGAGCTGTACCCTGCGGACAGGACTGTATCCAGATGGTCTCTGCCTCTGATGCTCAACAGCTTTTCCTTTGTGTTTGAGGCATGCGGCAGCGGTGGTTCGGGTTGGCTTCAGTATAGCCCGTAGGAGCTTTGGGTGGCCTTTGACACTATCAGGGAATTGGAACTGGAATGCAACCCTGCTCGGCAGCATAAGCTTTATTTTAGCATCTTAAGACCTATATGCCCCTAGGCCCGAAATCTAAACCTCTAAACTCTAGACCCTGGAAGTTTGAGACTGGGGACACTGGTAGTGGACTTCTTCGTGCCCCGTGCTAGCCCAAGTCATAAACCCCATACACCTAAGCGCTACAACATGCAGTTTCAGCGCCAAACCACGACGAAACCTGAACCCTTCCCCTTGCGAGGGCTTCGATGCATATTTTTTTGTTTACAAAGTCTTAGTATGATGAACTGTATTGTGTTGTTTGATGATATGGTACGGAATGACATGGTGTGATGTGATATGAAATGATTTGATGTTTTGGTATGGTATGCACTATGAAGTTATTCTTCCTGTTTGATATGATACTATAAAGACATATCTTCCATTATCTGCGATTGTACTATGTCATTCCAAGTCGTGTTGCGTTATGTCAACTTGTGTTATGGTGTGTTGTATTATGCTATGTTACACTACGCGATATATCATAGTCTGCTATACCCTACAATATTGCACCTTCTTGACGACTTTATACTGGGTTATATTACACAGGAAACTGTACAATAGCCAGAAAAGACTAGAACGAGCAGTGCCTACTATATACAGATTGTGTGTATATTGTGCAACTCAGCCTGTCAGCAAACATGAATGCGGCATAGAAGGTAATTAATGTGTAGTATGCCATACGGTGTACAAGTTTCTCCATTATGCAAGGCCTAAGATACAATGTATTAGAATGTTTAATGCAACACATATTTTCCATGAAATATGATGTTGTTAGCAATGGTACGCACACACACATGTATATATATATATACACATATGTGTATATGCTTAGTAAACTGGATTGAATATGACGTTAGCATAGAATTCCAAGAAAGAAATGAATATATGTATGTATATATGTGTATGTGCGTATGTATGTATTCATGTGTGTATGTATGCGCATGTGTATGTGTGTATATATATATATATGTATACACATCATATGTATATATATATATATATATATATATATACATACATAGTTATCCATGTCATAGTGTGTACATATACATAACACATCGTGTAATTCCGGTTTGCGATTTGTAATGTAATGTGTGAGGTATTGTTTACAAATCACCGTTTTTACACAGGCATATTAAAGTGTATGCATATGTATGTATGTATGTGTATATATATATTCATTAAGATAATTACAGTACATGAAATCAACATCTCATGCAGTCCGCAAACACACATTATGCCACGGTATGTTGCAGTATCGTACTATAGGAAGTTATGCAGCGAATGTTTCGCTTAGTAATGTGGGCTATGGAATATATATGTTGTTCCTGCCTGATTCTTTGCCGCTGTCCTTGCATTTTCGCTGGTGTCTAGAAACAGGTCTGCCCCGGTCTCCGACTTCGGGTAGAGATATGCACCTAAACCTTGCGTGGCTCTTGCAGGCAGTGGTTTATGCGAGCTACGATTTAGGATTTAGGGGTCAGGGCTTGGGGTCTGAATCCCTCAGTGCCCTGAAAGGGTCTTTGGGGTTTTACTGTTGGAGGGTGGTCTCGTGCCGAGTCCCGGATGCCTCAGTTTTACATGCATCTGCCCGTGCGAGCCCATGGAGGTAAGGATCCGATCGGTTCGCCTGTCTCATGCGTAGCCTCAGAAACTCCAAGATCCTGAAATGGCGCAGGAAGCCTTATTATGGGTTAAAGTTTAGTAGTGCTTAGAGTCACTTAGGGTACTGCAATGCAAGGAATCTATAAACCTGGCTGCAACCCCTACATCCTAAACCTCACCATGGAGCGTGGGCATTGTCCTTGACAAATGTAAATGCGCTAAGTTAAGTAGGGGCGCCTGTCAGTAATTACTTGATGGAATCTCCCTATAGTCCTCAGAGTTATAGGATTTAGGATGGCTTTAGGGCTGAGGGCAGTGATATATACCGCGAAGCACTACCCGAATTTCTTGGCCACCTTATTAACGAAGTCCGCACTATCCTGAAGAATCCCCGACGGAGAGGCAATACAGGGGCCGTAAAATTAGAATAGGGTTTTGGCGGCTCCTTGTTATACTTATCAACCCTGTTCTAATTATTAAGGGCCCTATATCATCCTCCTTGAGAGACAGCTTGGAGCTTCTGGAGCATGTCCTGTCGGAAGTGTTTTTAAAGCATCCCGAAATCGGGTGCCACGTTCAGGAGGGCTTACTATGGCAGGGTTTCGATCGAAAATGTAGGGGTAGGACTACTTTGTCTTAGCATCTGTCTACAGCCACTAAAGTGCTTGTAGTAGCGTAGCCCATTTCGTGATAATCGAACCAGTCATCCAAAAAGCGGAAGTTTTTCTCTTCTGTCGCATGAACTTGGCAACTTCGTAACGATCGTAATGGTTCGGGATAACGGTTTCGACCACAGGGGGCTTTTGGGGTTTCAATCTGCTTTGTTGGCTGATTTTGGCCCGTGCATGCCGAAGAGTGCCCCAGCTTTGCATGGGTTTTGGGTTCGCGGATGCAGACAGCCCTAGGTCCACACCTGAAGCGCCAACACCCAACACCCCTAAGGAATAGCAGTAGTTGTACTAAAAAGCCCTAAAGAAGACCGCTCGTTGTATTAAGCAACCCTGACCAAAAATATTGGTTACACTAAGGTACCCTAAAGAACAGCAGCAGTTATACCACGGAGCCGAAAAGAATAGCACTCGCTGTGTTGAAAAAGTATCAAGGAATAGTAGTAGAACCCCGAGGAGCACTCCTGGTTATACTACGGTGCCCCGCGGAACAGTAATGGTCATCATTCCCTAAGGGTCCATGCACCTAGATAGTATAGTACTCCGTATATAGGCACATTGGGGCCAAAGGATCTACTATTTGCGTACGTGGACCCTGAGGGATTCACGCCCCAGAACCTTCAAGATTCGACCAGAAAAGGTGAACCAAAACGCCCTCCATGGCTTTGAAGCCAACCCAGGACCCTCCTCGTATCCGGGGTAAATGGTCCCAACTAAGGGGCATGTAGGGTCTAAGAGAGGGTAGATGAAGGGTCTAGGAAGACTCCCTTAGAAGCAGGGTTAAGTTTTTGTTGGAGGCCTCTTTGGGCCTTCCCTGAATTTAACTAGTTAGTGCTATTCCATGGGGTTCCTTAAAGTAGCTTTTACTGTTCCTCAGCCGAGTATGACTATATACTGTTATTCCTTAAGGTTTAGAGATAGTTACTAGTTCTGTTCCTCAGGGCGACTTCATATATTTACGATATATTATGTCCCCAAACATGCTCAAATTTCAACCCCCCGGTACCTTATGTGGCCTCTTGTGGGAAAATAATACCGGATGCAGCTTCAACATGAGGGCATCCCTGACCTCCCAAGCTTCTGGTCGCGCAGTGTCGCTGAATCCTGCCGAATAATGACCAGCATTACGGGGCATAACCCTAAACCCTCAACCCTAAACCCTAAACCCTCAACCCTAATGGGGCATGACGCTTCAAACGGTATCATATTGGAACCATAGGTACCAAGACGACCATTAGCTAAGATGAGAGTTTGTTCTGTTTGGCATGCGAACACAGGTCCTTGTAGAAAGTTACATCCCTCATGAATTGAGTTTCTGAGGGGTTCAGTGCCAACCGAGTTCCCTTACTACAGGGGTCGAATAGTTTCAAAGACTATCTCGCTACACTATTGTCCATAGAAACAATATGTGTATCTATATGTATATATATAGACACACACACACACACCTTCTGTACGAAGGCCTTTTGTAACTATCAAAGCCCTTATATTCGCTAAATCACTGTCGTGCTGGGCATCTGTGAATCCAAAACTGAAGTCAGAGCTTTAGTGGAGCACCTGAGACCGGGCTGGTGGTTCAAGCTGACGGAGAGTGTGGATGGCTGAGAAGTCTGCCTTTGCGGGTTTAGGGCACAGGCTTCCATGCAAAGTCTATGCGAGGGAATATGTGAAGAGCCTGCCAAGCATGGGTCGCTTATGATTATGGCTATAGTATCTGCGCCCAAGCCGCCATCAAGCCTCATGCGGTCCCAACCCTAAGCCGTACAACTCAACGTAGGGGTTCGCTGTATTAGTATATATATATATATCTCTCTCTCTCTCTCTCTCTCTCTGCACCAAAACCCGACTAGAATGGTGAAGCCCCTTTGACTACACACCGTCGGGTCCGGTCTTGGATGATAATACCAGCTTTTCAAGTGCGCTCGGCTCATGGCAAACGCCGTAGAGAGCCGTGAAACCGCGGAGACAGCCCGAAAGAAAGTTCGACAGAGGGTAAGGAAGGAGGGACCCTAAATAAGGACCCCTAGGTATATACCCTTAATATAGCTATTGTATACCCATTATATAGCCCATTATAGGGTAGGGGTCCCCATTAAGGAAGGAGGGTGGAAGTCAAGGGTCGCTGTCGCCTGAGTCAGATGTGGGAGTTTCCGAAAATTAGGGGTACCTCATATTGGGGTCCTTATAACAAGGATCCGACTATTTAGGGTGCTATATTAGGGTCCCCTATTTTGGGAAACTCCCATGTAGCACCAGGTGTCGAACAGAGTTCGCGCTGCAACATCCAGCCGTTGCATTCGCTGAGTTTTCCATGCGCGCGCCCTTGGCTTCTTGCAGGTGGTAGAGACGTTTGGCGCACCGCATGCCTGCTTGACACTATGCCAGCTGACAGCCTGACAGCCGACCCCAAGTCACTCCATCATATCGTGGCGTGTCATTATAGGTTCGAACGGTGCTTCTGAGTCATAAGGTCTGAGCCATCAACCCTGTCAAGAGCTTTGTTCGACTAAAGCCAAGCACTTGTCCGAGATGGGTGCCCCAATGACACAAACTCCCAGTGACGAGCTCTTCGTGTCTGGTCTCCCGACCGATGTCACCGACGATTTGCTCAAGAAGATCTTCAGCCAGTATGGCAGCATAAAGGAGGTCAAAGTTTTGCCGGTGGCCGCCGGGAAGCAAGCCGCTGCAGCTTTCGTGGACATGAACTCCCTGGAGGATGCCAAGTGGATCGTGGAGAACGTCAACGGTAACGTTCCTCAGGGAATGGCGGGCCCAGTCACAGTAGCGTATGCCACGCCGCGGTCGCGGCGCAAAGGAATGAAGGGTGGCATGAAGGGAATGCCTCCCATGATGGAAATGATGGCAGCGATGATGTCGGCCATGAGTGGCTGTGGCAAAGGCGGCTGGGGTGGAGGTGACAAAGGAAGCTGGAGTGGAGGCGACAAAGGCGGAGGAGATTCGGGGGACAAGGGAGGCTGGGGTGGCGAGAAGGGCGGAGGAGGCTGTGGCGGAGGGGATTGGGGCGGAAGCGGTGGCAGTGGTCCCAAAGTTGTTGGACCAAGAAAAGGTATTGGTGCTCCAGTTGCTGCCAAGGGTTGGAGCGGCGGCAAGGGCTGGAGCGATTCTGGCGCCAAAGGCTGGGGCAGTACGACGTCCGGCAAAGGCTGGGGTGACGGGGGTGCTGGCAAGGGATGGGGTGCCTCCAGCCCTGCTTCCAGCAAGGGATGGGGCGATGCTGGCGGCGGCTGGGGCTCTGGTGGCGCCAAAGGCTGGGGGGATAGTGGGTGGGGCGGCGGTGCCAAGGGGTGGTGGTAAATGGCAGCTGCAGGCACTTGCACATCCTGCTCTGAACACGAGGAGCATAGACACAGCAAAGCACCGATTTGCAAGCATCGGACAAGACTCAGATATAGTATTATACATATTTTGACCCGTGCCGAGGGCACGAAAATGCGTCTCACTACTACGAAGCTCCTATGACACCGGAAAAGTTGGCAGGCTGCTCCAGTGCGATGGGTTTGGGGTTTGAGTGTCAGTAGCCTGCAAGGTACCAGCTCCTTGCTATACTGTAATATACAAAACTATGATATGCTTTAGTGTGCTATAATATATGGATCAGTTTCTTTTTCAGTGCTACCAACAGGTGGTGTCAGATCAAAAGCTAGGGCTGCTAAAGAGTCGATGTAGCTGTGCTGATGCAAATTTCGCAAGCAGGGCCCAGGTAAATGTTGTTCGGAATGACCTCATCAGGAGATTTAATGCACGTTGAGTGCAGAAAGGAGCAGGACGGTGGTGGTTCTCGTCGGGGTCGTCGTGTTTGTGCGGATTCCGGTGGTATGTATGTATAAGTACATCGTCACGCTATGCACGCATCCCTGCATCCAGGCATGCATCCATGCATTCATTGGTTCATTTATTCATTCTTCATTCATTGTTCACTCATCCATCCAATCATCCATTCATTAATTCATTCATTCTGTTTTTCACTCACTCACTCACTCATTGATTCATCTCGCTGGTTGCATACAGGTATTTGTACACGTGCACATATGTAGAATGCAGGCATATGTGTAAACATAAACATGTGTGTAATGGGCACCTACTTGTATATACATACATACTCGCATATCTGTGTGTTCATAGATTTGTATGTATGCATGTATGCGTGCACGTGTTTTGATACAAGGGGGGTACGTTTGTGTCTATGCCTACGTGTGTGCATGTATGTTTGTTTGTCTTGGAAATCTGACGGCCTCCGTCGTGTTGAAGCTTTGCAGGTTTCACACCCGGCAGCTAACTAAAGCCCCAAATTCCAGTGCCGAAATCCCAAGTCCTGACCCTTAAATCCCGAACTAACCACCACAACACCTAAACCCAAAAAACAAACCCTAACCCTTAGCACCCTGGCTTCCTTTCGACCAAGGCGTGGATGGGCAGCCTTGGAATGCGTTCCCACACTGCGAGGACTCTGGTGGCTTGTCTACGAAACCCTAAAGAATGCATGTATCTCAAACTCGAACAAACTGCTTGTCATGGTTGTGCCTAGGACATCCCATAGTTGATGTTATGGAACTACAGCCTGTGCTGGAAGAAAGCCCATGACGCTGCATGGCCCAAACATGTGCAGGGGCTTATTCTGGCCCCTTCAGGCTGAGACTACATATACTACTTTAAGGCCTAAATACTGGGCTTTGGAGAACCACACTTTAACACCTTTTCTGGGACCTGTTCCTTAAAGGGAACCATTATGAAATATGAGTCTATACTTTTTCCCCCTGGTTACTTCAAAGTCCAGAATAATTACCTATACTATTTTGGGGGTTCCTCATTATGATCATAGTATAATGGGCCCCAAAACCGGATTCTTGTTAAGGCCCCTGTATTACCCCTCAGCTTTCCTTATCGTAGTCGCCCTGTACCATACACCATCATCATAAGCCTCTCCGTTAGAAGTTCCCCTTGAACCTTGAACCCACGGTCCCTACTGTCCATGCTGATCTAGGTTGGATTTTGGGACATTTTTTGTTTCCTTATTTGGGATAACAAGGGACCCTACATATATATATATATATATATATATATATATAAATATCTGTTTCAGGGTGTTTAAAGGCCAACCCAGTGATCGATTTCTGCCATGAGCCGCCTGCAAAAGCGGGCCTCTCTCCTCCGGCGGCGAGGTGGGATCGCACCAGAAGCGGGGAAGCCGGTAACGCAGGCTTTAGGCTTTGGGGCTCGGGGGGACTAGAGCTGAAATACGATTCCTTAGGAAGTCTTGTTCTATTCGTATTGCAACATAGTTCTGGACAATACTCTAATGTTCAGGCCATTTCAGGTTTTTTGTAGTATGGGCCACATATGGGGGGCTTCCAGACAACCAAGGGCTTGTTTGGAAGTCTTATGTCGCAGATGTATATGTAGCGGCTCGGCCTTTGGAGATGCAGCTCCGTTGTGGCTTAGGGAAGGTGTTAGTTACATCAGGGTCTGCTTTGGGTCCCCTTATCATTGGGAGTTCTGCCATGCATGCATGCATGCATGCATGTATGTATGTATGTATGTACGTATGTATGATTATGTATGTATGTACCTTGTATGTATATATGTATGTATGCCTGAACGTATGTATGTTTACATCTCTGCTATGACAGGGGTCCAGAATGTTTCGAATTGAAACCATCTACGCACCCCAGAGCTGTGTTATTCTTTTCCCACCCCTAAACCCTACGAGCGGTTTTCAACCGCACAATCCCCCTACCCCAAAGGGTCCGAAGTACCTTTATAGTAGAATGTAGGGTTTCTATATTAGGAATTACTGTTATGATTTGGGGAAGTATCCCCCATAACAGTACTTCGGACCCTTTGGGTATGTAACATGACTGACTAGCTCCTACACAAGACTACCAGACTGGCCCGCTGCAGTCCTTAGAGAAGCCTTCGCTATGTCGAGGCCGTAGCCTCCGGTTTAGGGTTTAGGGTAACCCAAGACCCTACATTCCAAAAGGCTCGATCCCCCAAACCCCAAACTAAACCTTGAGCAGAGCACGACAACCTTAATTCATGCAGAACGCCCTGAAACCTTAAGCGTTCCTTAGGGTCAAATCCTGTGAGGGATATAACCCTAACCCCGGAGGGGCTCCTTTACAGGGGAGCCTCCGAAAATAGGGGACCCTAGTATAGTACTCGTAAATAGTAGGGTCCTGACATTAAAGGACACCAAAATAAGGTACCCCCTACTTCTCGGAACCTCTAAACCTTTTTCGAGCCCTTTACAGGAGCCTTACAGTACCCTTATAGTGGCCCTTTAAAGGAACCCTAAGGTACCCCCTAATTTTCGAACCTCCCATCTAGATCTAGAAAAGGAGACTTTAAAGGGATATCTTGATATCATTCTGCCCCTGATGGCTCCTTTAAGGGATACCTTAGAGGTTCCTTAAAACGAGCCCTTTTTACATAGATCCCTAAAAGGAGACTTTAAAGGGATACCTCAGAGGTCTCTTCCGGGCTGCTACGGGCATCGATGTGTCTTGGGGCCTAGGCCGAGCCTGGGCCTTTATTTATTGAACCGCGGCGTGGGGCGTTTTGGGCTTAGGGGTTGTGGGTTCTTGGGTTTAGGGGAGAGAGAGGGTTTGGGGTTCAGGGTTTAGGGTTGGCGTAGGAGGGTTGAGGGTTTTTGGGTGTAAGGTTTAGGGTTTGGTGTTGGGGTTTAGGGTTTTTGGGGTTGGTTTTGGTATAGAATCCCTCAGCCCGAAACCAGAAACCTTTAGGTTTGGCATAGAAGCTTAGGCTTTAAAGTACCTATAGGGACCCCTTTAAGGCTTAAGTATCTACTATAAGGGTACATGGAGCCTTTGGGTTTAGGGTTCAGGGCTCAGGGTTTTGGGACGGAAGACATTCTGAGGATCATTACTTAGAGTTCGAAGTGTGCAAAGTCCAACAAGGAGCAGGAGTTATAAATGGGCAATTGTCAAGAGAGAGGGCCCCTATTATGATAGTACGGCACTTATTTAGGGCACCCAAAAAGGAATCCCAATTCTGACAACCACCCAAATGCAAGTTTACCCTAAACCCTAAACCCTCCTCCAAGAGCAACCCAGGAGTGTTCTCGACGGCGACTGATCAGGCTGAGGAGATTGTGGGCCGGTTTGAGGTTTTGGGTTTTGGGAGTACCTCATTTTGGGGTCCTTACAATCAGGACCCTACTAGTTAGGGTAATTACTCTATATTAGGGTCCCCGATGTTCGGAACCTGCCTCCTAGAAGGCGGAAGAGTTGGTAGTTGGGTACGGCCCCCACTCAGTAATAGTTGAATAATATTCATAATATAGATATAGTGGGATCTTAATAGTGGCCCTATTATAGACTCTTACTGTATGGGGCCGTACCTAAGTTGGTAGTGACATGGTTCCTTATGGTGAGACGATGCAGGGGGGACTTTGCAGATGATTTCTGGGCCCTACTTGGAGATTCATGGGGAGCTATAAGGGTTCCGTTAAAGGGGTCTATAGGGATTCTATAAGGGTATAGGGTTTAGGGTCTGCTTGGTTCCTGGGGAGTTATAACTGGGTTGCAAGTAGGGTAACCATACTCATAACCCATATTAAGGGACTTGCAACTCCATTCCTAACTACCCATGAACCTCCGAGCAGAGGATCTGGGGTGCCGGTTCAGGTTCAGGGTTGAGTTAGGGTATTTAGGGTTTTGGGGTTCAGGGCTTAGGGTTGAGGCTCTAGTTCAAGGCTGGGCTAAGCGAAGAAAGCACCATGGAGATTGACTACTGTTGCGATTCATCCTTTTATAGGAAACTCCAGAAAGTTGGAATATGGTTTCATGGTAGGATACCCCATAATTTACCATAGAAGGGTTAAGATAATCATATTCCAACTTTCTGGCTTTTACCTTAAGCCTGCTGTCCAAGCACAGGCCTCTCAAAGGCACCCGAAGCCTCCTCAAAGTTTCATCATCTTGCGGTTCAGGGGTTTAGGGCAAGTTTAGGGCTTGGGCATACACTCCAAGTCCGTGCTTAAAAAAGGGCCCCTTAACCTAAACCCTAAAGCCTTCCGCCAAGTTGAGGACCAGATGCGCTTTCATTGCACCGCGAAGGTGAACTATGTCGACATCTTTGTCAGCCATTCCTGGTCAGCCAACGGCTGGTTAAAATACTTGGCCGTGTGTTGCTTTTTGAACCTCGGTATAGCCAAGAAGGCCACGGCTGCAGCTGCTGTTTTTTCAAGTCTCTTGGTGTTCCTAGTCCCGGAACTGCCGACGTGGCTGGTATTTTGCATGATGCTAGATGCTCCAGTGCTCGTCTTCCTGGTGTTCTTCTTGTACGGACAGAACTTGACATGCGGCCTATGGTGTCCAAGCATGTGGGTAGACAAGCTCTGCGTGGACCAGGGTGACTTAGTAGTAGAGTTGGTAACCTGTAACCTTTTCGGGGTACCACTGTAGCCGAACCCTAAACCCGCGAACTCCAAGCCCTAAACATATAGCCCTCATACCAACCGAAAGCTTAGCTTTGAGTTCCCATAAACCCTGAACCCTTTAGTTCCCTTACGATGCTGGACAAGTAAGGTGATGAGAGCAGGAAAGCAGCAGGTCTCGCCGGGTTGCCGACCATTGTGCAATGTTCTGGTCGCATGCTTGTCTTGTGGGATGACACGTACTTCGAAAGGCGGCTTGGACAAAAGGGGCCTGAGCACATTGCAATATTAAGTCCCTCCCCACTCTGGTTTCTGATTGTAAGTACCATACCTCAGTTCCGTATTCAAATCACAGTTGTGTTTAATGCCGAGCTTCTATACCCAAAACCCTAATCCCTAAACCCTAAACGCCACTGCTCTGAGGTTGTGGTGCAACTTCGAATTGGCTGTCTTCGCGAAGTACCGGGGTCTGAAGAATTTCCGGTTCCTGCCCGTGTCCAGGTATCGACTTGGGATACATGTTTAATAAGTATCCCTACGAAGTCTTACCAGGCAAGAGGTTCTTTAAAGGTAATCTGAGGTACCGACAATAGTCTCATCAAATGTTATGCATAGCGCGCTAATTTTACATGATTGAACTTCCTTTTTTGAAGAAATATAGGAGATGTCGGGGGCTCTTGAAATCGACACCAGGTATGGCTGCCGCCCTGGATACTGATTGGCGTGCTGTTCTCATACCTACTTTGGCGGCTCATTGCCACGTTGCAGGAGCTGGACCCGGAGTACGGTATAGATGATACTGCCAAGTACGCGACAGCTCATGGTGACAAGGTTGCTTTCGGGACGCAGCGAGTGCTAAAGATATTGTCGGACCTTGAAACCTATGCCGTATTGGAAATGCCATTCTTTGCCGCAGCCGTGGCTCTACTTCGCAGCAAGCTGGATGGTCACCGGTCTTTGCTGGAGAATATGATGAAGTTCGATATTCATCTTGCAACTTTGTAGTAGAGCAAAGTAACACCTTTAACCTTCTTTGGGTTACTGTAACCCCAATAGAATCCCAAAGATCAGCCTTTACCCCTAAACCCGAATCCCAAAAGTCAACTTTTTACCCCCCCCTCCCCCCAGAGTCTACTCATCATCGAAGGCAAAGTGCTCGGTTGAAGATGACCGGGACGTGATCGAGGCCCAGGTGGGGACCTTAATCTACTACCCCGATTAGTAGGATCAATCCTTATTACAAGGACCCCAAAATAAGGTACCCCTAATTTTCGGAAACGCCCAGGTAGCCAGACTTTATGCCATAGACGAGGAGCCGGTCATAGCCCTGGACAGCCTTGATGGGCAAAGAGCAGCTGAGGCTGTGAGCTCCATTCCCCTCAGTCCCGGTTCCTCTGAGGAGTCGGTCATAGGCGACAGTTTTCTGGCGGAGCAAGCGGACGGAGATGAGGAGGGTTATGCACGCTTCCTGGCAGCGGCGGATAAGTCACAGATGTCACAGCTTGGGGTAAGCTCAATGCACAGCGAATCCGTGTTCGAGTACCCAGTCATAACTGTTAACAGCAGCGCTGTTGCTTCACGAGGGGAGGGCTATACTCGAGAAATTTCCGAGTTTGCCGCGAGCTCAATCACCAATTCATCATTTTTGGCACCTGTCGCAGCTGCAGTGAGTGATGCAGGGTCAGACTATCCCCTAATGGGCGTTGACATGCTTGCATGGGAAACTGATATTGAGGGTAAAGTGTACTTGTCGCAGCCGGATGAGGGACGGCTTGCGCTACAACGCGACGTCGATCGAGAAGACTGCCTGCAGGTTTTCAATGAGCTCGTTCGTGCCCCACTACGTGCAGCGATCGTTGAAGAACTGGGTCTTGAAACAGACCTGCCTTGGGGCGACTGCCTGATAGTATACATGCCTGCCGTCTTGGCCGCAACCGCAATCACCTGGGCTGCGAGGGGCCTTTATGCTGGGCTTGGTTTTTCTTCAGTCAGTCAGTACATGTTCGTCAACATGACACAAATTTCCCTGGCATTGTTCTGCAATCCTTTAGCATATGCTCTACTTCTGCTAGGAATGAACTGCATCACTCATACAGTGAGTGCTGGACTTTTGCGTGATTTGATGTGCCTGGGCTGTGGTGTCCTGGCCAAGATCTTCGCTTGCGCCCTTTATGCGGTCATCTGTGGGACGCTCGAAAGCTATGTCCTGACGCAGCATCCAATATTTCTGGTAGGCTTCCTGGCGAGCCTATCCTGTGCGCTAGTGCTGAACTGGATCTTGTTCTGGGGTGGCCGGCCAGCGGCGCACTCTACAGCTAGCGCAGAGCCGATCGGCTAGGATTGCAGCTGGCGTGCTTTCTTCAGCTAATTCCCTAAGGTTCCCTAAGGGTCCATGTACCTAGATAGTATATACATTGGCCTTAAAGTACTCCGTATATAGGCACATTGGGGCCAACGTATCTACTATTTGGGTACATGGACCCTTGGGGATTCTTCATTTTTATGACGACTTTTGCCATTTCGCCATGAGCCGTGCCGATGGACCTCCATAGGTGTCTCCTGGGAGCGTCTCCTGTGCCCTGGTTGTGTTTCGAGATCAAGACCACATCCGGAAAGGATCCCTGCGTTTCACAAGATGTCGCCACAAATTCACGAATTCTCACTTTGATGGGGTTTGAGGATGGTTTTCCCCCCTTTCTAGGACTTTTAGCAGCTGCAAGACCTACTCCACTCAGTTTGGTTGTGTCTGAACTTTTTGCGATACCCCCCAAAGCGTTCCAAAGTACCTATTAGTAGAATGTAGGGTTTCTATGTTAGGACTTAGTATATAGTGTGCTTTGTGGAAGTATCCCCCCGCAAACCCTAAACCTAAACCCTAAGTTGTCGGCAACCAGGGCATCCTCGAGTAGATTTGTCTCTCTCAACAGACCTCGAACCATATGCCTCGCCCGGATTGTGTGAGTGTGAGCGCCGAAATCCCCTTAGAGTCCTAGTAGTAGAGTAGGTAACCTTCAACCTTTTTTGGATAGTATAGTCCCTATATAACCCCTATATAACCAAAAAGGTTAACTCTTAGTTCACCATGATACCCGACAACCCTAAACCCTAAACGCTTAGAGTACATCTTCATGCAGAAGTGGTAACCGTGCCCGCGCAGAGCCCCGAGGCCACACCAGGTTCAGTGTGAAGTTGAGAGGCTTTTGCTTGTTGGGTTAGGGTAAAAGCCAGAAAGTTGGAATATGATTATCCTAAACCCTTTATGGCAAATTATAGGGTATCCTACCCTGAAACCATATTCCAACTTTCTGGAGTTCCCTTTATGGGGTTTAGGGTTGTGATGGCTAGACTTGAGTCCAGTGGCAAAAAGGGTTGTCCGCGCTTGAACGAAAGGGTTTAGGGTTTGGGGTTTAGGCTTTGGGGTTTAGGGTTCAGGGTTGAGGTTGATGTTTGGGGACAGTGACGCGAGGATGGGTGGGATGCTGCCTTCCGGAAAGGCATGAGAAGAGCCCACAAGCCCCCAAACTTGTAACAAACAGTCTGGGCACGAGGGAGAACGACTTAAGCAAGCTCATGCCGAGCCAGATGCTCTTGAGGCCCCACATCCGAGACCCTGCATCGTTCCTCTGATTTACAGTAGATTCCCTAGAAGCTGCCCCCACCCTGTACTAGTGACTATAAGGATTATATCAGGGCCCTACTACATTCCTATTATACCACTATTACAGGGTGGGGCCCCTTCTAATATATTCCTGGCACAGAAGGCCCCTGTTGGGCCTGAAGTGGAGAGACAGGGAGTTCCTAGCTCACCAAAGTGTCAAATTTGCCCAGAATCTACTCCAAAACCTTAGCCTTAGTCGAAGCCTTAAACCCTAAACCCTGAGCTAAGTATTACATGGATAAGCCGTCACCCATACCATGAGCATCGACCTAAAGCCCTTAGTCGTAAGCCTTATATGGGGGTTTCAATATCAAGGAAGCTTCAACATGACCCGGAAAAGTTGAACAACAACAGTCTCATCACCATATCACCATAAAGACTCTTAAGCAAGGCGCTAAGAGGGGAGTGTGGTACAGAATGGTAGAGTATTCTTATGCTGCTTGGCGGAGTCTTTGTTGTTACCTTCGCTCCCAGTTAGTCATCTCACTCAACAGACCTCGAACCACATGCCTCGCCTGGATTATCCGAGTGTGAGCGGCGAAACGAGTCGCTGCAGATTTCCAAGACCCCCCCCCCCTACCCCTTACAAGATGAGCCCTGACCGCGGCAGGATAAGATTCTCGACTGGCCGGCGCGGCGTGCGAAACTGCTGGAGGCTCCTTTCAGGTTTTATGAGGTTTTGAGTTTTGGGGGGGACCGATGGCGGAACTAAACCCTGAACCGCAACCAACCTAACCCCAAGAGCTGTAACCCGGGGCGTCTACATGGTTACACTGGTGATCAGGGGGTGCTCTTTGCCCCGGGGGGTTGCTAGATGCATTGCACGTGCCAAAGTCGCAGATCCCGAAACATGGCCCGATCCCGGGATCCCTGAGTCGCACGCAGTTACTATAGGGGCCTTAACCATTCGAATAGGGCTTTGGGGCCTATTATTCTACAATTATAGTTATAAGGAACCCCCAACATACTATTGGCAAGTATGAAGGCCCCTACATTACGCGCATCGAATGTAACCTGTTGTTGTGGGACTGGGAGTTCCAGGCTTGAGCGGATGCTTTGCCTTGATGCAACCATGCAAAGCAGTTATCTAGGATGCCCAGTAGTACCCTTATTCCCTTTTTGTAGTCCTAGATTCCTTATAAAGTTTCCCAATACCAAATTAAAAGAGAGGCCTTTTTATTCCTAGAGTACTGGGCATCCTAGTTATATATAGCACAGTGCAATACAACGTTTGCAGGTGTATGAGAGTAAGCATGCATGCATGCATGTACGTTTGCAGGTGTGTGTGTGTGTGTGTGTGTGTATGTGTATATATATATATATATATATACATACATGTGTGTGTGTGTTTGTGTGTGTTTGCATGTCGTGTATGGCTGCATACTTTGTACATGTGCATGCAGCATGCATATATGCAGGCACGTCTGCGTGCAGGTAATTTGTTTGTACGTGGACCCATATTTGTTGATTGTTCTGCCTAGGTGCCAGGCTGCCTGTCTTAGTACCTGCCTGGCATTAAACGTATACACACGTGACACATGTATGCACCTATACATACGTACATCCTGCATCTGCATCTGCCTGCCTGCCTGCTTGCCAAAATTAAGACCAATTTGGGTTATGTGCGCATTACGAAGTATTCTCAATGCGCTTAGTTGGGCAGCTGTTGCAGATACTTCGCCGGAGCGACGCAGACGTCATTTGCCTGCAGGCTGGTCGCACTTGCGAGGATGCAGGTTTCGTGCTTTTGGGTCCATCATGGTTCCAAAGCAAAAGACCCCCAAAGACAGCTGATTTGGAACAAATCCTGACTTGGGACGTGGGACGTCATGGTCCTCCGGACAGGCTTGAGGCCTTCGGGCCATTTAGTCTTCGAGCCAATCCTGAACCTTCTGGACCCACACTTGGAGGTTCATGAGTAGTCATAACTGGAGTTATATGTAGGGTAACTCAAGTTATAGTCCACATTAACCCCACTTAAAACGACCCATGAGCCTCCAAGTATGAAGGCTGTTACAGGCCATGCAAGCCCGTGCCAGTCAGACCTACCTTAGTTCAGGCTGTCAGTCTACTCAGTCTACTCTGTGCTCCTTCGGGCGTGGGGGAGAAGGTTTGACTGACTGCTTTCAGACACATTGGGATCCATTGCAATCTACGCGACACACAGAAAGAGGCTTTAGGGTTGGTGTGGGGTGTTAAAAAGGAAGACTAGCAATGAAAAAGCCCTGCGTAACGTGTTATTCATCCCTTCGAGGACCATCCTAATAGGTCTTTAAGTTCTAGACTCTCAGCGCGATCTTCCCCCAAGTCTAAACTTGAAACTGATGAGGGGCAGGGTATTGGTGTTGAATCACCATGGAACAGAACCCCCACGGACTGCGCAACGACGTCCCTCGTTGTAAATATTTATGGCTTTGCAGACTACTTTACTGTGGGCCTACTTGTGCAAGCCAGGAAGTGACCCTGGAGGAGAATGACACGGGAGCCAAGGAGGCGAGAAGACAGAGCTAGGGTTCAAGGACCTTCCAAAGCCCTACCTGGAGCCCTAAAGTATGTAGAATCATGGCCTTTACAGGTGTTCGGCGATGATTTTGCCTACTTTTGGGAGTCTAGGTAAACCCTGAACCCCAAATGTCGTCCTTGCCAGGTAGGAGGGAAAAATGTGATGTTCAAGCAGCTTATACCAGATTAGGATTCGAGGGGCTTGTGCAGGTTCGGATGGGTAAGGTCGTGTAGGTATTCCCAAGCTTGATCGGATCTTCAACTTAGGCTCCTGAACCCTGACCCCTCAACCGAACCCCCCAAGCCCTAAACCCTGAACCCCAAACCCTAAACCGAACCGCCCAGAGCCAGATTCTGAACCCGCTCACCCTAAACCCTAAATCCTAAACTTTTGGCTCAAGCCATTTTGGCTCAAGGCTTGACGGTTCATTCGGTCGGTCTGCTGTCCTGTAGAGGGTGCAATCTGCTGCCGGGACCTGGAGGAGCACCGCCACGCCTTCGACTTGCGTTACACGATTCTGCGGGGTGGCTACGGCTTGACGGACCGGGAGGGTATCGTTCTTGCGGGCGGCTAGGGTGCGATTCAGGGCTACATGATGGCTGGGCCTGGAATTCGAATCCCGTTGCCCGGGGGTGTTCCAGAAGGGCCTGATGAGGACCTTGATGGTAGTCCACAGAAACGCCCCAAGGGGGCGGACACAAATGTGGCTGGGCAACCGGAGCTGACTATGCAATCGATCAAGGACCTTCTTGCAGGGGCACTTCGCGAGCAGTCGCACAGCCTGTTGCAGGCTCAGCAGATGCAGATCACCACCAGCTTGCAGGCCTTCGAAGAGAGGCAGGGCGGACGCCTGGACAAGCTGGAGGAGCATGTGATGTCGCAGTCGACCAAAGTGGACGACCTGGAGACAAGGATGCGTGAAATGTCGGATCGGCTGGCAAAGGTGGAGGCGAGACCTGGGTCTACTGGCTCCGGCGGGCCCGATCGGCGGAACACACTCGTGTTCGGCGGCTGGTCGCCGAACACCAGACGGGGCACCTTGCTGGAGCAGCTCAGACAGGCTATTCACAGCTTGGGGGTGGCCGGGCTTATGGATGCTGAACCGTTCTGCACAGGGGCGCGCAGGTCGGTAGCGCTTTGTGTGTTCAAACGGCGGCCTTCAGAGGGTGACGATGAACCGCGCTCCCGCATGCTACGGATCATGCAGGTTGTGAACGCTGGACAGGTCCAGATTGAGGGGGCGGTCAAACCCTTGTGGGCAAGCTTCAGCAAGTCGCCGGAGGAACGCGGTCGTGCCGCGGTCGCCGCGGTGGTGCGCAAGATCGTGCTGAAGTTTGCGCCGCAGCGCATCCAAGACTTGGACGTGGAATACACGTCCGGTCGCACCTGGATCAGGGACGATCAGCTCAGTGGCCTTGGAGACCCAGTTCCTGAGGTGCGTCGGTCCCGTGTTGTCACAACCAAGGCCGGACCTGGATGGATCGATGAAGCCACACTGTCCAAGTGGGTTGAGGTGGACCTGGCTGAAGTGCAAAATGTGATAGCAAGCCACAACTTCTGAGAACCTGTTCTCGCTCTGGACTTGGATCCTTCTCCTGTTTTGGAACCGTCACTGGTATCCCATGCTTCGTGCCCGGCTGCAGACTTGACAGGTGAGCAGCCTCAGCAGTCCCATGCACAGAACTCCCTCGGTGACTTTGGGAAGCTGCTCTCCGTGTGGGGTTGGAACGTCGGGGGAGCAGAGCTCTCGGTACTGCCCAAGGCAGTCCGTTCGTCAGCCGAGCGCCCGCTCCAAAAAGATGACCTGCTTCTACTGCAGGAGGTCCCGAGAGAAAGGCAAGGCTGGAACCATCAGGAGCTTGCAGGCCGTAGGGTGATTTCCCACCGTGCAGAACATCAGTGGAGAGGAACAGGGCTATGGTATGATGCAGGGTCTTGGTGTGTTCTACGAAGGCTTTGCACAGGTCGAGGTACATGGTTCAAAGTTCGTCATCTCTGTCAGCCACTGGAGCTTTGGGTGGGCACGGCGCACTTCTCCCCGGGAGTCTCAGTGGCTTCGTATGAGGATGAGGTTCACGAATTTTTCGGGGCCCTGCCCAGGAGCGCACACAAAGTGGTGTTTCAGGGGGACGTGAACTGCGCCTTCGGGTGGACCGCCAATCACGACGGGGTAGGTGAGATTGCCAAAGAGGGGAAGAGCCACATTGTTCACCAGGCCTTTGTGGAGCGCGGGCTAGCAATGATTCCTCCTTCGGCGGAGCAGTTGAACACCCCAACAAGTCGCCCTAGACAGCAGGACAGACAGGGTCAGTGCATTGATGTTATGGTGTCCAGTCACATGCATGCTGCAGGATGGCACATACACGAGGGTTCGTACCTACATATTGGGACAGACCATGAACTTTGTGAGGGACGTTTCTTCTTTGAGCGCCAGCGAGAGTATGCCAGGCATGAGACCAGACCCCGCCACTACACAGGAGGCCTCCAGATTGTCGAAGGGTTGGACCAGGACATAATGGAGGGGTTCGCTCGTCAGTACACCAAGCCCATCCCGGGTCGAGGTTACAGGGATTCTCCGGAAATTCGCAAAGCCTTTCGAGATGCCAAGCGGTCAGGGTCTGCAGTGCAGTGGAAGCGGGCACTCAAGCTTCGTCGTGAATCTCGCAGGCAGTGGGAATGGAATCGGCTTGTTCGGGCGAGTGAGGGCGAGTGGCACAGTTTTCGGGCCTTGAAGCCGCGGCGACATGCTGGATGGGACATAGGGTTTGCGGAGGCTCAGACGGGGGACCCACATCAAGCCGTACATGCTCATCTCTCGGAAGTGTACAAAGGGCCCCCAGCACCTGCACCGGCGGAGGCGTGGCGTGGGGAAGTCAGGGCGTTCAGCATGGAGGAGTTGAAGCTTGGGGTGCAGCAAATGAAGAGGGGGAAAGCGGTCGGTGCTGATCTGACGTCCACGGAGCTTATCCTAGGGATCATGGAGGTCCAAGGGGGAGCCGAGCACCTACTTGAGTGGTACAACAGGATTTTGGTTACGGGGGTTATTCCACAGAAATGGAATGAGCCGGTGTTGGTCATGCTCCCCAAGATCCAAATGCCGAAGAAAGCGAAAGATTTACGGCCTATCGCTATGGGGTCCTCAGTTTCGAAACTCTTCAGCAGACTATTGCTCAATCGTGCTCTACCTGCCATCAGCCCTCAGACCTATGCTCAGTGTTCGGGTCCAGGCCGACAGACCTCAGATTTCCTATATACTATTATGCGCCTCTTTGACCTCACCCGTGAATGGGGGAACACTTTGGCAGTTTTCAAACTCGATCTTGAAAAAGCGTTTGACAGTTTGGATAGAAGTGTCCTCCTCGACAAGCTTGAGGCCAAATTGGGGCAGGGTCCGGAACTGGTATGTTGGAAGAATCTCCTCAGGCCTTCTACAGACTCCATGGGGATGCTCTCGCATTGAGATGAACCGCGGCATTAAACAGGGAGCAGTCGAATCGCCAACTTTCTTCGCTTATGTAGCAGAACTTGCGCTGGTTGAAGCCCTGGAGCTGCATGGTTGGCGCAATCTGACGCCCCTTTTCCCAGATCTCCCACCGGAAGAAATGCAGTACATGGACGACGGCATGCTCTGGAACGGTAACCTGCGCACGGTGGAAGCCAGGGCGCAGCAACTCTCTGTGTCCTTTGCTAGGTACGGCCTGCGCATGAACCCCGCCAAATGCCAATTGTATGTGACCCCCAACATGCCGGGCGAACACTGCATTCTCCTGAATGGGATCAAGGTCACTGCGTCCCCCCAGCTTGAGGTGATGGGTATCTCAATGAGGGTTGGTATGTCCACCTACGAGTTGGTTGCACCGGCTTCTACCAGGGCCAGGGCAAAATTCTGGGAGCTCAAGCACATCTTCAGGGCTAAGGGATACATGAAGCATCGTGCCACGGTTCTCCAGAGGGTTGTGGGAGCGACAGCGTTGTGGTTCATTTGCTGTGTTCCACCAGACAAAGCTACCATGACGGCCTTGAATGCCACACAGCTCCAACTCATGATCTGGCTGTTGAGGTTCGCCAAGACAAGGCATGAGAGTTGGGAGGACTTCCGCAAGAGGGCTTTCCGCGGGGCTCGGTCGGCATTGCATGCTGCAGGGTTGGAGCGGTGGAGCACCTTGTGGCTCCGTCGCTATTGGCAATATGCTGGTCATCGGGTCAGGGCGTCCTTGTCACCAGTTCCACCTATCAGTTCGGAGTTTGAGCATTTTCGTACCCACCCATGGTGGCTCCACCAACAAACCCGTCCTCGAGGGCTGCAGGTACGGCACAAGGGGCACCACTATGCTAGGCTAACGGTCTTGGAGAAAAACATGGACGCAGTAGCCGGTCATCCATGGCGAGTTCTGGCGCACAACCGCGGGGCATGGAAGGGCAGGGAGAACGCATGGGTTGCGCATATGGATGTTCCTTGGTCCTCGGGGCGGCAACTTGCGATCGGAGACCAGTAGTGAACCGCCCGGGTAAGCATTTCACATCACGGTTTCGTTTTTCGTTTTGCTCAGCCACCCTCCCCTGGGTAACCACTACTCGGAGAGTGAGGGAGTGCTTAGGTCGAGAGTGCAGGGTGTACAGGCTGTTTTGTCATGCTTCGAGCTGTCGCTCAGTGAAGGGGTTTTCCGCTCTTGATGTTTAGCGATCGAGCTGCAGTAGCGTGACTCTCGCATCTTTGTTCTGGTGCCATGGTGCCTCAGAACTACCTGCCCGTGACCTTCGTCATCCTGGCTGTGGGCCTCTGTGCTGAGGTCTCCCAAGGGTTTTTTAGGAAATTGAACCTTTCATGGACCACTTCTTTCTCGGACTCCTTAGGGATTCGCACATCTTCTTTTCAGGTACATGCTGGCCGCAGTGTGCCAGCAAGCCTACCGGACCACGAGGCCGCTGAATGCTCAAAGTCGTCAGTGGCCACCATGCATGGCGAATTCAGTACCCTGACCACGCCTCGACTTGCTACGACCTCCTCTACGACGATGCGGCCACCTCCTGATGAACGAGCTGGAGACTTCGATCCTCGAGTCCTTGACGACGGTCGGCGAGTGCTGTACCACTCGGACCTCCCCCCTTACACGATTCAGCAGTACCACAAGCCTTGTCCCTCCACAGGTGAGCCGAGACCTACCACAAGTTGTCGAAGATGCGAGACACCGCATGGGGACCAACTGGTGGAGGATCCACGTGACCCTGCGAGCACGGACCCCGACCTGGATTCGGTGAACCTCCTTTCCACGTACATGTACATCTGGGTTTGTGCAGGGCCGACGGGGAAGGCCTTCGACTATGAATGGAACGAAGGGGACGAGCCGGCCTGGTTTGAGGATGTCATTGACAGGGTTGGGCTGGACATTGACCGGGGGATGGAGGCCGCCGAAGCCTCCAGAGCTATTCAACGAGCCTTTACAGCGGTGCGAGATGACCGGTTTCTCCGCGAGAATGAGGGCGTTCTGAACTCCATTCACAGGGCGATTGCACACTACAGACCTATCACGGGTGATGCGGTGATCAATGGTATGGGTCACCCAACGGATGCGGAGGTGCGAGGGCGAATGGACTGGGTGGTGGACCAACTCATGCGGGCCTGGTACCAGCGACTTTGCCCCGTGGCCTACCGAAACATGGAGCACGAGAATGCCTTGCTTGCGATGGGATGGGATGTGTACCAGGTCATTGCGGTGGAAGGCCACTACGATGAGGAAGACAGGGAGCGTGCAGGCTTATCCCGCTCTCGGTCCCCTCACCGCCGGCCTCGCATGCGCATGGGAGCTGCACGCCAGGGCCCCCAGGCCGTGGCACCAGACACGCGGGAAGGGGATGAGTCCGGCCTTTTCCAAGATCATCTCGGTGGGTGGCAGATGCGCTGGGAACAGTTAGTGGAGGCATTCTGGTGTTGGTTTGAGGAGGGAAGGGCTGTTGGCATGGCAATCTGTATGGCTCGTAACTTCATGTACATCAGGGGGAACAACTTGTATGTCGAGTGGTGCAGTCAGGTTCTCCAAAATCTTGGGGCTGCTATTCCGAACAGAGCAGGCAGCATGTCTGACACCTCGCCTGTGGACTTCTACGAGTGGGCGAGGGAGATTGAGGACTTGCTCTTCCGCCGGTACGAGACCACGGTTGTGAATGAGGCCACGGACACCCAGCCAGCCTCTGCCTCAGAAGCCAATGTGTCGGGACAAGGAGGAGACGCGGTGGTCTTGATGGAGGATCGATACAGCCATGGACGGCGTCGTATTCGAGATAGCCGCTCCCCCGGAGAAATACCCCGACCCAGAGCTCGGCATCCTCCCGTCCAACGCAGAGGCCATATCCGCTTCGCCGTCAACGCTGGCTTGCACAAGCACACGGCTCCGCAAGGGCTGCTGGCACCGGCGCGTGCCAAAATGTGCGCCAAGAGGAGGGTCCGACCGCAACAGAGCCGGAACGCGCCTCGGGGTCGCGTGATGGGCGCCCTGCGCGGAACCAACTACCGAGGGCTCTGGGCACCATGCTTCCTGACCTTTCTCAACCGATGTCCAGAGACACTGCGGCCAGTGTCTGGCGCCACCTCTTGTTCGACAGGGAGCACTTCGGCCCACAGCTGTCACCGAATGGCAGGGTTGCAGACAGCTTCTTGCCACCCTCCATGTTGCAAGAGGTCAGTGCAGTTCATGAGTCGATGTCACCACAGAACAGAGTTATCAGCACGCTGGCCCTGGTGACGGTGATCCGCTATCTCATGGCGGAGCTTTCCATGACAGTGAACACTGCGGATGCCATAGCACCATAGCCAGAACACAGGAAAGCGCTAGTGCTCAGGGCGACTCGGTCGAGATTGAGGTTGAGGACGATGACCACTTGCTTATGCAACAATTTCTTCTCACAGATGGTCGCGACACTATGGAGAAAAGGTGGGGCAGGGCGATGCAGCGGATGCACAAGGAGTTGCTGGGAATGGACAAGGGTGTTCGGCTCTCCACCATCCGGCGTTTCCGCCTGGGACTGCCACCTACCTCGCTACATGGACAAGCAGGGCAATGGAGAGAACAACTGGATGCACTTCTGGTGGCGCTTGCAGATGGGGAGGCAATGGGGCCGGTCTGTGATGCCAACACAGACTGGGTCCGACAGTGGGTGAACGAGATCTCCGTGTTCGTTCCCGGGTACCAGTTCACTCCGTATGCCATTGACCTGGACACACAAAGCAGTGCAGCAGCCGCCTTGGACAGGGACTTCGACAGGCTGTTGGAAGATGAGGCAAGCCACAGGTCGTGGAAATGCCGACAAGAAGCCGAGGAAGCTGAGGAGGAGGCCCGGCAGGCTGCACATTATAGGCTGCAGGAAGAAGAGGCCTTGGCTTTACAGGCGGACGCCATGGCCTATCGGGAGTGGGAACATGACGTCCTTCACCGCACTCTCCGACAGCAACGATTGCCCCCTCCGAAACGACGGTGCATCTTGACGGTAGAGGCTGCCACGAGCTCTGGGGACGTCCCGAAGGTCGCACACACGCTGGCATTGGATGTTCCCCTGTCCGGGGACCCGGTGGTACTGACTATTCGGGCTAGCATGGAGCCGGAGCCAGAGGAGGTGTCCACACAAAGGGTGGACAGTCCAGATGGGGCACTCCTGGACCGCCCCAACCTGAGCCCTGTCACTGAGCCGGCGACTACTCAACCTGCACACACTTTGGACATCCCAGCAGACATGGAGTTCCACCAATATGAGGAAATCTACCAAGCTTGGCGGGAAGACCGATTGTCGCTGGAGGACGTTCGCAGTAAATATGGCAATGATGTCGCGGAGCTGGTTGTGGCACAAGCGGTGGTCTCGCGAGCAGAGGATGACTCTCTCGAAAGGCTTGCAGGGAAAGGCATGGCACCTGACACCGGACCTGCAGAATCGCACTCGGGAGCCAGTGGATCAGGGGACATGGCTGCGACTCGGTCTCCTTTGGTCGAGCCTGGTGCACCGCGTCCTCCCTTTGGTCTGTTCGAAAATATATATGGGCAATGGCGTGATGGTCTGAGAACCGACCAGGAGATCTTGGACCAGTTTGGGGCCACGTGGTTGGGATGCTTCAGGCAGTGGCGAGTCTGGGGTCTGGATGCTATCTACCACAAACTGAGCGGCTTTCTGGAGATGAACAATGGTGGCCAGGGTGAGTCGGTGTGCCCACCTGTCTCGCATAAGGCTGGCGATGTTCCCACCAAAGTCCTGTTCTCGGTGGTACGTGTGGTATATGCTCGCTGGAGGGATGCTCTGATCGGAGACGGGACCATCCTGGAGATCTATGGACCTGTATGGTTGCAGCTTTTTCGGGACCTACACGAGAATGGTTTGGATGCGATGCGAGCCAAGCTGGACTACTACGTGGAATGGGATGAGACATCGATGGAGCCAGTCCTGACCGGCCCTGAACCTGAGCTTTCTGCAGGAACAGTCCTTCAAGAGACAGTCCTTGAAAGTGGAGAACATGCCAGTTCCACGGAGTGCAATCAACAGGGGTCGAGGGTCTTCGAGCCAGATGGTGAGAGTTGAGCTGCTGGGTGAAGTCGCAGAAGCGGGTCGACGTCTGAGGGTGAAGGGTACACTGCCTTCCGCAATGCGGATTCCGGACAACAGTACGCTGCTAGATGGAAAAAGGCGTTCAAAAAAAAAAAACCGCTCCGTAACATTACCTTGTGTTCGAGCTGTTTTCAGAATGCCGCTGGGAACGTGCACTAGTCACTCGTCTTGCCGACCATGAACCTCGTCTGGATGCGTCCGAGTTGCGAGAGCGTAAATCCTAAACCGAACCCCCCAGAGCCAGATTCTGACCTTCTCACCCTAAACCCTAAATCCTAAACCGAACCCCCCAGAGCCAGATTCTGAACCCTCTCACCCTAAACTAGAAACCTACACCCACACCCTAAGGCCCCGTCTTGGCGCTGCTGTCGTCGGATTGTTACTGCGGGTCTGCTGTTGTGGCTCTTCCAACATGCGTTTCCAGGGCATCCTAGTAGTCGAGTAGGTATCCTTGAACCTTTTCTGGGGGAGTAGTATGGTCCCTATACAATCCGTATAAAACCAAAAATGTTAACCTTTACTTCCGCATGATACCCGACAAGCAGGGCATGATGGCTCAGTAGGCCAGGTAGAGACGAGTCCGCACAAACATGAAGCTTAAACCCTGAAAGCCCATGATGCTAGGTGGAGTGGGTGCTTCCCAGATGGTTGCAGCTTGACGGCTACAAAGCTGTCCCACTTGGACTGAAGGCGTGCGCCAACTCGCAGGTGGAGTTCAGACAATTGAAGCATATAACATGTAATATAGGGATCTTATTTAACTTATTTATCATTCATACTAAGCATTAGAGGGTTCCAAGTAGAGATCTATAAAGGATAGGTTATGGGGAGGTAGTATACGGAGTTAGTTTAGGATTCGAGCAATGTTTGGGGTTCTATAATGCTCGAGCTAATGCGGGTTCCATGTTGCTCGGGTTAATTCAAAGATGCTTTTGTAATGCATCATACAATACACTGATACATAAGGGTGTCTACGGGTTTCTCAAGCTCCCATGTTGATATCTGCATTGTTCGTTTCTTGTCTTAGATGTACATGCAGAAATGGGATGTGGGTCTCACTGTTGGGGCCATTGGTTTTTCTGAGGCTAATTAATTCTTTCGACAATAGCCTTATTGTGAAGCCTGACGGCAGTTCCACAGAACGGAAAACTCCATCTCACCTGGCCAGCCATAGAATCTTGTATCCGCAGACCTAATCAAAGCCTGTCCCTGAAATCCTACATAACCCTAGCAAGCGCGAAATCTCTCCACCACCAGCTGCCAAAGCCCCCAACCCAAAGTCGTGTTCACCCATAGTGTTAACTGAACCCTGCAACAAGAAAGGTTTCTACATAGTGAGGCCTTTGTACTAAACCCGTATTGACCGGAGCGCAACTTAACCACTGCGGTCGAGGCCAAGGAATGGGAGAAGCAGGCGCAGCGAAACGAGCCGCGCAGCTGCAGTGGAGGACTAGACACGGTTTTTTTCGGCTTCCTTTAAAGGGTTTCTAGGAACGGTTTGACAATACTGTACCGGGGCCTTGGTTACTAGTTAGCATAGGGTCTTCGACCTCACTATTGTATGACTATCATGAGAAGGAACGCAAGACCGTCAGGGATAGTGTTGGCAATTTTTGCAGGCCTCTATATGGTATCAGAGGTAATGTTGCCGCTTCCAGTAGCAAATCTTTTGGAGTTCAGAGTTCATCTCCCAAGCTCCTGGTACAAAAAAGAGTTCACAGGAAGTTGTGTTGAGGGTTGTAACCGTTGCAGTTGGGCCTAAAAGTGCATACATATTTAAACACTTTTGAGGACGTATCAATGCATGTATGCATGTATGTTGTGTCCTGTTGTTTGGATATTTGTGTCGTGTCATGTTATGTTACTGCATGGCATGGTATGGTATGGTATGTATGCATGACATCTTAAGCTAATCTCTGCAATTTTTTGCAGATGCACATGTCAATGCACATGTACATGCAAAAGCAAATAAACATCCTAATGCAATGTGCAGCAAGGCAATGTAGTGGAATGTCAGCCAGGCATGCACCGTATGCATGTATGTACGTACCTACGTATGCGTGTAGGTATGCATGTATACTGTATACATGTAGGGACGCTGTACCCAATGTTGAGGGTTCTACCCGTGTTTTTTGGCCTCACAACTTGCGGTTGTAGGGTGGCGGATTTAAGAGGCCTTTTCGGAAGGCCTGTGGGGTGATGTAGGGGTCTTCACTCTTCGGGCTTTAGGGTTTATATAGGGGGAATCAATGGGTTTGTTTAGGGCTCATAAAGCTGTCGGGGGGGTGATAAACCCTCTTCGTATTATCCAGGCCCCGATGTCAAACTGTCAGATCTCTCGTGGCCGATACTCGAACCGGGTCTTCATGGAGGGCATGCGTGGATGTCTGAGGTTGCAGTTTGGGTTTAGTAAGCCAAGACTTCCAAAGCTCCGAGTGCCAAGGCGGGTTTGCGGTTTCCGGGCGCCCACCGGCGTTGCCAGGGCCCTCAGCGGTGCTTCGTAATATAGAAGCCTGAACAGGTAGCAAGCTTGAGGACTTAGTGATGCTTGTCCTCAGTGTCCCTTATTATCGTGACAGTATAAGATGCCAGACGCTTTATTCCAATCATGCGGCCTTACATTAGAGACTTTGGGGTGCCTTTGCCGCGCTCCCGCGACCTGTCTGATGCATTACATACGCCTATATTCTAGGAAGCCCTGCACTAGATTCCGTTAAATGCCTTCAACAAAACTGTACGCGTCCTCTCACATTCCCTGTCCCTCCATCGGTTTTCGGAGCCCCAGGCCACGCTTTACCGCAGCTCTCGCTTTGAGGAGGCGGCACCGGCCAAAAGTGGTTCGGGCCAGGGACCTGGCCGGAAGTGGTTCGATGCAGGGGAACCATTTCCTTTTAAGGGTTTTGGGTTGAGGCCCGGAATTGATATTAAGTCTGTTTTGGGGCCCTGCGTTTTTTGTTTTAGGGGCATTTGGTTGGGGATCGCATTTGGTGTGGATTGTCAAGTGAAAGGGGGCAGCAGTTGCAGAATAGAGCTTTCAGCGAGGACAGTGCAGCCTGCGCTTGCAGGCTGAGCCCGGGCTCGGCAGACCTTGAAGCAATTACTTGGATCTTTGGGCTTTATTGGGGCTTACGGGATCAGTCCTTACACCGACTAAGAGTTCCGGCAGAGGCATGCTGCAGCCAGGCCACGGCCAGTCCACTGAGTATGGAAGTAGGCGTCAACAACCAAAAAACTTCGCCCTGCGGAGAACTGGGTTTAGGCTTTAGAGTGTCTTGTCGATGTGATTAGGCTCTAATCGCGGCCTAGCACAGGTAGTGCCAAGCGGATGGAACCTCCCAGCGATCCCAAAGCCCCAAGAACCTCGAGCCTCCCTCAACCCTTCAAGTCTTGAACTCTATAAACCCCTCAACTGACCTCGAACCACATGCCTCTCCTGGATTGTCCGAGTGTGAAACCCTTATGCACTACTGAATCTGAACAAATTGCTCTCAGCCCCTAGGCCCTAAACCTCGAACCACATGCCTCGCCTGGATTGCCCGAGTGTGAGCGCCGAAACCCGAAATGCCTAAACCCGAAATAATACCCGGAGTCTTAGGTTCCGGACTTCTTGTCTTCCTACGCGGCGTGGAGCCGCTTCCGGGTGGAGGCACTTTTCATCTTCGGAGCAAGCCAGGGGATGTTTGCAAAGGGGAAATCGTATTAGGGTTTGGGTTTTTTGTTTATGCTTGGGGATGTTTAGGATCTTCAGTTGGAGTTTTCGGAAAGGGGAAATGGTAGGGTTTCGGGCGTTCGTGTTATGCTGAAGGGCTTGCAACTGGGATCTTGAGTTGGTTTCTCCAGGATGGACGGCCTGCAGTCCGCCATTGATCGCCATTGGGGGTTCTGAAGTCCAGTGGTAGTGGCGTTCTGATTTCGTTCGGGGATAGACAAATTCAAGCCTTAAAAAACTTTGTCACTGGTAGATTCCTAAGTCTAAGCCTTAAACCCACATCAACCTTCAACTGCATCCTCAGAATCTCGCAGCATTTCCAAGCCCAATCTTGTCGTGATTTGCAGTTGATGGTTCGCGCATTATGCATCAGCTGGTCTTTTAAATTTGACGCAGGGCTCACTAGTCGCTGCTGCTGGTGGGACTTCAACAACTCCCGTTACAATCGCCAAGTTGTGGCAAACCCTACGTAAATCCCTACAGGGCCCTACCTTAACCCCCTAACCCCTAAGCCAGAACTTGTGATGTTTCTTGCGTGTAGAGGTTTTTCGGGCTTAGGGTTGTTTCCAGCTCGAGAAGCTGTGGAAGATCCCGGTGGTGGTGGTGGTGGTGGTGGTGGTGGTGGTGGTGGTGGTGGTGGTGGTCTTAAAAATCAAGGTGTTTACAGTTTAACTTAGGGGCCTCTCAATAATTGCCTATACTATTTTGGGGTTCCTTATTGTAATTGTAGTATAATACTGGGCCCCAAAGCCCCATTCGAATCATTAAGGCCCCTGTATTAAGTGGGTTTGAGGTGCCGTTAATCGGCGGATGCTGGCATTGGCAAGTGGGTTGAAGGGTTTAGGATTGTCCGAGTTGTTTGATCGAGTTGAATCCCATGAATGCTGAAAAGGGGTCTGTGTACGAATATACCCCCTTAACGTACTCTCTTCGTCCGTGTAATGCAGTAGAAAATATTCCCTGTAAGGAACCTTCAATAATCGTGACTATACATGTTTGTGCTGTAGTATGTGCCCAAGACCGTGTTCGGCCCCTTTTCCTTGGAGACCTTCAATCCCAGCCTTTGAAGCCGCTCAATCCTCCTTGCAGTCTCATGTAGACCACTGCAAAGTCTAGACCGTAAAGAAGGGGAGCTTATCGATCAGGGGTTAATAGCACCCCTAAACCTTGAAGGAGCCCTTCAACTTTCGAGTGTTGTGACCCAGCAGGCGAGGGTGTGCTGGAACTGGCCATAGGCTCGCATTGGTGTCGCGAGTTCGTTTGCGGTCCCGTCTCCCTGGGATCTCTTTTCTGGAAGCCTTATATGGGAGTTTCCGAAAATGGGGGGTACCTGATTTTGGGGTCCTGCTAGTAAGGATCCTACTTTTTAAGGGTACTATAAAGGTTTAGGGCCTGTAGAAGCCTGCGGCAACAGAGAGAAAGTGGTAGGGTCATGCATCATCTAGAGACGGCAGCTACGGCTGACATGACGTTGCAGAGGCTTTCAAAGTTTAACAAGAGGCCTAAGTCGGCTGTGAAGAATGGCTGGCCCAGACTTTAGGGGTCGAGGACTTCGATGTGGGGCTTCCCAAGTCCCTCGCTAGCACGACTAGTGCTACCAGGTAGACAATGTGGTTTTACGACGACAGCAACACACGCCAGTACTGTTGCAGCTGCAGCAACAACACAACACAGGAAACCCAAAGACACGCAACCACCACCACCAGCACCGCGACTACGGCTACTGTTGCTCCTGCTCTGCGAATGCTAAAGCTAATACGAGCACCACTACGACTCCTACTGCTACTGCTGCTACTGCGAATGCTAGGGCAACAACAACAACAACAGCAGCGACTGTTACTGCTAATGCACCTTGATTGCTGTTCCTACTGCTGCAAAAACTGCTGCTGCTGCTGCTGCTGCTGCAGCAACTACCCACACCCACTGCCACACTGCCTTTGCCACTGCTACTGCTACTGCTACTGCCGCTGCTGCTCTTGCTATTACCGTGCCGCCCTTTTGTATCGCATTCTTGTGTGAGCCTTCGGCAAGGGCGACAAGGGGAACCTGCAATCTCAAGTGATCGTTTATGCGGTCAGGCAACTTGCATTTGGTGGGAGATCCTGACAAGTCTTCCGAGCACTTGAAGGCTGGCCCAAGACATAGCTTTTAGTGTTTACTGGTAGCCATTTAAATTGCATGTTCAGTACCCTTTGTTCTGACATACAGAGTCTCCCAAGAAGGTATGCTTTGGGGTTAATAACTATAATAGATAAGGCTCAACAGCTTTCAACTTTGCCACGCCCTTTATTTCAGCAATCTATACGTTCAATCGCATGAAAGGTTGTTTTTGTAGTCAAGTTTTAATGTTCCCTAATTATTACTATGGAGAGTGTAACGTTAATAAGGGGTTTGGAGCCGGTTTGGAGTCATCGGGATAAGTTCGGCGCATCATCGCCGTAAGGCCACAAAACCCACAGATAAAACCATTCGCACACAAAGACATCCCAAACATGGTTCCGAGAATTGAAGAAACACCACTTGAAGTCGTAGTTTGAACATAGTCATGCTTTGCTGCACCCTTGATGACCGCCCCTCTCCGTAATAGTTAGGGGTTTCCAAAAATTGGGGGTACCTTATTTGGGGCTCCTTTTAATAAGGATCCTACCGGGTCCCCTATTTTCGGAACTTCCGAGTTCAAGACAAGGTTTCGTCCTGTACAAAAAGCCTAGGTAGGGCTTTGGGACATTTTATATTTTCCCTTATTGGGCTTAAGAGGATCTTATTTACTAATATTTTTCAAAGGCTTTAAAAGCCACACCTAGTATACAATGCAGTCAGATTCGGGGCCTTTGTGTGGCCTCTTCCTATGCTTTTCTAATGCTAAGTTTCCGAGATAAATTTCCTGCTCTTGTTTGGGAATCTAGGTGCTCGAAATGTTCGAAACAACGCGAGTCTTGTGATTTTTTCGTAGAATTCCCCTCTACTGGTGCCTCACGTGATGAGATGAGCTAGTGGCTTTTTCTAGTAGTTACCAGTTTTTGTGCTTTGGTTTAGGTGTTTGTGCTTCACTTTGTGCTGTCGTGGTGCTGCAGCTTCTACTTGTGTTTGGGAATTTGTGTTTCTTTTTGGTGCTGTGTGATGCCTGGTGCATGCTGCAACGTCAGACTGGTGTCGGAACTGCGTCAAGTTCGATCAGGTTTTGGGTGTCCCCCCTGCGTGGTGCTATTTCTTGTGCTTGTGTTTGGGGTTTAGGGTTTAGGGTTGTGCTTCACTGGTGCTATTTCTTGTGCCCCTGCTCGGGTACGGAGTTGCTCTCCCAGCCGGAACGCATCGCACAGTGATAGAGATGACAGAGGGTGCCCACTGCTACCGGGCATTGGATATGAGGTGTTGGTCTCCTTACTGTCATGAAAAGATATGGCTCAACAGAATGCTCGACTCATACCACTCATTCATTGAAATTGGAAAAGCATGGGTTTTTCCATCCACACCCAAAATCTGATTGGGCTGCCTGCTATGCTACACCACGCCTCGAACATGCTGGTGTCCCTGCACATCCGACTGGAATGGATTCGGTTTCCCACAAACTCCCAAACACAGGCAGAAGTTTTTTCAACACAACAGAAAAAAGACACAGACTCTCAAGCGCAAGTACAGGTTGTCGCACCAGAAAAGCACAACAACAAGCACCAACTCCCAAACACGAGCAGAAGTTTAGCGCTACAACAGCACCAAAAGCACAAACTCCCAAACACAAGCAAATCAGCAAATGTCTAGCACCAGAAAAGCACGCAAAAATGACAAACTCGTCACTTCCAGCATCAGAAAAGCACAACAGGTTTGAGTGGTTTGTCTTTGGCCAGGACTGCCCTGGACCGGCTCGACAGACTGCAGACATGTCTGGTAAGTTCCAAGTTATGTTATGAGTTGGGAGCCCTTAGCTCGCCACAGTGTAAAAGCTTCAGAACTTGGCAATTTTGAACCACCATAAACATGGGAGTTTGCAGCTTCGGGGACCAGTAATGTGTCAAAGCCAAGTGTGATCAAACCACAACTTTGAGTTTTTTTTCCCGGTACTTATCGTTGTGCTTTCCTTGTGCTCACTATTGGAGGAGCCGGGGGGTCATCAAGACTACCAAAGTCCACCCATACTGCTGATGGACCAAATCCTGCATTACCCTAGGGACCCTAAACTATGGGAATAATGGTATATTCCTTCTTATGGGTAATGCAGGATGTTGTCCATCAGCCGTACCATCCCATGATCATATGGCACCGGACCACCCATCAAAATTGAATGGAAAGCATTCCTTTTTTGCTTGAACCCCCGAACCTTCCAGGACCTAAGCCCCTGACCGCTGTCGGTTTGAGTTGTCAGCGCAGGCTTTGAACAGCCTGAAGAAGAACTTTGGCAAGCAGGAGAAGTGTCGGTAAGTGATGTAGATAAGAACCCACCTTACAAGAAACCAAACGTGTCTAGTCACAGTCCACATGTAGCGTTTTTGTTTGCAGTGTTGGGAATGCCTGCATGCTGGGTCTGTTTAGGGCCTTGAGACGCTCAAGGGTTTAGAGCGTTTGCGGCTAGAAGCTGGTTTAGGGGTTTAGGGCTATTCGTTGTGGCTTTAGGCTTCGGGTTCTGCACTGTGGGTTTGAGGTGACATCAGGAACCTGCAAGGCCACTGCCGAGTGGCTTTCGTACTTAGAGTACAGGGTTGGGACTTATTATACTTTACTTTAGAGCTACTGACTTCTCAAACCCTGCTGTAGTGTTTACGGGCTAATTCTGGGGGCAAGTGCGAGCCTTTGCTGCTGTCGTTGTGCCGCGAAATCTAGAGATCGGAGGAGGTCCCACTGAGTTACGTAGTGGCCTTCATAGTTAGATTAAAGTTTTTGAAGGGTTGCTTGAAGTTCAGGACTTAGGGGTTAGGGTATATGATACGAAAACCATAGTCAGCTGTGTTACCATACTGCAGGTTGGTTGTGGCGTACCATGTGTGATATGCCATGCCGGGCCGGGATTGTTTCGGAGTCCTTGTCTGGCTTGTCCAACTGCGAGTGTCAAACAAGCGGATGAATCCTAGGTACATTAATGCGGATATGAACCCCAAATCCTATCTGGGGATCCAAAATCCTATTGAATCAAGTGTACTAGCACAGCCTAGCTAATGGTCATGACCTACCTACAGGGAGAAGCTATGGCCACGTCTGTGATGGAGGATTTGCTGCTGCAGCTGGAAAGGCTCAGCAGGCACTACGAATGGAACAGGTGGCACCAACGCTCCTTTGACTTGTATGTCAGCGACATTTGGAGCATGGCTGGACCAGGGATGCCCTTAAGCTGGATGCACGGCATGACATGTGGCAGGATGCCGAAAAGAAGGCTGTCGTGCCCGCGCTAGAGGTCAAGGGCGTTGTGTTGGCAATCCGGAGTTTGACCAGCATGCCATGCATACGCTCGCTGGGCCCTCGACGAGAACCGCCCAGTGCAGCCAAACAACAACAACACGACCGAGCAAGAATTGGTGTGGTGGCTTCTTCGCTCCGGTTTTGACGCATACAACCTGCTCCAAAGGCTCCAGGGGATTTACCCCGACGTGAACCCTAAGGAGATCTTGTCGTGGCAGCATTTGCGAAGGGTTTGGGAACGCTGACCCGGTCGAACCCCTTGAATGCATTCCTGACATGCAAACCTTTGGACAACGCAGAAACTCCATCCCCTCAGGAATGAATGTTCAGGCCCCTGCTGAAACCCCAAGTTCTCCAAGCTTTAAAGGCCGCAAACTATTCCTTTCGTTTCCTGAACTCTTAGACCTTACAAACCCTAGCCCTAAGTTCTTACAAGCCCTACCAATGCTAACCCTCAACCCTGAGCTTCAGACCTTTCGCCTTAGATCCCAAGCCCGAAGTTGTAAGGCCTATAGTCCTTGACTTGAACCTTGAGCAGACCTGGCCGGGAAGGACTTGCGGATCGTCTGCGGCGATTTTAACTCCGAGTGCGAGCGAATTCCTCGGGCTATTGTCTGCTCGAGATTTGGGTTTAGGGCTTCGGGTTTTGGAGTCGTTTGGTGTGGGCATTGTGGGCCGTAGTCTGTTTGGGATTTCTGGTTACGGGCTTCCGCATACGCAGGTGCAAAGGGGTCTGGGCTTAGATGATTTGAGAGTTTTAAGTGTTGTAGGGTGGGCTGTGGTCTCTTTGGGTTTAGGGTTTACGGTTTAGTTTTATTGTGGCACCAGGGTTCAGGAGTATTTATGTGGGGTGCAGGAGTAGATTGTTGAGGTTGGGTTTCGGAGGCATTAAGGAGTAACCATTTCTAGGTACTTAGGTCTGGTTCAGGGATTTTGCTCTGGTGGGGCTTCATGGATTCAGAAATATATTGCTTCGTGGATCTAAGTCTACAGTGTTTTCAGGTGTTTAACCGTTTGCGGTTTGACTTTTCAGGGTTTTAGAGCAGTAGGCCTTTATGGGGTGCAGGTTTCCGGTGATACTTGTTGTCCATGTTGTCAGGCCTTTGATCAACAATTGCGTTCTTACTGCGATTTCTCCTGTGCATGGGTAACATTGGAAACAGCAGTATGACAGTTCTGGTTGCTGTTGTCGCTGCATGTCTATCGTTCCTTCTGTGGCTATCATTCGTCCTACAGGTACCGCGTGTCGCGTCTCTGTACATTGCTGTGTTTCTTTTGTAGCTGTTTCTCGCATTGCCAGTGGTATGCTTATACAATCTTATACATTTACACATGTGTGCCATGCGTGTTGTTTCACTCTCCACTCTTTGAACGACCCCTGTCAGTCTCAAAGCTGTCCGCAATCAGAAATCCCGACCCTGCACCCTCAGCAGTCCTATCCCTTGGCCCTGTCCCTTTGACCTGGCCTTTGTGAGATTGAAAGGCTCATGGCTGTAGCCGCCAGATTTTAATCGAGATTTGAACTGACGCCGGACCTAAATGATGGTCCCTTTTCGGGTCCCTATTACAGTACGGCACCTAATATTTAGGGTACCCAATTAGGGACCATAATTTTGACAACTACCCTGATGTCAATTTTCCTAATTTTGCACCAATCCACCAGCCCCTAAAGTTGAAGCCCAAAGCTCCCAACCCCCTAAACCGCCCGCAGGAAATACCCTAAGCCCCTAAGACCCGCAGCTCCTGATCCCCAACGGACCCTAAACGAACCTCGGGAGTTTCCGAAAATGGGGGACCCCAAACCCAAATGAGGTACCCCATTTTTCGGAAACTCTCAACCCTTATAGAGACCTTTCAAAGGAACCCTTGTAGTACCCTTATAGTAACCCTTTAAAGGGACCCTAAGGTGCACCTAATTTCCGGAAACTCTAAACCCTAAACCCTCTATAGAACCCTTATAGATCTCTCTAAGGAACCCTTAAAGGATCCCTTTTAAAGGTACCCCATTTTTCGGAAGCTCCCATAAGGCCCACAGCAGAAGTTGGTAAGTGGTTCGCGGAGGAGGGTCTCCAGGAGGCTCGGAGGATGAACAGGGGGTTTAGGGTTTAGGGTTTTAGGGCCCTAATCAAGCCTGTGGAAAAGGGTTTAGGGTTTAAGAGGCCTGGATGCAAAAAGGGTTTAGGGTTTACTGATGTGGGGGATACTTCCGCAACTTATAAAAGTAATTCCTGATGTAGAAAACCTACATTCTACTGTACAGGTACTTTGGACTTCCTGGTAGTATATTCCTCCGTTTCAAGTGTTGATTGGACTAAGTTTGTCTTCTCTATTGAACCTCTCCATTATGCCTCGTAGTAGAGTAGGTAACCTTTAACATTTTTGGGTAGTATAGTCCCTACCAGGACCCTCCTTGTGCCCTCAAACAGGGGTATATGGCCCCAAATAATGGGCATTTAGAGTCTGATAGAGGGTAGATGGAGGGTCTAGGTATATAATCCCTATATAACCAAAAAGCTTAACCTTTAGCTGCCCATGCTACCCGTCAAGTAGGCATGACAGCATCTCCGAGCGGTCATTAAGCGATGTGTTTTGCCTTGGGTTCTTCTAACGGCACGAGTATAGTACCTGTAGACAGATATTGTAAATTGAATACATAAATACATAAACATGTGTGCATATATATATACATATATATATGTACATATATGCACAAGACAGAGTCAAGTATACGATTTGCCACACTACGGGGTACGGGGTGTACGGATATATGCCCTATCATGCTACTCTAATTCTGTTTCTGGCCGTCCAGGACTTTTCCGATAGTCAGAGAGACTCTTCGGAGATTGCCTTCACAAAATGATGGGTGATTTCTTTGAAGGTTGGTCTCTTACTTGACAGGGGGTGAGTGAACTCCTTGAGAAGTTTCCCGAAATCTGGATTTAGAGCTCTAAACCGGCAGCCCGAGCCCCCCGATCCCGAACTTCAACCCCTGAAGCCTCAAGGGTTTAGGGTTTTAGGGGTTTAGGGGTTTAGGGTTTAGGGGTTTAGGGGTTTAGGGTTTAGGGGTTTATGGTTTAAGGGTTTAGGGTTTAAGGGTTTAGGGATCGCAAGCACCCTGGCTTTGGGTATTATAGTGGTTGGCACTTACAGCCGGAGGCCGTGCATCCTGAAGCCGAAATTCCCGAAGAAGCGAGACCCACAAAAAATCGCAAAGTGCCAGGGTTCCTTCTCTCGAGCTTAGAGGACCAAGGGACTTTGCAAGCAATGTGTAAGGGCTCTGTAAGGGTGCAGTGGTTGCTCAAAGGATAAAGGTAAGTAGAGTCACAAATGCACCAGTTGGGATGATCAGGCGATCCTACCTTCAAGTTATCAACTATGAACCACTTGCTAAGTCAAGTCCTCCGATCCTTGAAGTGTGGAGAGAAACCTTACGTGCCGGCATTCCCGTTCGTGTCGTTGTGTTTGCGATCGAGATAGGGTTGATAGGCTTAGCAACGGCAAGCTCTGCTAAAGCAGCGTTCGAAGGTTCATGGCAAGAAGGCGATTCTTCTTGTAGGGGCTTGCAAGCAAAGTTATGCTACGAGCTGAAAACGGTTGTATGACGACTGTACGGGGGCTTGATAAGGGTCTGGCCGGGGTCGTGAAGGTAGGCCCAAGACTCGTGCTGCAAGAACTAACCAGGAACCGAATTCAAAGAAGAATCGAAGAACCAGCAATCCGACCCGAAACCCCTACACTTCCACCGAACCCGTAAACCCCTAAAGTCCAAACCTTAGAAATCCTAAGCCCAACGCCCCAATATCCTACAGCCCTAGACCGAGCTGACCCAGCAAGGTTCCAACAGGCAGCTCTTGGGCAGAGCCAGGCACAGACTTTGCTGTTAAACATCTAATATCAGGCCTTAAATAATTACCTGTGCTGTTTTGTGGGCTCATCAAACCCTAAACCCTAAACCCTAAACCACATTCCAATTATTAAGGGCCTCTATAAAAGAGAGTTTGGAGGACTTTCGGCACCCTAAGCCCTGAACACCCCACTTTCAATCTGAATAACCTACCTTTTTAGGGTTCCTTTTTATGATTTCCTGATATGAACCCTTAAAGAGGTTGTTTGGGGTTGAGGTAATTCTTACGGTTCGGGCTTCTAGGTTTTCCCTTGCGCAGGATATGTTGCAAGGATTTGCTTTTGCTTGGAGGAGTTTGGAGCCGCGATAGACATTCGGAGCTTTTCCATGTGTTGCCTAATGTTGTCTACATTACTTATAGCAACCTTTGTAATAGATCTTATAGTAAGGTTTACAGTAGTCCTGGTAGCAGGCCTTATAGTAGTCCTGACAGGTCTTTTTATAGCAATCTAAGGCAACCCGGGCAGTAACCTTCGTAGTATCCCAGGCAGTAGTCCTCAGAGTCGCAGATGTTCAGGCTGCTGCCTCCTGCGGGTCTCGGCGCCTCCAGCTTATCTACGCCCTATGGTAAGTTATCGCCCAACCCAGTTCTAACTATGAAGGCTCCTTGCTGCTCCTATATCAACGGCATCCGACCTCATTCGGTTTTGAGGTTTTTGAAGTATGCTAGCTTTATGCTTGGAATCTTCAGCAGCTGAAGTTCGTAGAGAAACAGCCTGGGCCCCCATGGAAAGCCTCCTTGCGCTCCAGGTCGCAGTCTTCGCCTGGACCACATCTTCTGCAGTGGGCGGATTCAGGCGGATCCTATTTCCTTGACCGGCCCAAGACTACAAAGGCCTAGAATAGCGCTTGATAGCCCGAAGCCATGCTCTCAACTTAAATCCTAAATGCCATGTAAGACCCTCTGAGAAGTGGTGCGCCTCTGAACCCCAAAATCTATTCCCTTGAACCTGGGAGGACTTGCGGGCATTGTTGGCTTTCTTAGGGATACATTGAGAATCATTGAGATCCCTGGACGCTCTGAGCTTCCCGTCACCGGCGGAAAGATGGGATGACTTCACTAGACTTTAGGGTATGGTCCGGTTTGGAGTCCGTTACTGTAGCGTTGGCGGTTTACGGTTTGCTAGTTGCTTTTGATATGCCACGGTTGCAGAGGAGGGTAGCGCCACGATGCAGAAGCCTGTTCGGCAGTCTTGAGATGCCGACCGACAGTCTTGAGGCTCCGACCAGCACCAAATATGGGTGAACAACTCGCGTGATGTCAATTTCTTGATACGTCTTATGTCTTTCCGGAAGGTCTGCCCCTCAGACGTGTGATTTCATAACTAATTACTCAAGCGTGACGCTGTGGTCCACTGCTGCTTCGAATTACCATGCAAGGCGAGCTCGCCCTTCTAGGTAGGAGGGGAAAAACTAAACCCTAGGTGGAAGAGGCAACAAAATCTCAACCCTAACCCCTCAACGTAAACTCTTAGTTTCGTGATCTTGGACCGATCGTTTCGCGACGAGAGCAATGTTAGAGAGGACCAATCCTGAGAGGTTTCGGATGTGAATTTGGTTTAGGATTTAGGGTTTAGGGCCCTATAAAGTTTAGCACTTTCCCCTGCGCTGCGACTTTGTCAGCTGGGCGGATGGGAACCAGCACTCTAACTATTAGACGAGCCTAAACCTGAAACCTCCAGGCAAAATTCTTAGACCTGATGAAACTGTTGACCTCAAGCCGAAAACCAAAAACTCAAACTGTAGCCCTTCTGAAAATTCTTATACTATAGTCTCCTTAGGATTTTTTGTTTACATTTTTGTTCATATAAAGCCCAAGAGAATACCAAACATATTATCGTTGTTCTGGTTCTAGGGGGGTATAGCATAGCAACCCTTATTGTATAGACACCCGCAAAGCCTGGCAATGGAGGCCTTCGCATGCACCGGAGACCTGTCAGAGGAGGAGGCACGTCTTCGTGTTCGAAGCCAATCGAAACTGTTGGTGAAGGACCGCTTTAGGATAAACGTTTTCACGTTTGGTGTAACTTTGAGGTTTGAGCTAATGTACTGTCAAGCGTTTCGTTACCTTCTGGAGCGTTATGCTCAAGTCCAAAAGGTAACACGTTTCCATCTTCTGGACATGTCTGACGTGGCTGCCATTGCAGTTGTTGGTTAATTGCTCCGAGGGTCAGTGTCCCTGAGCTCTTAGCCCCAGATGAGCATTTAGCGGCTTAGTCAACTTGAAACCCACACCCTTGTGCAATTTTTTAATGCTCGAGCATTGCAAGCAAAGACTTAGTCCAATTTTAGAAGCTTTCTTGGCGTCTAGTGTGTAGGTTTGCGTTGAAAGATACTTGAAGTTTGCCTTCCGGTCCTGGGGAGGCCAATTTCAATGCTCTGTGGAGCCCTGCCTCCCGGACAAACGCCAAATAAAGCCCGTTAGGGTTACCTGTAATCCCAATTGTACGAAATGTAGCAGGGTATGACAGGCTGCAACGCTCAAAGAGTGGTTATCGTGGCTCCAACGTCCAGATGCATGTGTCTGACAACTCACATTAGAACACTTAGCTGTTTAGCTTTGATGGAACCCTGCCAGCTTTTTGACCTCCTCGCAGGTGGTCGGCGGCTTGCCCTGCGCCTCCCAACCCTCGGACAGATCGGGGCTTCACACGGCTAAAAGGGGCTCAGCAACAATTGGGTGCCTTTCGGCCATGAAGACCCCACCTATTGGATCCCCATGTAATGATGCGAATGCACCCCTGCGAGCTTGGGGAGCAGAAACCTCTTTCGGTTAAGACTTTCAGAACCGGGTACCCGTCTCTAGGGTTCAGGGGTATAGTACAAGCCCCAAAGTACTCACTGGGGTCCCTTGCCAGCCCCGATACTGCATGAAGCATAACTTCACACTCAGGATGTATATGTTTTGGTGACCCTTGCCGGAGGAGAGGAGCAGAAATACGATCATAAGGAAGCCGCGGCAGCAGCTACAGTAGTAGGAGCCCCCCGCAGCCGCGATTCGGAGGAGGAAGCCGCGGGTAGACCCCAAAGGATCCCTCCGCTGGTTTCGAGAGCTATGGTACTCGTTTACCTTAGGAAGCCTATGGGCGCACTTTAAACTTTTTTGGTTTAGCAGGTGCAATGCATCGCAGTTACTATGTTAAGTCTCGGCGAGGTGCTTGGAAACTTTACATGTGCAATGGTGGACTCTAGCCCCAAGCCCTTGCAGAGAATGTGTACCAAGCTCAAGGCCCAAACCCAGGCCCTAAACTTAGCCCAGACCCTAAACTCCAATGCGGGCTCGTCCTTGCGAAGTAGGAGGGGTAAGCTGCAAACATCGCAACCGCTGGTGGGAACCTTCCCGTGCAAAGGGCTCGACAGTGGATCCCTGAATTCGGGGTAGGGCTCTACCTATGGAGTTTCGGGTTGATGGTGCTCAAGAAGGCGTAAGCATTGCCGGAGATACCATCACACAGACTCAGCCCCTACCATAGCAGGCAGGTCGGAACTTGCTCGGGGTCGTTGGGTTTGTCTGATTTTGGTGTTTCGGGTGTCGGGTGGGTTTGTTCTTCGGGTTTTGTAGCTTTGGGGGCCAGGGTTAATGGCAGTTCATTGTTTCGGGTCTTCCCCCTTTTCAGCGCAACTAGTTCCAAGAAGATGTTTCAGTTACCAGTTAGACACAGCAGCAGGTAAGGCTTTGTTACATTGGTTTTCACCCCCTCTTCAACAGCAATAAAGGGCTTGAGAGCTGGGATGTCGCGGCTTTGGATACGCGATTCTATGCGGTGGCAGAATCCACTAAGACCCGCAATTCGGGAGGACCACAGCCCAGTGGGTGCGTTGCTGGGCGCCACCGTGAAGACGAAATGCCCCTGGTGAAGGCCTGGGCACTTTTGCGACTGTTGAACTGGGGCTTGTAAGGTTCAGCGCTTTCAGGGGGTTTGGGGTTCGTGGTGTTGCTTCTGGCAGTGCCGGACACTGGGAACCGAAAGTCGTTCAGTTCAAATCTGACGGGTCTCATGAAACGGGTCTCATGAAGCGGAGAGAAACATGGTGCAAGCGCCAGTTTGCAGTATTCGATCCCCTAAACGCCGTTCTCGAAATTCCGAAACTGAGTGAAGTGGCTAGGAGGTGTCAAGCTCGGCCGCCCCTCACCTCTTCAGAATGTGCAACCCTTTCAACTGCTGCCGCTGCTGCGGCTGCCACTGCGACTGCTACAACTAACACTGGCAGAAGTAGCGCCTCATTACTTCATACCAGTACTTGGCATTCAATACTTGCTGCAGTAGGCATGCGGCATGATAGTAGTACGTCAGAAGTGCGAAGCCCTTAACCCCTGAACTCTACCCTGCAGTTTGGAAACAGGCTTTAACAACACAAACAAAATCAACAAGCCATCTCGCATTTTTCGTTGTAAAACGATAAGAAGCAGATAAAACGATAAGAACATTCGGGGATAGGGGAACTTTTATACGGTGTTATTATACAACCCCATGTGGGTGGTTGTCAAAATCATGGTCCCTTTTTGGCTCCCTATTATAATACGGCACCTACTATTTAGGGTACCCAACAACCTCATGTGAACGCTTGCCTTACCGTTGGTTAGTAGGGAATGGAGGAATGGGGTACAATTATAACTACCATTCCTCCATTCCCTACTAACCAACGGTAAGTTGCTCCGAGCTGCAGGTCGCAGCATCTCTGAGCTGCGATTCGGAGCCCAGGTGCCCTTTTCTTTACAACCCAGGGCTTCGGGCTACGGTTTAGAGTTTAGGGTTTAGGGTTTAGGGTTGTTCCTGGCATATGCGTAGTCCAGGTGTAAAAAAAGGGTTTAGGGTTTTCGCGTTTAGGGTCTAGGGTTCAGAGTTTAGGGTTTAGGGTTTCAGCTTAGGGTTCAGGGTTTAGAGTTTAGGGTTTAGGGTTTAGGGTTCAGAGTTTAGGGTTTAGGGTTTAGAGTTTAGGGCTTAGGGCTTAGGGCTTCGGGCTTGGTTGGGTTATGAACTATTCTGGCTCAAGCAATGACAATAGTAGCATCAACAAGGGTAAGCATAAGACATATAATAAGAAATCATCATAACGATCATACTACTGATAAACTTGCTAATAACACTGTCAATAGTACTGATAACAATGGAAGCAATAATAACCACATGAAGAATACTGCAAATATCCTTATCTTTCGAAGTGATAGGGCATGGCTTAGCATGTGTACTGGGCTATGACTGTCACTGCGGAGCATGAATGGTTACAAGTTCTACAGTCCTCGGCTAGCTTGCTTCTATATTCCGATATTCGTTACCTTTTTTTGAAATACCAATTCCTGAGCACTAATTCCTCAAAGCTCCAGTCACTTGAATCATGCCTTATGGGGTTACATATGATAATTATGGTCCGCAGCCTGCGATTTCCGTAGCTGGAGCCCCAGGGTTTCCGAAGATGAGGGGTACCTTAGGGTTCCTTTAAAGGGTTACTATAAGGGTACTATAGGGGTTCCTTTAAAGGCTCTTTCAGGGTCTAGGGTTCCCGAAAGGTCGGGGTACCTTGTTTGGGGTCCTTATAATAAGGATCCTACTATTTAGGGTACTGTATTGGGGTCCCCTATGTTCGGAAACCCCCATCTTGGTAGGGGCTTAAATAAGTGCCAATATTGTTCGTTTAGGGTTTAGGGTGCCCGGAAGCACGCATCATATTCTTCGTTCGGGTTCTTAGCTCTCATTCATACTATGACACACGCCCAAGCCCTCCTATTCTAGTCATTAAAGCCCCTACTTGAGGGGTTTTCGCAGGCCGACCAAGGCCCAGGAAGAAATCGTCCGCTCGCCGTGCAGAAATTGGAGCGCAATGCCCTCTTTTTCATTTTGCGAGGGACTTCAAAATATAGGCAAGTCTTGTTATTGTTCAGGATTCATCGGCTTTCGGTTTCGAGGTGGGACTGAAAGGCAGTTGTTTATGTGGCCAGGTGTTCGCAATCTGCTCCGGTCAGGTGGTTCAGCAAAGCAGACCAAGACTCCAAATTCCTTTGATGGCATAACCGTTCTATCACAGACCGCCGGTTCCCCCTGGCCCTGAACCAGTCACTCGCCAGCTTCGGCTGTTGCGTTCACACATAGTTTGGGGTTTGAGGATGTGGGGCTATAGGGCAGACGTGGGACCATTTGTGTCCTACACCCGGGCTTGACGTTTCTTGACGTTTGACTGCCCTGGGAGAGAGAGGGAGAGAGAGAGAGAGAGAGAGAGAGAGGGCTAGGGAAGAAGGGGCCGAGGCCGAGGCGACATTCAAGTTGTCCGTGTTCTCATCGGTGCGAATATCACCACCGGTGCTGTTACTGGTATTGGACTGCTACTGTTGCTAGTTTCATGCACTTTCCGGAATCCGCCATGCCTAGCTGGACCCTTACAAACCTGTCACTTTCTCAGGATTTATTCAAAGGAGTCAGAAAAAGGAAGATTCTCTGCCGCTGCTGCGACCGTCAGAGTTTAACATGCAATGTAAGTGGCAGCATGCTGGCCTTATTCAGTTGTCAGTTCGGATAGGCTGGTGACACATTGACATTCACAGCATCAGCAGTCGTTTCTCTTACCTTTGGTTAGTAGGGAATGGAGGAATGGAGTACAATTATAACCACTATTACTACCAGTCTTCCATTCCCTACGATCCCTAAACCCTAAACCCTAAATTTTAAACCCTAAACCCTAAACCCAAAGGTAAGTTCTTGAAATCGCTGTTTCGGCCGCCTGTACCGCTGAACCTCAGCCCCTAGCGTCCTGCACTCCCTCCGACCCGGTCATCCCACATCCTAGGCCCCAAACCCTACAAGAGGGGCTTAAGTAATTACCTGTAGCCTGTAGTATTGTGGGGGTATCTTATTATACGTAGTTATAGCATAACAGTATTATATACCCCCCAAATCCATTTCTGATTATGAAGGCCCCTATTTTAAGCCCTCCTTCGTCATGGCCTTTAATGATGGCAATTGCCTGTGGGTCCGCGGCATACCCCCTGAGTGCCAGAAGGAGGACGACCCAACCCTGGCTGCTGTTTGATTAGTTGCTTGACCTACCAAACCCTACTTTTCGGGGATTCTTATTACAACCCCTAATACGGGAGTTATAGGGAGCCCGCAAGGAAGTAGGTTTGGGCAGGTTAAGGTTTACCTTATGGAGCTACGGCGAGGGTGTGTAGCCAGTTTGTGTCGGCTATCAGGGGGAGGGCTCGGATGTTTCGGGATGTCGGGTTTGTTTAATTCTATTCGCTATCTATGTTCCGCGTCGCGGCTAACAGGTGACTGAGTCCGTGGGAGGGAGAGAGAGAGAGAGAGAGAGAGAGAGAGAGAGAGAGAGAGAGAGAGAGAGCAACTGAGCATTCTTCATGGGTTTGTAGAGATATCTGTTCAGCAGACTGTTGGAAGGCTTCAGTTCCCAACCCATCTGATTCCAGAGACCTTGCGCTGGCTGCGTGGTTTCGTCTTGAGTGTCTTGCCAATATTTTTCTTCTCCCACTATTACACACACAGATGTGTATACTTGCATATACACATACACATACACACACACACACTCTCTCTCTTTTTCTCGCTCTATACATATCTAAAACCTACATGCCAAACGCTAAACCGTAAACACCTCAAACCAAAACTCGAAACCCTAACCAGCATCCCTAAACAGGGGCTCCGAATCTGAAATTCGAAATAAAACGGCATTTATCGGATCCATTTCGCAGGCTTCGATGTGGGGCCTTAGAAGGAGCAGGGGGCCTTAGTAGGTAGGTTGCCGCGTTCTTGTACTTGCAACTGCAAAAGGTCCGTTTGACGATGATGGATTGCGGTTGCGGGTGGAAATGCAACTGTATCTGGCTGATTGCTCAGATTAACAATGCCGCGCATGTTTGATTTGATGCGAACCTCTGAACCCTGAATCCGAGTCGAAACCCGCTTCGGTGCGACCGCCTCCATGATTGTGGGGCTTCAGGGCTGTGTTGAGCCATGCATACACAAAATTTGCCTAACCTGGTGCCTTCCCTGTCGATGCCTGCTCCGGCATAGGTTGGAGGTGCTTCATGTTCGATCATGCTGCTGTTTTAGAAGTCTTTTGAGTGGAGCCAGCACTGCAAGCCCTGTGCTGGTGGCGATGGTGGTGGTATTACACAGTCTGAATAGCCAGTAATTGATAGCATTCCTTCCGCTGCCTTATCCTACTTCTGGTATGGAAGTATCGAAGTCCCTCGCAAGAGTCTTCAGGAGGCCATGCTGTCCCCATTGGAAAACTCGATGCTTGCGGAAATGCACAAGCCTTGAACGGATCTTTGTGGCCAGGACCTCCTCAAGCTCTTCAGGACAGCCCTGGGTTCTTGTTCACGGATTTAATTTAAGTTGCAACAATATGGAAACCGTACTGTTAGATCTTAGATCCCTAATCCCTTCCCGGCCCTTCCCCCTAATATTAAAGCCCCCCCGGCCCCCGGAATTTGGCGGTTTCGGGCCCACAAATGAATGTTCATTGAAAACATTGGGGGCCTAGGATTGTATTGGATTTAATCGAGCCAAGACGGCAGCAGTACGAACCAAACCGAAAAGACCCAAGCTTTCGAGTTTAGGGCTTAGGGGTTTAGGGCTCAAGGTTTAGGGCTTAGGGCTTTAGGCAGGCTGACTGTCTGCTCTACAACCGGACCGGCTGAGTGGGAAACGGTCTTCGTGTACTTGTCTGACTGTCTGTGTCAATACTTTTTACTTACTGCCAATCCGACTCATACCCGGATGCCCCGAACCCCCCCCTCCAAATACAAAAACTGAAACCTCCGAAATCAGCTTTTATATTCGGTGGCGACTCTTAAAACTAATATTAGGGTGAAGAGATTATCATGGTAACTTAACTTGAAACAC